AACGACCTGCAATCTCTATATTGTCCAGGCGAGCTCCCCAACCTACATCGGATGCGTCTGTTGTTAAAAAATGGCTGGCAATATGAAGGAGAGATAAATTTGTGATTTCTCATCCACCATTGTATCTCCTTCAACACCTTCGGGGACTACCCAGCGGCGGGAAGAATTTGATTGGGAGAATATATTTGCGATGATTTAATCTTCCTCGATGTGGCAAAATTTATAAGACCAATCAGACTTTGCAATTCTTTCAACTTCACAGTATTTTCCTCAATATAGTTTATCTTTGTACGAGTGACATTTCATAGAGGCAATGACTTCAATGACCAGGGGTCCCAGCATATCCCCAAAAACTCCAAACGAGATGCAAATCGACTTCTCGTAATTTATTTGCCATCCCAACCGTTTCAAATTTAAACAGTGTCTCGGACCTGGATTGAAAGTTGGTGTTTGTTCTGGTTTACTACGGTAGATACAACTATGCGCATTTATCTCTCATGAAACAAATTAAAATGGCAAACGTCTTTGTGCCTTCAATCCGAATGGGAATCATTTGTAATAGTTTTTGATTGAAAATCATCTCAGAAAAAAAGAATTGGTACATGAAAATAAGCATTGGATAGGTCTATTTTGACCAGCCAGTCGAACGGTTAAAAATAACTTTTTGCGTATTTATCAAAAAGTAAGTATTCGTTTAAGTTTCTGAGGTTGAATATAGGACGCATGGATCCGTCTGTCTTTGGAGTTAGGAACATATTGGAGATGAAACTCGGAGAGAGCTGCGCGCTTCTAATTTTCGATCATGTTCTGGATGGCTTGCTTCATATGGTGAGAGAAACGACACAATGTTTAAATTGGGCATGTAAAGTGGAGGTTTTTGTCAATGGAATCCTGTATCCTTGAATAATTTTTAAAATTGGTTCTGGGGCATTTCTAACCATACTAAAACTCACAGAGTATTTTCGTTTCGAACGAAAATTACCAGGACTTGGCCGCGAGTTCTTTGACTGGCCCTTAAATCGTCCGGTCGGGATCTGTATCTTTTGTGCGAATCATGGTTCTGCGCGAACCGTTTTCTGTCATTATAGTTTTGTATAAAGCATTTCCCTGAACTGTAGGTATATGATAGGGTACGTAAGCAGAGGAATGCATGTGTGGCATGAAAGAACTATTATCTGTTAGGATGTCCTTTGAACGTCAAATCTTGAAGGCCCTGCGCGGGCGCTCATATTTGATGGTCCTGTATTACTTGTCTCTGGTTGAATTAAGAATAAAAAAATTTTACCAACACCACCAGCAATATAAGATGAAAAAGATTCTTTAAGAAAAAACTCAAGTTTGATGGTATGTAGCAAACGTCTTATCTTTCACGGATCGTAGTATACTATCTCGCCTTTGCTCAATTATATCTGCTCGATGACCACAAGATAATTGGAGAAGGTCACTAGATATTTTGTTAATTGAATACAACCTAAATATTTCGTTTAATTTCTGTCTAATCGTTGATGGTGATAGGTCATTAGAACTAGATGCCCATGAGAGTAAGACAAATGCGCGGCCTCTCTCTGTTTAAGTAACGCTTGGGTTAGACATTGTACATAGATTAGGATATTTATCGTATCTGTTCGTCATTACATTCCAGATCAATGAAGCCTGGGGACGATGTATAATTCTTTTGTACTTCATCACGTCACACCATTGAGAACTGTTAAAATGTTGCAACGAATTCAATAAATTGATGTGTTCGTCCGTTGACTTGGTAATGGTGGGTTCTTTCAAAACAGTATTAATTGGTAAGTTGAAATTTGTAGTTGATAGACTGACAGAGTTATCCAAGGTTGAAACATTTTCGCATTCGGAAAACAATTCACCACTGTGATTTAAGCTAATGCTATCATCTTCGTACAGAGGTTGTGTCGTATAGGTTGATGCAATATGTGGGGCCGAATTAAATTGGTTATGAGACAAGTATTGTTTTAAATAACTAACAAAAACAAACGTCGAATGATTGAAATTAACCAGTTCTGTTGATGTCAAGGAACACGAATTTGAAGAACTACTATCACTACTTGTATCAAATATAGTTTTCAAAAAAATTAATTGTCCGTTGCAATAAACAATGAATGAATCTTATATTAAAATATATATTGAAGGTTTATAAATAAAATATATACAGTTTTTTTATTCTTACGTTCTATATGTAGCACGAAAAATAAACCGCCAATGACCTAAATTGGGACTCTGCACAACACAAGTAAACTAACACCACCTTAGTTGAACTAACAAAATGCAAACTAAAAAGTGACGTTCCGCCTCAACCGAAAAATATCTACTCTCATTTACAGGCTTCTGGTACAGCGAGTTAATACAATATTACGGGTTTTCTTAAAATTATTCTTCTTAAAAATTGTAAGTACTGAAAGGTTTGACTAACTTAAATACTGTGAATTTTAACAGTAACAAGTTTTATTTAACTTTTTTAGTTACTCGTAATTTGGTTTACATTTCTTGGTATAAAAGATAGGCTATGACCATCTTCATGATCAAATCTATCTTCAATTAATTTATTAATTAAGTTATTCCATTCAGTCATTTCTTCTTAAATGGACAGACAGATTGACACATTTTTACATTTATAATGTATAGTGTTAGTATGTACGAATGTGCCTAGAAGTAACTTTTCAATATTAGTCATGGATTCGATGATGATCATTTGTGAAAACTTCCGCAACGATGCAGCATCGTTATCATATTTACATAGTTATCATTCGCTAAATAAATAACGATAAATGATTCTTTACTCGCTCGATTATCGTCGGTAGGGCGTTATGATAAGTTTTTTAATAAATACTGCAAATAATATCTGCAGTGTCGTGTCGGGGTCGCCTCAATCGCGACGCGTTACGGTTCGTGGAATATCATTAATAGATACAAATAATAATACTCGTAGATTATAGATATAGTGTTAATTAAAAAGTTTGTGTAAAATAATAAATAAAAATATAGTGACCTCCCGATAGCTATTTTGCTATTTATTTATAAGTATTAATTAATTATAAAAACATTCAGGCACTAATGGAAATTGATTAAAATTTGCATTAGTGCCAGAATTTTTTTATAAATATATATTTTTTTTATTTATTTTTTATAAATTATCCACGACTTACCCTGCTTTGAGATGAAAATTCATGTCCTGGACGGACTTAATAAAATTTATCTTCCCATAAAATTTCATGTACGTTCTTTCAGCTGTTCGTAAAAATGTAACAAACATACAGACAGGTATTTACGCATTTATAATATTAGTATGGGTAAATTATTAATATGCGTACGGCGTATTTAACACGTGCGTGTAACGTATGAATACACGACGTTTATCTTGCGACCCATATCGTATGCCATGCGGAAGTCTATTGAAATATATACATGATTTCTTGTTGCTAGTACATTTCAAACCCTTATTATTCGACGTCAAAATCAAATATTTATTGTATATGGAGAGGAAGAGTACCTACTTGAAGTTTATCTTACTATCAAAATCGTGATCCATGGGAAAACCTCATGTTTATTGATTTATTTTTCTAGTATATTTCAACCTTTATTATACTAGTATATTACAATAAGCCTTATATTAAAATCAACTATTTTAAATTGTTTAATATGTGTAGCCGTTTGTAATACAATCAATTAATTCATTACATGCTATTTTGTATTCATTTTACTAGATAAATACATTTAAAAATATGTAATAATTTTTTTTTGGTGTAGATAGAGATATGAACTTACTACCTTTAGGTCTATTCGTGGTAGTACAGGTTACAATGCTCTGTAGTGAAACTTATTTATTTTATTATCCAATCGATTAATAATGCACAAATATGTATTTATTGTTTTAAAACAGCAATAAACATTAACATTGTAATTTTAATGAGTCTTCCATAACTATATCAAAATTTTAGTGACTAGTGAGTGTTATAATGAAGTGATAGTGAAGGATAGTGTTAATAGAAATTAATTTACCGATACCAATATGGAGATGTTACGTTTTGTAATGGTTCCGATTGGACTGACCGTCAGTTTGACATATCTGCATGTGAAAAAGTAAGTTCAGATGGTTAACAGTGTTTTTTAAACTTATTCAATACATGATCACTTTCAAAAGGAAAACCATACGCCTTAGAGAAATAAAAAGGAAGCCTGTTGACCGAAACCCAAGAAGAAGAACATAATTGAAAAAGCTGGATTAACCCATGTTTTTATGGGTTCATTTATAGATTAGGAGATTACATGAATTTGTATGTTATTGTTATGTTATGTTAATATAGACGTGTATAGGTGTATATTTTTCAGTTGTTCATGTATTTTATCCATTCATTACATAAATGCAAAAAATAAAATGTTTCCTTATTATAATATTAGTATAAATTGATTATCATAAACTATCGTGATGTTTAATAGAATATGTAGCTCTGAAGCCTACCCTTTGTCATGCTGAAATGCCTGCGTTACCATTACTAAAAAGATGAACCAGAGCCTATACTATAATCATAGCTATAATATTTTAGTAAAAACAAACGTCTACTGCGTAAATTACTGTCTGAGAATAATAATGGGCAATTATACCTATTTGTACAATATCCGACATTGAGGAGTTTATTTCCGTTCGTCAACTTGCAAATTTAACGACCGGAAATAAACCAGTTGACGCGGGGTTTACTCTGCGAAGATAAATAAATAAACTTGTAAATTTAGCAAATTCCTTCCAATTACAAAACTGTTACCTAATCCTAATTATGAGATTGTTAGATTTTTTTAAAATTTGATCCATTTAACTATTTTTTTTTTGTGTTTTGTCATTTTAGGGGACTATACTCATGATGTACCCTGTAATTTCATTACCATATTCTCTTCAACCCGAAACCCCAGATGCAAACGCAGACGATATTGAACGAATTGTAACTCTATGGTATTCTCACACTGATCAATCTCTTTGTCAACAGGAACTCTTACAGTAGAAGAGGTATACAAAGACAGAGATCAGTTCGCGGGTTTAGTCCGCGAGGTGGCGGCACCGGACGTCGGCCGGATGGGCATCGAGATCCTGTCGTTCACGATCAAGGACGTGTACGATGACGTCCAATACCTGGCCAGCTTGGGGAGAGCGCAGACGGCGGCGGTGAAACGAGATGCGGACATCGGAGTCGCGCAAGCCAATAGGGACGCTGGAATCAGAGTAAGTTTTTTTTAATCGATGGTGTTTAAACGATAATCGAATGGAGGATACCGGTTTACGTTAGCGGGGCTCCAGTGGAGGATGATGTTATGAGAATGAGGTTAAGTCAAATTATCATGGTTTCCAGGGCTAACCGCGTGGAAGTCAACTTAACTTGGTACATTGCTAGCTATGGCATCATCAGACCATTTTATTATCAATTCCCTTCCCTGTTTGAATCGTGCTACCACCCGTGTTAGCTGTATATGCTGGCAGGACACAACGTACGTACATAGGCATACCTAACACAAGCTCTGCTTAGCTCGGGACTAGATGACGTTGTGTGAATTGTATTATTATTATAATACGCTAGCAGTAGTGTAAAATAATGGGATGATATTTTGAATTAATGAGAACTATCAAATCAGCCCATCGCTTATATATGTATATAAATTAGCATCATATATATACTCGTACACTATAGGTAATTTAATTCCGCAATTAATGAACCTTAGATAAGGTTATCGAGGATATTAAAGATATCGGGAACCGTTGACCTTTACTACGGTACACCATTGTGGAAAATACCATTATTTTAAATATCACATTCCGAATAGATTCATCAGCAAATAACTAAGTATCAACCATTACAATTTAAATAGTAGGTATGCTGTATAATGTATGCATATAATAAAAGTGTAACAGACCGATGTGAATGTACATTAGAGATATTGGAATTAAAAACAACTAATGCTTATGCTCAGTGTCTCAGCTATAGAGTTCAGTGACTTCATACAATGTCTACCTACGTATAAGTTAAGGTTTTAGAAGGAAATAGGATTACAAATTCTCTCTGCTTGATCATTACCAATTTATTTCTTTTCAGGAAGCGGAGTGTGAGAAAAGCGCGATGGACGTTAAGTACGCTATGGACACTAAGATTGAAGATAACACGAGGATGTTCAAATTACAGAAGGCGCAGTTCGACCAAGAAGTGAATACTGCTGTAAGTATAACAAACGTGCATTAAATCCTTGACTAGGAAACAAGATCCATCAATCTAAAAGAAAAAATACTATATATTAAATAACTTTTAAAAATATAGATTTAAATAATAAATATTTGTTACAATATTTCATAAATTAATTAAAATTATTCGATTTTAGCTAATAGAAACAGCAGGAAAACATCAGAAATATTCGCTTATCGACAGGACACTAGGTCCTGACAATATTGAGTAATAGTCTTCAGTAGGTTCACTGCCGTAATAAAATAAAACTGGCATACAGCTATACTGACTTGGTTTCTTGGCGGCAAATATAGAGACGATTTGGTACAAAAATATTTTTTATCTATTTACAGAAAGCAGAAGCCGCTCTAGCATATGAACTGCAAGCCGCTAAAATTAAACAAAAACTACGAAACGAAGAAATACAAATTGAAGTCGTGGAACGTCGCAAACAAATTGAGGTAATAGGTTCATAATTTGTAGAAGAATTGTGCAAGTCACTAGTTAGTTTAGTGTCCTATGCTATGGAAACTAAATTCGAAAAAATACTCTAATATTAGACAAAATCCTTGGCATTTTTGATCACTTTAACCCATTACAATAGAATTGATACACTAGAGTCTCCAGTCTCTCAGACTTCCTAGTATGACTCAAAACTCATTTCGTTTTTAAATCAGCACAGTATACAAAACCATGTTCAGAAATCTTGAGAAAATTTTATCAGCTATACTAATACAGACATACATCATTTTACTGAAATAGCATATTAATAGAACATTTAAATTACCCGTCTTGACAAATTAATTAACGTATATGAATTGATGTCTATGCCCATCCGGGAATCTACCCACTAATATAATGTCTGTGACAAGCCTAAGTAAAATTTTCACCACCCATGTGAAATGTGATTTCAAACGCTTTGTGAAGACAACTGAGACGCAGCAAACTTTGCTAAAAGCAGAGTTATAATTTTGTTTTGTTGGATGAAAATGATAAAACTAAATATTTGCATGTTAAACTCATTAAAGTATTAGAATAAAGCAAATGCTTTAAAGCATATTCCGCGTCTTTACTCGTGTGTAAAGCGTCTTATTTTGCTCCTCATGTTGGGAAAGGTATCTAAATATACATTTATTTAGTTTTTCGTTAGAAAATAGGCATATAAATGATATAAGTTATGAATAATATGTTAAAACAAATATATATATATGAAGATTGAGATTCTTATCATTATTTATTATCATATCATTATTTTTGTATTATCTGTCTATTATAATATTCATAAACTGGCTTAAAATCAAATTATTTTCAATTCCTTTGTCAGGTGGAACAGCAAGAGATCTTGCGCCGTGAGGAGGAACTGATAGCGACAGTAAAGCTGCCTGCTGAATCTGAGGCGTACCGCCTGCAGACGATTGCTGAGGGCAAACGGTAAGTTATTTTTTTATTATATATAAGAAATGGGAAACAAGCACACGACCCAATGGAATTCCTCCGTTCCTGATAACTGAAGTGTCGGCCCTACGTACCTTTTAATTTCACTGCCATATCCCACATCTCTGAATTTTATATATATATACAATATAAAACCATAGATTTGTATTTCAAACCTTCTAGGCTAGTCCTTACCCTTGACTTGTTCTGTTTATAAATAAAAAATAGTCTATATCCGTTCTCGGGATACATGAAACTTCACCTATTTAGTCGTGAAAAAGTAACAAACACTACACATGCATTTTAAATACTAATTGTTACACCCTGCTTTTTCTCTTTTTTTTGATAAAATATAGCCATGTCTGTTCTCGTGACATATCTTCACATCAAATTTCATTAACATCAACTCAGCCGTTTAGTAGTGAAAAGCTAATCACAAACAGATTCGTTTGTAGTATTTTTTAAGGATGATACTGGAATGGTGCTCCCACCTGCACTAACAGTTTACGCTGGCGGCACACCAGTGGAGGATGATAAGATGAAGTCAAGTCAAGTCTGTTAGCCCATCGTGACAAATTCACCAGGAATATTTCATGATGTTATCGAGGAGGAACCGCGCAGAGGTCGACCCGTCTTCAATCCAATCGTCAATCCCCTTCCCCCTCGTTTGTAGTATTAACACGTATACCGTATTACTGTTTACTAAAATAACCATTGTACCATCACATTTCAGCACACAAACAGTAGAAGCAGCTAAGGCTGACGCGGAGCGCATCAAAGTCGTGGGCTTGGCGGAGGCAGCCGCCATCGGAGATGTCGGCAAAGCTGATGCTGAAAGGATGCTGGCCAAAGCAAAGGTGTACAAACAGTACGGCGATGCCGCCATCATGGCGCTTGTCCTTGAAGCGTTGCCTAAGGTAATTTACAGCATTATGCTACTAGTAATTTATTAAATAATAAAATCATTTATTTTGTAAGATATTTTATATATCTATGATGACATTCATAGATATATAAAACATCATTGTTTTTTGTATTATTATTATTTACCCTACCGTCCACCATTGCACAATCTTTTGTTTATAGTAACCAAGTAAAACACACAAAGAGTGTATTATATTGTTCTTCAATATTGACATAAATAGAAGAAATTAACGTTTATATTTCTAATTTGATTCAATTAAGTTTATAATACAGTAAATTTGCATGCCTGCAAGGTAAAATATGCTGTGATAAATATTCTATTTGAAGAACAATTTGTATTTACATTATATGCATATAAAGTACTGAGTTGAACTTAAAACCAATATTCAATATACCAAAGAACGTGTTCGTACTAGTTCGTACTTCACGGGTTTAGTAGTGGTCATATATATACGATGTCATACTAATTCTATATTTGTTTATTTCCACCAGATTGCAGCGGAAGTGTCGGCGCCATTGGCTCGCACAGACGAGATCGTCCTCGTGGGTGACAACGGCGCCACCGGAGAGGTTGCGCGTCTCGCTGGCGGTATACCACCCGCCGTCAAGACCCTTACGGGGCTCGATCTCACGCAGGTCCTCAAGCGGCTACACCCTAACGGTATGTAGTTTTTGTAGTCTTAGTTATATATATACATATATATATTGTATGATACGTATACACAAGTACGAAATACTAGCTAACAGGCAAACGTTAATAGCCATTTATATTAATATCGTTATTTAATAAGAACCCCTATATTTTAATATCGATATTCATATAAATAGTGGTAGAAGGGTGAAAATTTAGTGGTATCTTAATGCCACATTATGAAAACATCAAAATTAATGATTTTATCCTAAAAATTAAAAAAAAATGTGGTGTGCCACTACTACACACCTATAGGGATGTAGTAAAATGATAACACTCTATTCTCAGACTTACCTATATATATAAAATGTCATCAAAATCGGTTAGCCGTGTCGGAGAAGTATGGCAACTAACACTGTGACGGGAGAATTTTATATGTATAGTTTACTCGCTAGCCAACGCGCCGTAACATATCCGATGTTTCAAGCATCTATGTTGCTGTGGTACAGATGCATTGAAATTCTGGAACTGGGTATGTTAGAAGTTCTCTTAAGTGTACAATACTCAATATATTATTTTTTCACCAAATTGAGTCTTTATTAGACATAAATTTACAGTAACAACATACAACAAAATTACAAAAGTAACACTTGCATTTGTTTCAGAAGACTCCAACATTGCAGCGGCCACAAGCAAGAAGGTAGCAGCATGCTAAACTCATCGAACGAAAATTCAATGCTTGAATTACCGTACCAAATTATTGAACTATTATTATATCGTAATGAATATTTTTTTTTCTATTTGTCACGTTTACTCAATGTAATTAATTGTTGCCATACAAAAAGATTTTATCGATCAAAGATAAAATTACAAATCAATGCGGGTACATGATATTTTAGTTTCCTTGTTTTTTATTATTATAAAAGGCCAATGGAGCATTATTTATCTATGTGTAATAAATGTAATATTTTTAGGTACTTACCTATGTCCTTGCGTAAGAGTGCAAACCTATTACTGATAGTACTACTACTATTTACTACCTATAGCCTATATTCTTTTCTCTGGCACAGGATATTACGTATTATATTATAGTACGTTAATGTGGGTACTAAATGAGTTGGTATCTAATAAATATACATTATTTATAATTACAAAATATTTTTAAGTAAATTTAAGAAATGCCACCTCAAAACATATAATCGGTAACATGAACCATTATTTCGCTCTATGAATAGTACCTTAAATATTATTATTCTTAAATTATTTTAACAGTAGTTTTTGGCGTCAAATCGTTAAGGTCACTACCAAAATACTAGCATTTTCAATCGCAGTGGAAGCTCAATGTGGTTTCATGTCATGGTAGCCGTATGTTATGTAAGAATTTCATTCCCAAAATCTCGGAATTTTCTATTACATAATTTAATTATTATAAAGAATACTCCACTTACTTTACGGCGCCTAAAAACCAATCATGAACAATTAAGCTTCTGCCGTCGATATTTGACTACCAGACACGTTTTAGCAGGCAAGTCTGGTGTTAAAAACGGGGTTAGTTTATATTATATTTCGATATTTAATAGTATACATAACGGCATGGGATTAAATAAATACTACATATATATATTACAAATATATTTATTCATAACCATAAAAGTACCGCTAAATTCACGCTATTAGTAGCGCCAGAATATCAGATAGTAATACTAACATAGTTGTATTTGTAGTGGGTATCTTAAGTGATTTGTCCTCAAAAATGTGTTTATGTGTACAATAATATTTAGTTTTAAAGAGCTATCATAAATATCGCGCCTTAATTCACGTAGTACTTTTAAGTTTTACTTAAATTAATTTGTTATTTTACTATGTATATTGATAGTACCTCATGAGTCTCAAATTGATGGTGCAATTGTATTTATATATGAAAACGATCTCTTACACCATGAATACTTTGAAATTCATAAAATTAACACCGTACTAAAACATATAGCTATACTATTTAACAATGACAGTATTATACACTTTCTTCACACTGCAAGCTAAAAACAAAACAATTCAATAGCTAAAACAATTGTATGATTGTATTTTTTATGAAACTGTTTATCACATTCTTACATTTTATTTACGACTTTAAGGTTATATATTTAAAGTCGATTTCCCAAAATCTTTTCTTATACAACTCATTCCCTATTTAGTTGCGTGCAAACATTTACTTGTTTTGATAGAGGCTAAAAAAATATATAAACTTGTAATAAATATTAATAAATGAGAATATTAAAGTGTTATCATGTAAGTTTCTTACAGATGTAAACAAAAAGTGTATGAAAACGAGAGTATATATATATTTATTTTAATCATACTTATTTAAAGATAAGAATGATGTTAAAAATGATACATTACATGTACTAAAGTGTGTAAGATAGCTTTTATACAACTTTTAATGATCATTGTCATGTAGCTGACGACGTGATCTTACGAGGCACTGCCTTTTTTGGATAACATTTATTTATGTACTGTTTTTATTGGTGTGTAGTTCAATCGTTACTGCATGTGCTCCCTTTAGAAAAAAGCATTAGATCTTATATTATAATACAATCTTATAGGGTTGGCAGTAGCATTGTATGTATAACTTATCAATCGACTTGCTCGCATTTCGGCCAGCACGTTTCAAGCTATTATCGACATTTTTTATATTGTTAAATTAAATATCATATTGGAGATGCGGTTGAACATTGTGTGTTGTGTGTTTAATTAATATTGGAGCATTTGCCAAAACAAATATTAGTAATGTATTTCTTTTTTTATAGTTTCTGAGTTGTGAATATAGTTTTTACAAATTGAATTTTTTATGTTACATGTATAATTTTCTTGAAAGTTGTGGACATTGATATAATTTTTTGTGTGTATTGAATAAATGTTTATTTTTTACTGTTGTTTATTATTGAATGTATAAATCTACATACAAGTGCGTTTAAACCAGAGAAAGCTTAGTACTTACTTCTTACAGAAAAATCAATCCGCAAGCCACATTAAATAAGAAAATCGTTTCGTACAAAAGTATTTATTTATTTATAAGATTATCTCACACATTTAATCATCACTGACATGCAACATATAATATTATCTAGGATATACAATTTTATTAGTATTTTATTATTATACAATTACCATATAATAGTCTAAATGTAATAAAATGGATAAGAACTATGTTATAAATATACCATAACTAAATATATATAATGTCAATAATATAATAAATAAATTAGCAAATATATAATATTATACTATTATTATTCGCTAAAACATGAATGGACACCGATAAATCTTACCCTACATTATCATCGTTTAGGTATTCAGTAACACAATGATATATTTTACAAAAATTGTTTCAGATTATTTTTGAATAATTGAATATCAATCCATCCTGGGTGCTGATAATAAATGTTCATGGTATTCTACTAGCATCGCAGACTTAAATTATTGATGCAGCAAGAGAAAACTTTTTGTTTTAAAACACTATAATAGCGTCTCGGACACACTCCATTAATATGTGATGTGATAGAAGAATTTTATAGTTGATATAAAATATGACATACAAATTGACGTAATCTTATCCATATAAAGTGTTGCAGGGAATACGTTTTCCATATTACTCATGATTTTATGCAAGAAAAATATGCCAAAATCTATAATTTATTAGGAATAAATATTTACACCAAACGACTAAACTTCTATTTATTGCAAAGGGTTGTGCAACTCTCCTCGTATATTTGTCTTCATTAACTGGAAAATAAAGCTAAAATTAATTCTTATATTCCTGTCACACTACTACTTATCTACTCAGGCTTTACCTTGCCCCGTTCGACAATCAAGTGCTCATAGTAACGAAGTTTTAAGAATTATTTTTTTGTACAAATAAAATACAGTTATAACATAATAGTACTTTTCGCTATACGTTAATATTTTATTATAGTTTGCCTGGACCTCTGTCGGAAGTCTGTCTTACACATAGTTACACCAAGTCTAATGTTTTTACTAAAGTTTCTAAATACAACTCACCTCAACTTTTTCAGTGTAACTAAGTTCTGTTTTACTCAGCACATAGGAAAGTTTAGCGAAAGCAGCCTCCGATGTCATATCAAACGATGGAACTACGCCACATTCAACCAACAACTGCAAAATATTGAAATTTTGGTAAAAAAAACTGACACGAACAAGCTTTGAACCGAGAATTTTGAATCAAAAGTAAAGAAAAAAAACTGTGACAAAAAGCTCTGGCCGGAGCCTCTCAAAAATTTTTGGCCAAAAGAAAATACGCTAAATAAAACATAAATTGACTATCATTGTCTATGCTAATTGTTACATATATACCCAATTTCATGATGAATTAACATACACACTCATAATAACATATACATTGTTTTGTTATGTTTAACTAGGATTAAAATTCTCACCAAGCCAGTCTCATAGATAGCCTTTCCAAGGACTGTGCCGTTGATGCACTGTGTCACATTTACCACCAATACATTATTCTTGACTGCTCGTTCTATTTCCTTATATACCTCCTTCCGTTTAATTGGCATGTTACCATTACCGTACGTTTCTAATACCACTCCTGAAATACATAACAAAGGATTGTTAGTTTTGGGGACAAGTGACCCCATTACTAGTAATATGTGTGTGAGAACATCGTAGTTAATTCCTTCTGAATTATCACTATTGATTGGTTATCTGACCTGACCTTATATTTACGCTCATGTAATCCTATTACTTTTAATAAATTGTCTTATATTTGTTATTTTATACACCATACAAATGAGTAATCAGTGGAGCTTCCTGCTGCGAATTCGATCTTGGATTGTGGAATGAACTACCTGCTGAGACTACAGCATTAAGTTTTTCAAAAAAGGTATATTAAGATTTCTTAGCGGTCGCCACCGCGCACTTGACTGTCCTGGTATTTCAGGCGTCCATGGGCTACCGTTACAGCAGGGGGATGCACCATACCATACCATACCATTATTAGCAAATTAAAAATAATATATAAATGAAAGACTTGCAGATTATATCACAAGGACAGAGTATATATGTTCTGTCAAAAAAGCAGATAAAATTACATGTAACGAGGCCGTAATCGCTATAAGTACAAAAGTCTTACCTTCCATTTCGGAGAAAACTGCCCTTATAACTTCAGGGGTTATTGTTGGTACCACCTTTAGCACGTACACTTTCCTTGACAGGCGGTCATGCAGCCTGCACTCGTCGGGAACCGAACTTGGCGTATGAATTAGCATCTTGGGATCTATATCTAAGGTTGTTTTGGCTTCCAACAATGGGGGAAAGTTGGGGGAGTCGAATGCGTAGATACGGGTGTTGGATATTTTCTTTACCCTGGAATTATAAGAATAATGTCTGTAACCTTATTTATTGCACCTATACTTCAATTACTATCTACTATCTATAGCCTATATTCTTTTCTCTGGCACAGGATATTACGTATTATAGTACGTTAATGTGGGTACTAAATGAGTTGGTATCTAATAAATATATATTATTTATAATTACAAAGTATTTTTAAGTAAATTTAAGAAATGCCACCTCAAAACATATAATCGGTAACATGAACCATTATTTCGCTCTATGAATAGTACCTTAAATATTATTATTCTTAAATTATTTTAACAGTAGTTTTTGGCGTCAAATCGTTAAGGTCACTACCAAAATACTAGCATTTTCAATCGCAGTGGAAGCTCAATGTGGTTTCATGTCATGGTAGCCGTATGTTATGTAAGAATTTCATTCCCAAAATCTCGGAATTTTCTATTACATAATTTAATTATTATAAAGAATACTCCACTTACTTTACGGCGCCTAAAAACCAATCATGAACAATTAAGCTTCTGCCGTCGATATTTGACTACCAGACACGTTTTAGCAGGCAAGTCTGGTGTTAAAAACGGGGTTAGTTTATATTATATTTCGATATTTAATAGTATACATAACGGCATGGGATTAAATAAATACTACATATACATATATATTACAAATATATTTATTCATAACCATAAAAGTACCGCTAAATTCACGCTATTAGTAGCGCCAGAATATCAGATAGTAATACTAACATAGTTGTATTTGTAGTGGGTATCTTAAGTGATTTGTCCTCAAAAATGTGTTTATGTGTACAATAATATTTAGTTTTAAAGAGCTATCATAAATATCGCGCCTTAATTCACGTAGTACTTTTAAGTTTTACTTAAATTAATTTGTTATTTTACTATGTATATTGATAGTACCTCATGAGTCTCAAATTGATGGTGCAATTGTATTTATATATGAAAACGATCTCTTACACCATGAATACTTTGAAATTCATAAAATTACCACCGTACTAAAACATATAGCTATACTATATATACCTACCTTTTTTAACAATGACAGTATTATACACTTTCTTCACACTGCAAGCTAAAAACAAAACAATTCAATAGCTAAAACAATTGTATGATTGTATTTTTTATGAAACTGTTTATCACATTCTTACATTTTATTTACGACTTTAAGGTTATATATTTAAAGTCGATTTCCCAAAATCTTTTCTTATACAACTCATTCCCTATTTAGTTGCGTGCAAACATTTACTTGTTTTGATAGAGGCTAAAAAAATATATAAACTTGTAATAAATATTAATAAATGAGAATATTAAAGTGTTATCATGTAAGTTTCTTACAGATGTAAACAAAAAGTGTATGAAAACGAGAGTATATATATATTTATTTTAATCATACTTATTTAAAGATAAGAATGATGTTAAAAATGATACATTACATGTACTAAAGTGTGTAAGATAGCTTTTATACAACTTTTAATGATCATTGTCATGTAGCTGACGACGTGATCTTACGAGGCACTGCCTTTTTTGGATAACATTTATTTATGTACTGTTTTTATTGGTGTGTAGTTCAATCGTTACTGCATGTGCTCCCTTTAGAAAAAAGCATTAGATCTTATATTATAATACAATCTTATAGGGTTGGCAGTAGCATTGTATGTATAACTTATCAATCGACTTGCTCGCATTTCGGCCAGCACGTTTCAAGCTATTATCGACATTTTTTATATTGTTAAATTAAATATCATATTGGAGATGCGGTTGAACATTGTGTGTTGTGTGTTTAATTAATATTGGAGCATTTGCCAAAACAAATATTAGTAATGTATTTCTTTTTTTATAGTTTCTGAGTTGTGAATATAGTTTTTACAAATTGAATTTTTTATGTTACATGTATAATTTTCTTGAAAGTTGTGGACATTGATATAATTTTTTGTGTGTATTGAATAAATGTTTATTTTTTACTGTTGTTTATTATTGAATGTATAAATCTACATACAAGTGCGTTTAAACCAGAGAAAGCTTAGTACTTACTTCTTACAGAAAAATCAATCCGCAAGCCACATTAAATAAGAAAATCGTTTCGTACAAAAGTATTTATTTATTTATAAGATTATCTCACACATTTAATCATCACTGACATGCAACATATAATATTATCTAGGATATACAATTTTATTAGTATTTTATTATTATACAATTACCATATAATAGTCTAAATGTAATAAAATGGATAAGAACTATGTTATAAATATACCATAACTAAATATATATAATGTCAATAATATAATAAATAAATTAGCAAATATATAATATTATACTATTATTATTCGCTAAAACATGAATGGACACCGATAAATCTTACCCTACATTATCATCGTTTAGGTATTCAGTAACACAATGATATATTTTACAAAAATTGTTTCAGATTATTTTTGAATAATTGAATATCAATCCATCCTGGGTGCTGATAATAAATGTTCATGGTATTCTACTAGCATCGCAGACTTAAATTATTGATGCAGCAAGAGAAAACTTTTTGTTTTAAAACACTATAATAGCGTCTCGGACACACTCCATTAATATGTGATGTGATAGAAGAATTTTATAGTTGATATAAAATATGACATACAAATTGACGTAATCTTATCCATATAAAGTGTTGCAGGGAATACGTTTTCCATATTACTCATGATTTTATGCAAGAAAAATATGCCAAAATCTATAATTTATTAGGAATAAATATTTACACCAAACGACTAAACTTCTATTTATTGCAAAGGGTTGTGCAACTCTCCTCGTATATTTGTCTTCATTAACTGGAAAATAAAGCTAAAATTAATTCTTATATTCCTGTCACACTACTACTTATCTACTCAGGCTTTACCTTGCCCCGTTCGACAATCAAGTGCTCATAGTAACGAAGTTTTAAGAATTATTTTTTTGTACAAATAAAATACAGTTATAACATAATAGTACTTTTCGCTATACGTTAATATTTTATTATAGTTTGCCTGGACCTCTGTCGGAAGTCTGTCTTACACATAGTTACACCAAGTCTAATGTTTTTACTAAAGTTTCTAAATACAACTCACCTCAACTTTTTCAGTGTAACTAAGTTCTGTTTTACTCAGCACATAGGAAAGTTTAGCGAAAGCAGCCTCCGATGTCATATCAAACGATGGAACTACGCCACATTCAACCAACAACTGCAAAATATTGAAATTTTGGTAAAAAAAACTGACACGAACAAGCTTTGAACCGAGAATTTTGAATCAAAAGTAAAGAAAAAAAACTGTGACAAAAAGCTCTGGCCGGAGCCTCTCAAAAATTTTTGGCCAAAAGAAAATACGCTAAATAAAACATAAATTGACTATCATTGTCTATGCTAATTGTTACATATATACCCAATTTCATGATGAATTAACATACACACTCATAATAACATATACATTGTTTTGTTATGTTTAACTAGGATTAAAATTCTCACCAAGCCAGTCTCATAGATAGCCTTTCCAAGGACTGTGCCGTTGATGCACTGTGTCACATTTACCACCAATACATTATTCTTGACTGCTCGTTCTATTTCCTTATATACCTCCTTCCGTTTAATTGGCATGTTACCATTACCGTACGTTTCTAATACCACTCCTGAAATACATAACAAAGGATTGTTAGTTTTGGGGACAAGTGACCCCATTACTAGTAATATGTGTGTGAGAACATCGTAGTTAATTCCTTCTGAATTATCACTATTGATTGGTTATCTGACCTGACCTTATATTTACGCTCATGTAATCCTATTACTTTTAATAAATTGTCTTATATTTGTTATTTTATACACCATACAAATGAGTAATCAGTGGAGCTTCCTGCTGCGAATTCGATCTTGGATTGTGGAATGAACTACCTGCTGAGACTACAGCATTAAGTTTTTCAAAAAAGGTATATTAAGATTTCTTAGCGGTCGCCACCGCGCACTTGACTGTCCTGGTATTTCAGGCGTCCATGGGCTACCGTTACAGCAGGGGGATGCACCATACCATACCATACCATTATTAGCAAATTAAAAATAATATATAAATGAAAGACTTGCAGATTATATCACAAGGACAGAGTATATATGTTCTGTCAAAAAAGCAGATAAAATTACATGTAACGAGGCCGTAATCGCTATAAGTACAAAAGTCTTACCTTCCATTTCGGAGAAAACTGCCCTTATAACTTCAGGGGTTATTGTTGGTACCACCTTTAGCACGTACACTTTCCTTGACAGGCGGTCATGCAGCCTGCACTCGTCGGGAACCGAACTTGGCGTATGAATTAGCATCTTGGGATCTATATCTAAGGTTGTTTTGGCTTCCAACAATGGGGGAAAGTTGGGGGAGTCGAATGCGTAGATACGGGTGTTGGATATTTTCTTTACCCTGGAATTATAAGAATAATGTCTGTAACCTTATTTATTGCACCTATACTTCAATAAATATGAAATAAAATTATATATAATATAATAATAGTAAAATTTCTGAACAATTCACACAGCGCCATCTAGTCCCAAGCTAAGCAGAGCTTCTGTTATGGGTAGTAGACGACTGATATAAATACATACATAGATACATTTTTTGTAAACAAAAACAGATTGCACCACCTGAGGTCTGTCTTATCTCAAGAAAACTATGACGCAATTAGTGGCCTACATATCGATAAAAACACTAAAATGTGCACAGATGTAATCATACAAATGTTTGTATTGTGCGAGCATCGAACCAAGACTTTAAATACTAACCTGTTACCTCTAAACAGCTTGGAACCAAAAAAGACTGTAACCTCAGGTATGTACTGGGTGGCCGCAATCAAAACAGCACAGAGAAAGTTATTGTTCCCATCACTGCGAGGTTGGAAGATCGGAACCTATTACAACAATGTTTTTATAAATGACTCAGACGCTTTATCTAGGGACAGTTGACCAGCGGGGTTTTTTCACTTTTTCAATTTTTGATTTGTAATTTATTTTTTTCAGTAATGATTTTTAATTGTAATTATAAAAAAGGAACGGTCGCCACGAAAACAAAAAAAAAATTAACAGACTAAATGACGGACGACGAGCTCGGACATACAGTCTTTAGTTATTAATAAATTATAAATAAGTCCTTAGATATCTAGAGAAAAAATGTAGCCGCATTCAAAATCTTATGGTAAGCGGTATCCGTCTCTTATATAATAAATACACGAAAAGCACTACGGACATCACACTATCATGTCTGCCATCCTGTAATTTTACTGATTTGTGTCCACCCTATCAACGTCCAACGGAAGCGCTAACAAAGCAAGATGGCTAACATAGGTAAGACTGTGGTTCACACTCTGTGTGGGTTCAAAAAATTACCGAGGTAGAATATGTAAAAGGTTTACATATTCTACCTCGGTAATTTTTTATATACATAAACCACAGATAACATAATCTTAAATTAATACATTCGTTACCTGGGCCCCAGTGAGTATGACATTCTTTCCAATACTCTCCAGTATAAAAGAAAGCACAGAAGCTCCGTATGCCGTTGTATCAGTACCGTGAAGAACTACGAAACCATCGTAATCGTGATAATATTTCTGCAATTAATAAATAATAACCCAGGACAATTCACACAGCGCTCTCTAGTTTCAAGGTAAGCATGATTTATGTTAAATAGACATAAAATATACATAGAAAACAACCAGTTAAATATAAACAATCGTACTCAGGAATGATGTAAATCTCTCATGTAGGTATTCCTCCCGTGGTGCAAATGTTTGTACCATGGGAGAATTTGTACTCAAAAGCGAAGCGTTGTTAAAGTGATAAACCACTAAATGCATATAATTTGTACTTTATTTTAATTATTAGGTTACATTTAGTTAATCCTTACCTTTATTCATATTCGTATAATTATTACCTTTATATCGCGACCCATTTTAAGCCAATCATCTATTGTGAAGTCCGACGAATCTTTGAGTTCATCATACTCGAATATCTTGTATAATACCTTTAATTCTGTGTCCTTGCCATCTGTAATTAATGTAACATGCAGGTCTTAGTCTCAACACAATTTCTGTACATATCATAAACGGGATTAAAAGTAATCGCGTATATATCTAACGTGTACTTGAATTAAAAAATATATCGCAATTACGTAAAAAATTGTGCTTGAAGAAATTACCACCCACCTATTAAATTTGACAGGTAAATATTATCTAAAATAGGCGATTAATCTCATAATAATTATTAATATCTATGTAGTAGCATTTCTAGCTTTTAGCTTGCTCGATTGGTAATTTTATTATATTATATTTTTTCAAAAGTTCACACTCACCAGGTATTATGAGATATTCCTTCATGTCTGTTCTTGACAAGTGATTCGTCCAATACTCAATGTCATGCAACTGAGGCAACTTTCTGATCACTTGCTCTATATTCTTTTGGGGCACCAATACTGCCGTAAAGTATATTATTATTGTTATATTATTAGTAAAACAAATCTATATTTCTTTTGTGATCAACAAAAGAAATATAGATTTGTTTTAAATCTTAGAAGAATAACTATTAGTAGTCTTAGAATATACTCTATTATTATGAGAATATTTTCTTCTACAGTAAAGATCTACTACTAACAACTTATTTTCACGTTTACAAAAAATATGTATATACCTACTTTTTCCATACTAACATTATATACATTATATAGGTTATTTTATCTTAAAAGTTTGTAGAAATGTAATCGCAGTTAACAGTTGGTAATAATATGTATTATCAAATTTTATATGATAGATGTGGATGAAAATTTTAATTCAAAATAAATATTATAGTTATCTACGACTTATTTTAATAGAGTCGTCTAGTCCTTTCTATGTCATTTCGCGATTCAAGGAAAAAGTTGCTCTAGTTAACTAACCGATCAAATATTAGTAAGTATTTTAAAATATAAATAAATGTGGACATTACAACAATTATTAACAAATTTATTTTACTAGTATTACCTACCCACTTACTATTAACTATGCCACGCTGTGTTAGGTTAACTGGTAGAGATCTCTAGAGATAAGTCCATCTTTGCTTTATTTGTCTATAATTAAGTTTACTACTGTATTACAAAGTGCAATAAAGAATATATTACATTTAATTAAGTAGGTACCTCCAACTATTATGGACATTACTTTAAAATGCATTGTCATTCCGGAGGACTATGATGTCATCCATCTTATCTATAAATTTAACTGCCATATGCCACCCTTCAACCGAAGCATAGCTTGGCAACTGAAATAGGTAGTAAATATTAGAGTACCCACGTAGACAACTTTTTAAAAAGTCTACCTCACTGAAATACTGAGTAATATAATAAAGAGAGCCTGGAGTCACTGAGAGGATACACTGTATATACAAAAGAATTGCTTATGACTGATTGAAGAAAATAAAAAATTTACCTCCTTTTTCATTTTTCAACATGCCAAAAGTTCCACCCGTGTATATCACCAGTATTCTTTTTAATTGCACCATTTTATTATAAATATATATAAAGTTATATTTGACTCTATATTTTATATATAAACAAATTGTAAAATTAGTTTAACTGCTATTTAACGCAATTATTATTTCTTTCACTGTAATATTATAATTCGACTAGTGTTCGATAAGATTACGCATAGTTTGTGTTACTGAACCTAGCTGTACGAGGTTATTGTCTGTATCATCTGAGAGGCAATTATAAATGAAATAGCAACTAAATAGGTTAAATGATAAACCAGTTCTGTTGCGTATTTGTTATTAATTATGTTATTGTTATTATTAATATCTATTCGTTTCATAACGTGGTTTTCTTACCCATTTGAACTAAAGGCGTAACCAGGTAGATGAGGCCAAATGGGTAGGGATAATATTTATAGGAAAAACTTAACTCATTTCACCAAGAATGCAGTCAAAATTTCTAAATAATAATAATCTTCGTACAAACTTCAAGGCCACGACATCTATTTAAGTTTCATAAGTAGAGTTCATAATGATAATCGAATTTACGGGCGAATGATACGAAAACTGAAATAAATTGTAGATTTCGTTTCTCCACACATACATGTATACATTGAAAACAAAAGAATATAGAAAAAATAGATGTTACATATTTGCGATAATTATTTATTAAGCTCATACTCGTACATATGCTACGTAAACATATAATTAAGTACATAACATAACATTGTTTACAACCTATATAAATCAAGTATAAAAATGTATAAAAGAATTGAAAAAAATATAATTGATTGTGTGAAGACCACCTTACTCGAGGTGTTGACCTCTCAATGTTACATTTAGATAATATCATTACAGGTTGGTAGTGTTTATTATTACATCATATATCTATTCATTAACTATATTCATTACATACTAGCTGTACCCGCAACTTCTACTGTTTGTAAACTAATTGAAATAGTGTAAACACTAAATAAGTGGTACTTACTATATTAGTGAAATCATCATCCAAATCTCTTAAGTCTTTTTTTGAAATTAGCGCGTAGAACTGCCAAATATTTCTCAAATCTTTGTTTTATCTTATTAATAATAATATTATAAACTCGAAGGTTTATGAGTATAGATGTATGTTTGTTACTCTTTCACGCAAAAACTACTGAACGGATTTTGATTAAACTTTACAGTAATATAGCTTATGGTATGATACATCAGAATCACTATCTATAAATATAACGCGGTTGAAACCGTGGATACAGCTAGTATTCTATAAAGTTGAGAAAGTTATTACCTACCTACAGACAGCGATCAAGTACATAGGTATTTATTACATGTATACAGTGTAAACATTTAGTATAGGTTTTAAAAGGACATAAATAACAATAAATTTATTATTATTTGTGAAGTAGTAATGTAATATCTAAGTCCTTATTATTTATTAATGACTATTCAAAAGTGATTCAATGTCAGTTTATTTGAATAAATGATTTCTATTCCATTCTATTCTATTTGTATAATGAAGTATTAAAACATCCTGAAACTTTTTAAAACCTTTGATTTATAATAATGTATCTATGTTATATAATTAATTAAGCTCGATTTCCTATTGAGATCTGGATGGGGCCTCAGAATTTTATATTGTTTTAAAATATGACATATATATCGTACGTATTTTCACTCATACTAATGTCTACCACATGTTATGATTATGTTTCATCAGAGTTGGTAACATCTTGAATTGATATAAAACTGAACCTCAATACAAGTTGAAATGCTTCTAAAAAATATATATTGCATAGTTTCATATAATAAATGTTATATTTTAATTGATCCGTGTTTGTACATAAGTACAAAACCATCAAAATGAATCTATAAAAAACAATTTATTGTCTTTATGTCTTTAAAAATTATGTTAGATATTTATTTATACAAAAATACCTCGTGAGTATCCTTTATACGTGCCTACTCTATGTACAGACAGCACAGGTCAACACGAAATGCTACTCTATGCTTTATATTCATGTCTGCTTAGCTTATGATTGTTTCATTTAGATTCTTATAGTAGTACATTGATACATTGTAAATTGAAGGTAATCATTTTATTTCAATTTTATTAACAGTATATCAGTCTTCAGTTGATCAGATCAGATCAGTTATACAGTTGTTTGTATCATTATTAATTTGTATGTTTATATACTTCTGATAGTATATAGTGGAAGAAGTATGCAAATAATCCTGCTTAAATGAAATAACTATGTAGATTCGAATATCTACGTAGAGTACGGAATTGAGAGAGACTCTTCAAACCAAAATTATAATCGTCTGTCTGACAAATCTCTGTATAGATATACACATATTACTCATGAATGAACGCCAACCACCAATTTGTCAACTGTATAAACATCTTCATTTTTATTTTTTGTACCATAGATTATATTCTCAATTTCATTATAATGATTTAAGTCCTCTTCAGTAACCTCTCCTATAGTATTCACGTCCTTGGTATAAATTCTTCCCCAAATACCGAACGAAACCAATTCGTTTTGTCTCGATTTCAATTCATAGATGACACGTCCTCTCCCGCCATTTGTATTCCGAGCGCCATTTTGTGTCGAATCGAGAAACGTAAAATTGTTTGAACTAAGCGGGAATTTGTTGTTTCGTATAGAATTGGGAAAGTAAACTACGTCATCACAGTCCAAAGATTGGTTGTACTGGTGACGGTATGTAGTCATCTCTATGCGGAGTTCCTCAAATTCAACGTTCAATTCGTCTTTCGAAAATCTGAAAAAAATGTTAATAAATTAATTTTAGCAATAAGTTTATTTTCCACTAACATCATAACTACTATTATAGATGCTAAAGTTAGTTAGTTTTTACTGACTCATTTAAGTCTCCACATTTTAAAAAGTGAAGATGGGCCAACTCAATATAAGTACCCATAGTGTAATCCTACAAATAGTTGTAATTACTCAGTGTTCAAAAAATTAATTCAGTTTTTTCAGAAGATAGTGGATTTATTTTTATTCATAAATTATTATATTATGTACATTTAGAACATAATGTAATCAAATAATCCATTACGAATTTAGTCTTATTTTATTTAATACTATTAATACGAATATACTTAGGTATAACTAGCTATATCTTGTAAGGAGGTCCCCCAAACAAACGAAGAACGGCTTAAAATAAAGATCATCTTTTGATTCACTAAATTTTAGTAAATTATCTTTTAAAACCGATTGAGTAAACAAAGTTTATTGATATGATCGACGCTACTATATTATCTATTAAACGCATGGTTTTATTATCCTTTACACCTGCTATTATTTGCGGTTTTCCTGTCTGACCCACTAACCTATAAGGACAGCTGTTTATATCATTATCCTTGCAAGCGACGACCGCACAAGCAGCAACTCCAATCTTTCGTTTCGCGTAGGTATTACTTCTGTCTTGCACAAATGCACGATACTGAGGTATCTAGGGAAGATATAACGACTTCAATAACTACTTTACTTTCCTTTGGTTAATCACGGACAATATTAACAAATATTCGTATTTGTGAGCATAGGTTTGGGTGCTCTCTAAGTATAAAAGTAAATGTTTTCAAAATGCGATGTCATATATATAAAATACATATATAAAATCCAAACTTCAAACGTTCGTCACTCTCGTTGTCAGTTCTACTGGGTCCTGTGCAATATTTCTACTAAAAAACAAATTATTACTAGCTAGCCGACTTACATTTAGTACAGCAATGCTATTCATGTCTATAGGCGAGGTTGCCATTTTTTCACACACGAACCGTCAACTTGTTTGCCATTCCAGTTACATAAAAAAGTAGGTAATCATTACATAGTATAAAAAACAAAGTCGCTATCGCTGTCTGTCCCTATGTATGCTTAAATCTTTAAAACTACGCAACGGATTTAGAAGCGGTTTTTTTTAATAGATAGAGTGATTCCGTAGAAAAATTTATATGTATAATACATGTACACCCATGCGAAGTCAGGGTGGGTAGCTAGTAATATATAATTTCACTTACATTTTCTCCATCCTTTTGTTTGATTCTTCCAGTAATTTTGCAGCTTACTTCCTTATCTACTAGATTGATCTCTTGGAAGCCTGGAGTCAATATTTTAGAGATACGAGTCAGTAATGACGGATCCTTGAGAAGAAATAAGTCGTCTTTATCCGTAGGATTGTCGTAGATCGGACCGGGATATTTACCTGATACCTGGCGAAGAGAATGAAAATATTGCTATTAATCGATGATGAGCAGTGGAGTAATTGCTAGCAATGTGTCATGTCAGTTTGACTTCCACGCGGTTTCACTTGGAAACTATCGTGATAAATTACTAGTGAATATTCTGCGCTAACTAACCTGACCTTATAGTGTCAGCGTAAACAGTTGCTACAGGAGATTGCACTATTATCATCCATCAAAAAAAAAGTGTCTTGTTTTATCAATGGGACTATAATTCAGTAATCTACCAGTTCTCGTGCTGAACTAGTAGATCTACTTTACTTCTAAAGGTCGCGGGTTTGATTCTGTCACGCTACTAACAAACTTTAATATTCATGAGTATCATCGTTTGTATTGATCGGAGTATTTCCTAAGTACTTGTTATGCATGTATTTATAAAATAACATAAGTAAAATGTAGTTATTTAGTAAAACTGTTTTGTTCGGAATTAGGTGGTGGTGTGTGAATGGGCCGAGGTTATTATTATACTCAGGGTATTTGGTATGCATAAAACATGGCTGGCAATACTGTATAATACTGTAATAAATTGAAAATACTGTCTGTAAGTAATTATAACATCCTAAAAAAAACTATATAATATCTTTTCGACTTATTGTATGTTTGCTATGTTGTAAGCTTTTAGTTAGAAGTATAAATTGACACACAAAGCTTTTTGTCATCGAACAGGTTTTCAGTATAAGTCGAAAGTAAACCACCTAGCTACAACGCTCTGATAACATCAAAATGTTTATTACCTTCCCTGGCACTTTGGGTACTCTGGCAACGAGAAGTCGTGTAGTAGGTACGCCTGGCATCACACTAATTAAGGCGCCTGCTTTTCCGGAGTAAATACCTGATCCTGAAATATTGTATACAGAGAAGATTAATTAATATTTTTTTATAAATTTTCATACTCAAAATAAAATCACATCTACCGCTCCTCCGATCGATTACCACCCAATTTAAATGGGGATGAAAATTAGCCTAAGCCGGCCTTATAGCCTAAACGACCTAAACCGAGATTCGAACATTTAGACTAAAGTCTTATCCGTCAGGCGGGAGTCAGCGGCCTTCAGCCGCTCCATAAGTCCTTCCGCGGATTTGGACTGCCTTCTGCACTCGCTCCCTATCGTTCCGTGAAGCTGTAAAAGCCAGCTGCGGCTAACAGTAGAATTTTATAGTAGTCGAGAAAAAACAATATCCCTAATGTTCAATCCGGATAACTATTTCACTTGATAGCAACTGGCATAAACTGAACTGGTACATTTTTCTATGTGATTTGATTACAAATAATAATTCATTCGTTTCTATAATAAATTAACAATTGTTCAGACCACAAAAATACTGACTTCAATTCCAGTATTATAATGATATTTTGAGTTATCCTAACTCAAAATATCATTTATTCCGAAAAATGCAAGTTTATGAAGGCAGTGTAATATACTTGCTGCTACCCACAGCAAGTTTCTAATTTCGCGATAAATATTATATATATACATATACTTCGTTATGTAGATTTATCTACGTTCGTAGATTATCTTATTTCGGTAAAACGAGATAACAAGATAATGCTATATTTAAGAAAAATGAACTTTAGTATTAGGTATAATATGCCTAGTGCTATGGTTCATTCTTCCTTAGTTGTTTGCACAGTAATTGATATCTGTACTGATCGTGGACTCGTGAACTTTGGACTATCATATTTGACTCCAAAATATCTATCTGTTATTCAATATATTAAACTTGGCACGATACACACATCGTACACAATATATGAAATGTAATTTTTCAATATATATATTTGTCTTCTATGCATTCCTAAATAATTCAGTCAATTGTGTTAACACTTTGATGAAGTAATGTGCGTGTATCGACGAGGGTTCGTGGTAAAAAGGAACATAATTATTAATTATGTTTACGCCTTCCTAAATGGTTCAATAGATTACGATAAAAGTTGTATATACATGTATATACATGTATTGTCTGATCAACCAATATATTCCATGTAAAATGAATGAAGTCGTTAGCATAAAAAATAACAATTTAAAAGATAAATCAAAAGAAATTTAAGTCAAAGTCTTGTATTCTCTTGGATTGTCACGTGAACGAGCACATAGAATAGTGGTCAATATATTTTTATATAGTGATTTTTTTATTTATATGTCAGTCATTCTAAAATAAATCAGTGAAAATAAAAGCTAACTAACCCCGTGATATTAATTGCCTTATCTACAATTTCTCAGCAATTTTAATTTAAAGAAGAAAGAAGTCATCTGCGTACATACCGCAATCTCATCTATTTCAGCCTCTAAGCAAGTTTGCAAGCTATGGTTTATTTGTAGGGTGCAGATTAGACAGTGAAATTACAATATGAAGGACATAGGATTACAATCAAGTGGCCCGGTTACCACTTGTCATCTGGTTGCCCGTCTAGTTCATTTGCAATTTTTTTTATAACTGCATTTTGTTTAATTAATTAAGGTAACATGGCCCATATTATAGACTAACATACATAAAAAATAATAAAAAAATATAAATTCAAATTGTCACTATGGTCACGACACTGACGACGGCAATCTGCCAAGGTGGCGCCGATACACGACCCCCTTCGGCCAGTAGTCCTCCTTCATAAAGGTGGGCAGCATGTTGGTCACGGCTGGGCCACGAACAATGTAATGTCAATTATATTTAAGTTAATAATATAATAAGAGAATAACTACTTACCAGCAGTACCAACGGCAATGTTATTGGCTCCACTTGCTAGAAAGTTCACATTCATGGTGTAAGCATACGCCTCTTGAATCTGCACCGCTGGAAAAGTATGTATTCAGTTTAAAGTATATGTATATAAGTATAGTAATTAATAAACTTAAACACAAAGTCTTCAAAAAATAATTGTAATTATCAATATCCTGTACTGTTTACGAATAGTGAACTATAATTATAAAATTTCGATTCATTCATTAATATTAAATTAATGAAAAATGCAGACAAACCTGCCCATTATTGGTTATGAAACTAGCGTACTATTTGTACTATTGGTAGATACGTATATTTTATTTTGTAAAATGTCTAAATAGTAATGAAATAGAATTGAAAAAAATCCTCCTTTTGACAGTCGATTGATATGATATTATTTTCGTCCAAAGATCAATAAACTTAAAATATTTCTATTAAAATAACAAATTCCGTCCAAGTCGGTTCAGCCCTTAAAAATACCTAGAAATGCGTAAAGCAGAGCTACCCATTTTATATATGTACGGACTTGTGGACTTTATTTTATACGAAGGAACGAGCGACAGAACATACATATATGTATATTACCGCTAACTATAATGCGGCTCTGAGGTCATTAAAAGAATCACTCATATTGTATGTGTTTGAGTAATTATCTTATTAATTTATACCAATAGCAGTTCAATGACTTTACAAAGGTGATCAACAAATAAAACACTGATAGTCTAAATCCTTAAATGCAGATAGCATTTAAGGATTTAAACAGAAACAAAGTATAGAAGCTAAACTAGACACTGATTCTAATTAGATTAATTTATTGTCAAAATTTTTATATTTTAACAGATGTCAAATAGGTAAAGAAGGTATTCTAGATTTCTCTAATCTTTTTCTATAGTTATTTATTGTTATACATAATTGAGCATATCAGAAGTGTGTAACCGTAGCCAATAGACTTAAATATCAACAACAGAAATTGTTTACTTAATTGAGAGACGTTATTAACTATTCCTATTAACGAATTAAAATGATATTCAATATATGTATAATGTAGGTATATTTAGCCACACATGTAATTCTTAAGACGTAACGGAACAGAGCTGAAAATAACACTATACTAGACAATGTAATAATACATTAGCATAAGGGGAATGTATTACATTAATGTACTAGGGACGCCAAACGAAATCAATCGAACATAACAAAAAAAAACAACATACAGTACGTACGAAGTACGAGTATCTACAAAATATATGGATTCCTGGACGAAGACATATTTGTCGTAAAAAAATTTTGAAGATTTTGTGCCCTAAGAAAATGTATAAATAGGTAACTAAATATTTAACGGCAGCCACAATTATTATGCAATGTGTATTTTTTTAATTAATGCATCCATAATTGTACTTAATTTAATAATGGTGTTTATTAAATTAAGTAGTAATATTTTGTCCATAATAGTTTGTTTTGGAGAAACAAATTGAGTCTATGTGAAATTTTAGGAATTATTTGTATGAGTCAGAAAGGTTATAAAGTTAAGTAATAAAGTCGTTAATACTGGAGATTAGTAACCACAGTGCTAGTAATGTATCAATGTCAGGAAGACCCATACACCCTAGGAGAGGGGGGGGGGGGAGAGCGTCTCCCTATGCTCTGCTGGAAACCATTGTGCTTTAATTCTTAGTGAATTTACCCACACGATGACCTAACTGACTTTATTTAATGCTCCACCTCATCCTACTCTACAATACCGCCAGCATGTAATGATACGAAACGAGATTCAATTACTGATAAATAATTAATTAGCTTACTATGTACCACTAAGATACGTTTAAGCAATTTTTTTATATATTTATAGTTATACTATCTGTTGTAAATAGAAACGAATTCGTTGTCTGCTGTGGCAAAATAAAAATCAGCACACACAATAACATTGAGTCACCTCTGGGCACAATCTAATCTAGACACAAACAAGCAATCAATACTTTTAAACCACTTATTATTGAAACAAATGAAAAACATATTTCAACTGATACATACCTACAAATATATATTATGACAAAAAAATTCTATGTAATCTTCACGATATTTCATGTTAAATTTCATAAGACCCGTTCAATTCGTGATAAGGTAAGAAACAGAAAGAAATACAGATTTACTATATTTGTATCTATGAATTATATCTAATTATTATTACTTTAAAAAAGATTTTATACATTGCATATATAAATGTTTATATGTGTGCCGAGGGATTATGCCAGAACTTCGCAAAAAAACTGGCAGGTGGGCATACAATGTAGTCGTAACAATGTAATTCAATACAAATTTACAGCCTCTACGTAGTAATGTAAATGCATTATTGTAGTCACTCACCTGTCAAATAAGGTATCTCCGAAAACCACATCGTGGAAAAAACTACGTCCGTGATATTATTCTTTTCAACAACTTGAATGGCTGGCACTTGGAACATGAGGTCGAAACAAATAAAGTGGCCAAAACGTACTCCGAAATCCGTATCAAAGAGACCCAGTTCAGGTCGAAGGGCTGGAAAGCGTGACCACTCGGCGAATAAATTGATTTTTCGGTATCTGTGAATAAATATAAACCTTTATTTTCCTACTGAACTGACTATTAGATACATCTATAATAACTCGCTTTAGAGTGATAATAACTGGACTCTACTACTCCCTGGAAAACTATTAAAACAGCAAGTCATAAATTAATTTGTAATTATATTTTTATAATAGTTTTTCGCAACCTGACTTTTACTGCTATGCTCTACTGTAGTAGAGACTACTACATAATACTGAAGTAGTCGCTATATTAAAATACCCACGGTCTGTTATAATTACTGCGTTATACACATATAAAAGTGCAGTAAGCTTAAAATGTCTTCAAAAGCAAATCTTTTTGGAGTCAGTAAAAATAGAGTCAGTAAGGCCTTGGTGATCTCCGAGTGATCCGAATGCGATGCGATTCCTCTAAGGATATTTATATTCATTAGTATATATTGTAGTATAGTATAGCTTGTATCTGTCTGGAAGTATTGACATAAAAATTTTCCAGGGATGTTATTATTATTATATAAGTCATTACCTGTCAATAACGGCGCCAGTACGGTCAAAAACGACGTTAGTGTTGAACCGGTAGACATTTTTCTCAGGACAAAACTCTCCTGGCGCATTATTGCAATCCATTTCCTCTTGTACATTGATAACTACGTATATTTTATTGTCTCTGGCAGCTCTGGATATAGCTACGATTGGCTGAAATTGATATTGATAAACAACTTTATTTATAAACTTTATATATAGCTGACCTGTTTGATTTCGTCTGCATCTCACTTACTTAACATTTATCATTATATTTCGCCCAATTTACACAATATCTTTTTGTAAAGTTTCACCAAAATCCGTTCAGTAGTTTTTGCGTGAAAGAATAACAAACATCCATCCATCTATACTCGCAAACTTTCGTGTTCATAATATTAGTAAGATAAATTACTTTATAAATAAGCAAATTTAAATCGGTTACTTCTAACAGACAATAACGGATAACACAAAAAGCTACTATTTTCACTATATAGTAGGTTTATTTTCTGCTTCCTGTTTCTTTATAAACACTTAACAACAACTATATTATATTCCTTGTATATAGCTTGTCTACTCTCTCTCTAAATCATTCCGAAATGACTGTAGGTTTGACATATCATAAGAGTCTGTAATAGATTTACAAGAATAAAAATATTTTTAATTTTAATTTGAAAAGTAGAAATTGCATAATCCTGGTTTTAGTTTAGAAAATAAGTATGTGCGCGTAGGTACAGTAGTACATACGTACTAGTAAATACAAAAATGTCTAATCTTTTAATAAACATTAATTTTCCTTGATAAATTCAATTTGTTTTTGTTATTTTTAATAAACATGTGTACCTACGCGAACAAAGTACATCTTGCAACGAGTTTTATTAACTTGTATGTACACTAAAGTGTCTCTTTTCTTTTCAATTTATTATTTTAAGCTTAATTGATAAATACTTTACGTCAACAATTAGCCCGTTTATCGAATTTTAACTATATGATATACTGGCCGACCCGCGAAACTTCGTCTGTATTTACCCCCGTTTTGCCACATTTTTCAATAGCTGACTAACATATTTCCTGACTGTCATGCCATAATTACAGAGCCTTATAGTCTCTCTCGGTAAATGGTCTGTCTAACACTATAAGAGAGTTTTTGTAATCATATCAAACGGGAGGTTATCTCTGTATTCAATGCACTCGTTATATACGTATTTATTATAATATATTAGCCATTAAAAACCATTAAATACATATTTTATAAAATTACTCCAAGTCAATTAAGTTTCACCTATTAATAAATCGAGTTGCTCCTTATCAACTTACCTCATCATATAAATCAGGATGTAGAGCTGGTATGGGATACTCTCGCAGGAGACCTTTGATAGGTACTTTTACAATTTCTAATTTCCTAAGTAACGTCATTTCAGGGAATACTATGATATCCGCATTCTGCAATTAATAATATTAATACAATAAACAATTAAAACTCTATAAATACTTAAAAATATTTAAATAAAATTAATTTCATTTTATTCGTGAATTTAATAGATTTTTTATTTATTTCATGTAAGTTACTCATTATCGTAAAATCTATTCTACATGATATTATTGAGAACTACCGACACAACAATACGAGATATATCTTCGGACGAGAGTATTTTAAAGACCTTATTAGTTTAATACCTAGCTGTCTATTGTTGAAACATTTTTCCGTACAAGTATGTTTTGAGTTTATGCTATTCCGTTCTTACCTGTTCAGCTGCATTTTTAATATATTGTACGTATTTATTTAGGGCCACGGAAGAGTTTTCTGTGACCTCAAACTCTACGACCGCTGCTACATAGCTGTCGTCTTCCACTCTCGACTTCTGAAAAGATGCAACGAATAATTAAATATCAATAAATACCTAGTATGTAATATATTTATTACTCGCCAATTGATACCTCGAGCTTACTTTCCATACGTAAACTAAAATAAATTTTGGTCCGGTGTTTTCAATACATTACAATTAAGAAACTTTATATTATTAAGAGTATAACAAAAAATAAGAGATATTTAATGATAAATGGCGTAGTCAAAATATTTTAAAGTTTTAGATGTATTTCATTAAAACGAAGCTACAGGAAAATGAAATTGCACAAGCAAACGGTAAAAAATTACCAATTCCACATTGAAGTCACACTCAAATTGTTGCCTTATTCAATTTTGTGTCTATGTATGTGGTGGTAGAGTTCGTATCATCATTTTAGTAAGGAGATACAAAAGAACTTTAATAGATATAAAGTGGTTAATCTCCATCGGGTATTGAATACGGTAACTTCATCTAAATCTAAATCGTAAATCTTCCTAATTTTTCTAAATAGTTGAAAATAGAATGAGATATTCTAAGATCAGATATGCAATCTATTCATCATTTTTTATTTAACAATGATTGGTATCAACATAAATAAAAAAGCAAATAGAATAATTTAATTAAATACGTACTTGTATTGTTTCCTGTATGACGAAAACACAAAGAACCGTCAATATTAATTTAATATTCATTGTTAAGTTAATATAGGTAATGACTATAACTGTATGCAGAATATATAACTGTCTTCGAACACAAACATCACAGTTTTCTGTTTATATTGCAATTATTATGATAAAGCAATAGCTAATTAAGTGGAGTAAACGAGAAGGCACGACTGTTCACGACGTAATGCGCATGCGCAACGGTTGACGGCGCGATCAGCTGTTCTTATTTACAATGAGAATAGTAATCACTCGTTTTGTTGTTGTGATGTGGAAATATACTCAAACTTATGTCCGCCCGTGGCTTTTCTTGTTTCCGAATTACATCAAATATGATTATAAGCGCCGTGGATTTATTATTGCTCAAACTTACAGGCCTACATTTGAAGGTCGTGATCTAAATCTGGCGAACAGCAAAAATTTCTTTATGGTATAATTAAATAATTCAATTAATTTCAATGTCAATACAAAATATCGAGCATAGACATTGTACATATATACGTACTCTGAAGTTATAACACAAGAAAATAAAAAGATGTTTGTTTAATATAATGCACAAGGTTTTGGCACTTCCGTTTATTAAAGGTACCTAAAAATAGCTTTTATTTATGCAAATAATATTAATAGCTGTTATACATTTTCTTATATGGCTTCCTATTTTATATTATGAAGGACAACAAAGTTAAACACCACGGTAAGATACAGATAAGATAAATATTTGATTACATTAGCTAAGACAAATCAAATTCCTTTTGTTCAACTTCATAAAGGAAAAGGTTCTTTTTTAACTTGTATTATAATTTTTTGCTTGCCTATCTCATCGACATCGCTGTACAGGTGGTTCAAAAGAAGAAAATATGATATGCATGGACTTCATGTTTTTTTAATCAATATCTTTCAGTTCCATGGCAAAGTTAAACTTACAAATTTTACTATAATTACATTAAATTAAAACATACAAACCACAGATAAAAGAGTATACAATAAACAAACAGCTCTTTATTTATCTTTAATTCATTAGGTAGAGTTAAACTAACATACCTGTAATGATATTTCTAACATGCAAATAAATAACAATACAAATATCAAACGCGTCATTTTCACTGAATCACATTATTATATTCCCAAACTGTACAGTGTACACAGACACACAGACTAAAGCGGCGTCCACCGGTTCTGTGTATTTATGAGACACGAGACATAACATCCTCGTCTCCATTTTTAAATACGATACGATTTTTTTTAAAATAACATTTTTACACGTTTAATATATATCGTAATTTAAAGAAAGTTTTTATATTTTGATGCTGATGCAAAATGAAAATGTATGGATACACACAGGATACTTTTTACTTAATTGCAGTCAGACAACGCCGCGGGATTCATTTAGCTTGCATATATTTTAAAATTGCAAGATGGGTTCTAGTCCTAAATTGTCCAATAATTCTCCTAAATATATGGGTAGTAACCCATATAAGTATCGCTGTTACTAATATTGTACATATAAGCAGATTAAAATGTACAATTTTTCAATTGTATATTTACTTCACCGTTGCAATTACAAACCATACAACATCTGCAACTCATATGGTGACCATCACCATAGAATTTGAAAAAAGGTCCTAATATTCTTTCTCTGAAATATATATAGGTATATATTATATTATAGTCGCCTACTGTTTATTCACATGCAAAAATATTTAGTTTTACGTATTTGCAAACTTAGTAATTAGTCAAATTACCACCTTTGAAATAATAATAATAATAATCTTTATTTGTCTCAAACAGAAACTTTTTACACAATACATCTATTGCCCATAGAATAATATAATTTAAAAACAAATTAATGAGACAAAACGGTCTATAACTCAGTGAGGGCAGTGAGTCCACCCTCTCTGCTATTCTGTTATAGCCTTTACCAGTAAAATACAATGTGAGATCGACAACGACGATAGCATATTAAGTTTTAAACTACAACTAACAAAACAAACATAAAAATTGACAATAACTAAACTAAATATTGGTAAGGATAAAATCAGTGATGAACGAACTGGCGACGGCAATTCGTTCCAAATTTTCAAAATCAGTTTTAAAAGACCAAAGAAACCAATATACGCCCACAATACAAGAGCGGTTCCAGCCTTGGCGCCAGGAGGGGGTCACATAGTCGTGGTCAAGTCAAGAACTTATAATTTAATTTTGATAACAATAGATGCAAGTAAAAAGTAGGTATTTTATTAATGTACTGTACCTACTTTAAAATATTTATTCTTTATTGTAGATACACTTAAAAAACTTAACACATAATAACTTGTACATATTGCCATCTTCTCTTGAAGACATCCAGAGAAGCACTATCACGCTCGGAATGAGGCAGTCTATTAAATTCCATATTCGTGGTGAATAATTTGTCATAATAGCTAGAGGTATGTATGTCGAGGGGTATGACGTAAAACTCCGCAAAAGTGAAGAGGTATTGCGACAAGGGTTTCCAAGAAACAAAATAAAAACAGACAAAATACATATATTTAAATAATAAAATCAATTTTTCTTTTACGTATTTTCCCGAAACATGTTATTACGTCATTTACGTCAATGGGTACGTTTTTATGAATGTGGAGAAGTGCCAGCCCGGTTAGGCGATCTTCAACCATTGCAGATCTTAGCCACGATTTAATTCTGCGCAATGTAGAGAAAAACCTTTCCGCTGTCGCTGTACTGACAAGTAGTGTAGCCATAATACATAAAAATTTTCTTACCTATCTATGTATTCTATACCTACATATCGATGTCATAATTTTATATAAGATCAGAAATCGACTGCGCCATGTCCTGGCTCCGCTGCCAAGCCTGCCACTTCACCATCCACAGTCCCTATTCATTTACACAGACAGACAGAAACTGGAAGATTATCTAGTAATAATGTATAGTCGGTAGCTAGTCGTTTCACAGTTTAAATGTCTTCATTACTATATTCGCTTTTAGGCATGAAAACGCTAAACTTATATTGAAGGTATGTAGTTACATAAAATTTGTATGGTGACAAAATATATAAATAAGATCATTAAGTTCAATTAGTGGTCCACCTAAATCCTGGATCCAACTCGGTCATGACCCCCATGACCCCCTTCCCCCCCTGGATCCGCCGTTGCCACAATATATTCTTTATATAAAAGAATCAATACACAATTTACAAACATGAAAATTATGGAATAAAAAATCTGTCGAAAACTTGTCGATTTAATAGATAAAATATGGATTAAATGTTATGTTATTAATACAGTATTAAAATATGTTATAAATTAGAAATGTAGAGTACAAAGTGCACGAATAATAAAATTAACATAGTGCAAGAGCCTACTGTACTCGGCTGCGAGGTAGTTCGATGAACTCTGTGATACTTAGTACGCTTCGTATTACAAAGATAGGTATAATGGAAACATATGTATCGATTCGGGAGCAGGGAAGTCCTATGGCTCACTAGTGAGAGAGATGAGTGTTGGAAACTCCAACAAAACTACAGATATACTTAAACCTTTTTACTATTTACTACATACATTTTAAATAGAGAACTATGTGCGTTCTTGAGCGATTAGCTTTTGTACAGCAGTCAGACCCTAAATCACATATTTTTCGAATGTTCCGCTTATAATATTCAACGCTTGGTCGTTATTGATAATTTACTGAACATTTACAAGAAACCGGAAAAAATCCCGCGCGACATCCAAGACATGCTAACTAATTTTGAAACATATATACCTATATATTTATACGTTACCTCGATATCGATAAAACTTTAAATAATTGATACAAGGATATGGACTACGGATAAGACTTAAATTTTGAACACGAATGAAAACATAATAAATAAACATACATAAGAATTGGCCTTTGGCCTCATCACTTGTTCAAATATGAAGAAGTTTCAAAGTAGACTAGGCTGTACGGTCTAAGAATCATTGCCTGTTCCATCACTGAAAAGGAGATGGTCGAATATGGAAAAAAAAAAAGATTAGCTTTTGTTTTTGTTTGTTTTTAGTTTCCTGTTCAATATTTCGCGGCATATTTTGGATTTTATTTATTAATAAAATATCATAACATGTCAATTTAAAACGAATTGATGTTTTAATTATTTTACTATACATTAAATCTACACATTGTGTATGTGTAAAACAATGAACGAAGTGAGCTGAATATAAGAGTAAATTTCCGGCTCTAATTAGGATTTACCTTTTGTGTTGCATTTATATTAATATATTATTTTTTTAATAATTAATAATCATGTAGTAGTCTTTGTCACGATTATGAACTTTAGTACGCTCTTCATAACAGACATTTAGTCGTGCGAACAAAAATGGCCCACAACTATTTTTGCATTTTTATTGCCATATAACATTTCAATTCTGTCACGATAAAAAATATATAAGCCACATTATAACCGATTAACATAAAGTGATCATAATAAAACGGTAAAATTGATAACGATAAGTTCGTCGGAAATCACAATATGTCATTGTGTTGTTATGTATAATAAATACATTATGCCTACGTCACGATAAAAATACTTAGCTATTACTGAAAATTGTGGATATTATTATATGGCTGCATAGACAATTTTTTGAAATGCTTATCGGTGGCAGGTACAGGTTAAAGGGAATTACAGAATTTTAGATTTTAAAGAAAATCTCTGGGAACCAAGGGATTATTTAAGATACGTATTTATTATTGGATTTTTGTGCAATTACGCTCTTTGATTATATGATTACTGTTGTATAATTATAACAGATTAGATTACATGAAAGAACACACATTAATTTTGAGTACACACGAATTATACTGTAGGCATACAAATCTACTTCTAATTTACTAATATTGTAAATGCGAAAGTTTGTTAGTATGGATGGACGTTTCGATATTTATTACTTATATAGACCAAAACTACTGAACAGATTCTGATATCAGATCAGATAGATTTCTTCTATATATTTCTACATTAACATATAGTGTACTTTTTACCCGAAGCAATACCCCTCTGATAGATATCGCAACTATCGAAATAACAGCGTCGACTAGTGCTGCTATTAGTCTGAAGTCGATTCGTCGGACAGGATTGATCGATTTTCAGTCGGTCCATAAGTCCTTCCGCGAGTTTGGTTTCCTCTGCACTCTCCCTAATTACAGAGCACTATTTTATGTAATGTATGTATGTACAAAATATGTAAGACTAGTTTAAGGAATACGAATTTACGCGGACAGCGTAGATGGATAAATCAGGTAGTAAATAATCAAAATAGTCCAAAATTACATTCTTACAGCATCACTGTAATTGCTCCTATGTATTGATATGTTAAACTTCGAAGACACTCACCAGTCTAAAGTATTATATTCACTGAGGCCTAAGGTTTTATTATTTTGAGCTAAATTTGTTCAACACTATGCAGTCAACATTTGCAGCAACAGGAGAAATATTTTTTTTTAAACAGAGTTGAGGGCGATTCTATAGAAGGCGAAGAACTAAAGTTTCTTGTAATATTTTATTATTCCTAATTATTATTTATTACAGTTTGTTACTGTGTGTTTACTTTTGTAAATATCTACACGAACAAGCTCAAAACCCAAAAAAAAGTATGAATGAAAAATAAAACAAAAATGTTTTTTAATTTGCCGACGTTACGTAGATACTTGCTGTATCATAGTGTTTCAATACAAAGTCTATGGCCGCCTTTATCTAAATATTTTTTGTAAAATACTGTACTAGAATGTTACTGAAATAAGATCCTTATTGCACTAGAAATAAGGTTGTCGACATAAAATGCATGTTTATTACTGAGATTTTTACCATGCCTGCAAAGGAAGTTTTTCAAAACATCGTCTGCACAAATTGCAATAGTTGTAGCGTTGTTATATTTCGAGATAATTGAGAAAATACACGGGAACAAAAATAGGGATTATGTACTAATCTCTGTACAATAACTATTATCACTACATATTATCATGTACAAATTGATACGAGTCCTAAATATGATATTGTCATATGACGAGATTTAACTGTCAGATTAGATATTTAGATTACAAATATATCTACTATACAGACAATTGTAATTTAAATCGTATGTTAGGGCTCTACACCCACTGAAGCATGCGAAGCGATTAAAAATATTTTACATGTTTTTTTTTATAATAATGTAAATTCTTATAACAAAAAAATGTATAACCTTATCCGAGAACATCTTGTAACGACTTAAAAACCAGATCTCAAGAATAACAATTAACAATAACAGGGCCTTATATTATGTAGTAAATTAGTTTCTAACTAAATTTATAACAAGTATGCAAATGTAAAAAATTACATAAATTTTAAATACACCAACAATCATAATATATTTATGAGTGCTATACTATTAGCTTTATACACATTATTTAAAAATAAAAATTACTTATTGAAATTCTGAATTTGGCCATGTAGAAATAAATTATATACATCGCTTATACCATATTAGTGGTTTGATTACTTAAAACAAGAAAGTGTTATCTATATGTACAGTTATATATATATACGAAAACGGTGTAAAACAATCCAATTCATTCAAATTGCGATTGCGCGACCGACAGGTGCAATTATTGTCAAACAATGTCGCGAATATTATTTGTACTGTTGACTTGTCTACTAAAATTGTCAGTACAGGTGCGTAATAAATATATTATTATAGGATATTTCCAATTGTATTTATCCAATACTTATTAGCGTGGTCCATAAGCTGTATTTCGTTTGAAGAATATGTATGTATGTGTCAGTAAAATTACATGGTATACGGGCGTAACATCGTAATTTTTCGGAATTGTTGCCATTCCGAAATATATAGCCGACTCCTTGGTATTCTAGTCACATAAAAATATCCAAAAATCCACTATTTAGTCAATAGCAACTGGCATCGACTATTTTGTTCTTTTTACAATTAGCATATTGAGGCAATAGCAAAGAACATTATTTGCCGTCATTTTTCTATAAGGAGAAAACTTTAGAAATTAAGTGCGGCCTATTTATTTATGTGCTATATATTTATTAATGTTATCTATTTTTGCAAATAAACCTAAAAGATTAGTAATTCTATTTAAAATCCCAAATTACACACGCCTGTTTATTTTGTCTTTAGAAAATGTTAAAAGTATACATATAAATATATATTTTTTTAAGAAGATGCTCAAGAAAACATTGTTTAATTATTTACTTAATATTAAAAAAAAATAAAGTTTATATGTACAAACAAAATCTAAGTAGCTAAATAATATATATTTGTTTTAATAATATAGTCTGTATTCTTTGTAATAAATATGAAGCATGACTTTTTTTAACATAAACGTATTAAAGTATTGTGCTTTAATAAATTGTCCTTTCCAGATATGCTTTAATAGACAATTCGATTAGAATTTTATTTTAATAAATAATTCGCTTATTCTGATTCTGATTGTCTCTTATTCTGATGATCCGTATATGGTTTTGATTTATGCAGATACATAAGATTTTTAAGGGTACCTTATTTACTAGGGTTTCGAACTTTGGCTCAGGACGCAGTTTCATAGATATGAGTATTAAACAATTTCAAAAATTAAATATTTTGTTTTATTGTAATTATTACATTAACTAATTGCTATTTATATATTATAGAGATCCTATCCAGAAGATGACAGCTATGTGGCGGCTGTTCTAGAGTTTCAGGTGTCCATAAGCTCGACCTTAGCCCTCCGTGATTATGTTGATTTCATCAAAGTAGCTGCGGATAAGGTAAATATTATGTATATATGTATACATATTTATTCAAAATTAATATATACATAAGATGCTCAGTAACATATAGCGCATAAAAAATATTGTATGTAACAAAAACCAATTTAATGCTGATTACAGATGTAGGTACATAAAATAATACAATATTCAACAAATATTTACAACATATATCCAATAATTTCAGAATGCAGATATCGTGGTGTTTCCAGAATTGACGTTAACAAGAGGCGGATATAGTACTATACCAATAAAAGGCCTTCTACTAGATTATCCTGTTCCGGCACTGAATCCAGAGTTCTACGACGAGGTGAGTTCTACAAGTTTAATTTTATTTTAAATTTTTTTTTAATTTTATTTTCAACCTTATCATATAGATGTAAATAAATAATATATTTATAGCGATTAAAAACATAATAAATACATATTACACCTTCCTGCAATAATATTTCTTTAATATTTAAAACTTCATTAAATATTGTAGGATGCTTGTAAGTTTTTATTTCAGTATAAAATACTACCCCTGAAATGTTACCTCACATCTGTATCCGAAAGATATAGGTTATTAATATTAATAATTGTTAATGAACTATTAACAGACTTACCGGAACTGACATTAAAAAACACAGCTATAAATTAAAAACACTTGACTAAATGGTTGTTAACCAAAGTTTTCTACAGTGTGAAAGAATACAGTAAATCATAAAAGTCAGTTTCGATAATTATTCGCAACCATACCTACTTGATATTAAAATTCTGAAGTATTAAATATTTTATTTCTAACGTAATTTTAGTAAATCTTAATTTATTATAATACTTATTTAATTATTTTAATTTATTGAACATAAGAATGTATAAATAGTCTTTGATTATTGAAACACTTCTAATCATGATATTATTAAATAAAAAAAATTGTATACATTTGTGCAATTAAACAAGTGCTTATAAAAATTTTACTTGGCTTGAAAGTTGTTACAATAAAAAATTATATTTAAGCAAACATTTTGGTTAGTTTTTATTTGATAGACAAAATAGGAAGGTTTAGGATCACGGATCACGGATCTTTAAACGCGCGTTAATCAATATAGTTGGCGGAAAGTTGCGGCGTGGCGGAAAGTTAGTTTACAATCATTTTTGACTGACTGCCTCGGCCGCCTAGCGGTTTAGCACACCGCTTCACTTAAGATGGTCCCGATTTTCGCAGGAAATAAACATTTGCCTTTATAAGCATAATTATTTCTTTTGGTCTAAATGTGTAGGCGCCCGGTATGTTATGCATATGTATACAAAAAAAATATTACGTATGAATTTCTATCAGTTATTTGGTACTTAAACAAGCTCTGCTTATTTAGGGACTAAATAGTGCTATGTTAATTGTCCTGGCTTATTAATATGTCTATTATTAAAAACGGTTTCAGTTTCTAATCGAAATCTCGAATGCAGCCAGAGTAAACAGCATATATGTGGTTATTAATGTACAAGAGCGCGTGGACTGTACAGTTCCTACAGAAGAAGTATGTCCAGAAGAGAAAATATACTTTTTTAATACTGACGTCGTGTTCGATAGAAATGGTGCTGTTATAGACAGGTAAGCGATACCAACATAATATTAATACATGAAGTAAGGACTTAGTATCTTCTTACGAAAATTACACGGATGCAGTAGAATATAAATGGACACAGTGAAGGAGTGTGAATCCAAAAGGAGTGCAGAAAGCGAATTTTGTTTTTATAAAACACTTTATATATATAAAATCAAACCACGCCTATAACATATATACATAAAGCTTCATCGTCCAGTGAAGCTGTAAAGGCTAGCAGCGCCCAACAGTACTAGAGTAGTCCGAAAAAAAATAGATACATAGCACGCACATTTTTTTAATGTATGTAAAATTGATAATGAAATGGTTCCATTCCATTATTAGACATTAAAAAACACCTTACGCTAATGGTTTACGTTGGCGAAACCCCAGTGGAATATAGATAATAAGATGAACATAAAATTAGGTCAGTTAGACCATCATGACAAATTTATGCAGAAACTTAACCAATTTTGTTTATAATCTTCTACAACAAAACCTTAATAACATTTTACATTTGCATTAGCATTTCAATTAGCACGTAATAGCGTTAGTTGTAAGTTAGCAATACATTAATATAAAGATATTCAACTCTGTGAAAAATATTACAGAATTAGATTACCGCCTTTTAAGATATGCAGTGATTGAGTGAATACTGGGATGTTTCTCAATGATTTCATGATGAATTAAATGATGAAATTTTATTCTTCCAGATACCGCAAAATTAATTTATTTGGTGAACCAGGCCGTACTCCAGCTCTAAGTCCAGAGTTGGGCATATTTGAAACAGACTTCGGTGTAAAATTCGGACATCATATATGTTTTGATTTAATGTTTCAAGTACCCAGTATTCAAATAATTGAGAAGCATAACATTACTGACGTCATATTTCCTACTATGTGGTTTTCGGAAATGCCCTACTTGACTGGTAATATTATTTTAAATGTATTCTAAAGTAATATAAGTGTAGCATATGACGTCTTGTTCATTATAAAGAGATCTAGCTGTGTGCTTAATTTCTTGCAGCAAGAGTAACAAGTGCTATCGTTCAATCTCATTCCTACCTGAATATAATACGAAAAAGATTGTTAGATTCTTAAGTACCTTATTTTTTTTCCTTTTACAATTCTAAACTGGGTAATAGATTGTTTTTTAGAAGAGTTGCCCAGTTTAAAAACGTAAACTCGTGAACTGAAACAAAACCACTTCACAAAATTTGCTACAGGGCCTGTATAATTAATTATTATTTTATCCATATTCAGCTGTCCAAATCCAACAAGCATACGCATCCAGCATGAACATCAATTTCCTCGCTAGTGGCGCTAACAACGTGCGTATCGGTAGTGCTGGTACGTATATATCCGTTTCTAATTGTGTTTTTTCTTATGGATAACTAATTGCGGTTTACACTGGCCAAGTGGCCAGTGGAGGATGATAAGGTGAGCATGAGGTCAGGTTAGCCCATCGTATTAAATTCGCTACGAATTTATTATGATGGTTTCCAGAGGGAACCACGTGGTGATTAACCTGATATGGACATTGCTAGCAATGATGTTATTAGTCCACATTACCACAGATAACATAACATGTATGTACTAAAAAATGAGTACGTTAGTTTGTCGGAGTTTTTTTCAATGTATATAATCTACATGTATGTCTTAAACATACATTAAGTATTTCCATCAGTTATCTATAATAGTACCTCTAATACAAGCTCTGTTTAGTTTGGGAATAAATAGAACTGTGGGAATTGTCCTGCGTAAAATGGTCATTATTATATTCGTATATCTACATTTACTGTACTATTATTACTGTATTGTTATTTTTGTTTACCTAAATGTTACTATTATAATAATTTATTAGTATATTTACATTTTAGGGTCTGGTATTTTCTCTGGTAAGGCGGGTGCATTAACCAGTATAATGCCGGGAGTGCCTACCACAGAACTACTTATCGCCAAGGTCCCAAAAATACCAGGACAGGTAAATAAACTATTTATATAGTATATGTTATTAACAACTAAAATCTATTTAATTTCATTCAGTTTAACAAATAACTTTTCTAATCATAATGTTTATTATTTAAATTATAATACTGTAGAACCATATTTTTGTTCTCATTAAAAGGTTGACTACTATGTGTATCATCTATATCTATATCATATATAGGGTATATGTTATGTATATTATATAACTAGCTGTACACGCGACTTCGTTCGCGTGGTATTTAACTTTATTGTTCTAAAATAAAAGATTTTTGTAAAATAACCTGCTAATAAAAATCCCGTCAAAATCGTTTCAGCCATTTCAGAGATTAGCCGAACAGACAAAAATTGTAAAAAATGTTATTTTGGTGTATGTACCGTATTTATTCATATGCATGTAGTAAAAAACGGTTATTTGAATATTACAAACAGACACTCCAATGTTATTTAATAGGTATATATATACTATATAATTTGTTATACTGCTAGGTTACAGAACCGATTAGTGGTCCGATCTACAACAGCCCCGCTGAACAAGACTCATTGAGACTGATCGTGGATCCTTCCTACCCGGCACACATCACCAGGGAACTTACAGAAGGTTTTCAGGAGTTCATATTGACAGACAAGCAAGTTAGCTGCCAATTCTCCGTCAAGCTTAATCAGAGACCTGGAACTCAGGTTAGCATTGCAATTTTACATGTTTTAATTTTAATAATTTACGTATTACTCTACTTGACTTAATAATAGAGTAAGTCGAGTAGAGCGGAAAGTAAATATTTACTGCAAAGTTTCGATTGAAAGTATTGCTATCGCGCTTGGGTAATGGAAATCGCAAGGTCACTGAAAAATACCTTTTTTTTATACTACGATGGTGGCAATCAAGCATACGGCCCATCTGATGGTAAATGGTTACCTATGAACGCCTGAAACACTAGGGGCATCGTACGAGTACGTCGTAATTTCACTCCTCAAGTACTAAGCCTAATACCCAGTAATTTCACTGCCATACTCATCCAAAAACCAAGTGATGCTTTTTTTGCTCTCATCTTATTATACTCTTCTTAAATCCCATCCAATCCCAGACTATCCAATATCCATAGTCCAGTATTTTTAATTTCTCTGTTTGACCTGACCCTACAACCGATACCTCGTACAAGGCAAGGAAAGGAATCGTGGGTACATATCTATATTATTGACCCTGAATATGAGAATATCTTTTTTATTTTATTTTTTTCTGCATTTGCTATTTCCGGGTACAGCTAGTATGATATTTTATAAAACTTGATTTTCGTTGCAGAACTACAAGTATAGGGCAGCGGCTTTCGACGGAGTGCGTAGCTTCACAGGGGTAGCGACTGGTGGTAACAGGGTGTGTTCCGTAGTAGCTTGCACCGGAGACACCATCGACACTTGCGGAACGAGGTGAGAAATAGAAATAAACTTTATCTGAAAAAACTAATGTGATTTATGAAACTTTTGAATGTTTTTCTTATTCTACCTTTATATCGGAATGGAGTTTCAAATAGAGAATGAGAAACTTACGTGTTGCTCCTTTAAACAGTTGCTACCTGCCTTCTTTACCTTTTTAAAAATACGTAAACTGTACGATTTTTCACGCACTCGGTGGTTTAGCACACCGCTTTATTTCCGAGGGTTCGATTCCTCCTTGCGGGTTCCTCACACATTACAAATATTTGTATTCATGAGTATGATTGTTTGTATCGGTCTGGATGTTTTCTATGTATAATATGTATATGTAGGTATTTACAAAAAAAAATCTATGTATATGTATCAGCTATCTAGTACACATAACACAAGCTTTAGCTTTTGTCCAGAGATTATTATTATTGTATAACTATTAAGTACCGAAGAAGTACAAACATAATAATAATAGTATATATTATTTTTGATATTATAAATGCCAGGCTGTAACTGTCTGTCAGTTTGTTTGTTACCTTGTCACGACTAAACAAAGGGTTTAATAAATGAAATGTTATTCAAAGTCGTGGAGATAGATTGTATCACGAAGCTGGGCATTAGTTTTTTTGAAAAAGCAGACGAATACCGTAGTAATAACTGGTATGAAAAAATATTATAAAAATTAAAATACTTCTGTATCTTCTTATATATAAAATTCTCGTGTTATGTTAGTTAATATTCCTATGAAACGGGTATATTCAGTAGGTCTGAGAATCGGCTACTATCTATTTTTCACACCCATAAATGATAAGGGTTGTCCACTTCTAAAATTTTTTTTATTTTTTAGACAAAATTTTATTTTTTTATAATGTGGCATTAAAAAAAATATGTAACCCTAAATTTTCACCCTTCCATCACCAATCACTTTTTTTAATAGTGATTGTAATTTATGTGGCACACAACGTTTGCGGGCTCAGCTAGTTCTTATATAGAATTGATATAATTTGTAAAATTTATTCCCAGGTTTCCCGTATTTGCTGAGAACACAACCGCCATCTTTGAAGAGCTCACCATCGTTGCAACAGTGCCTACCCCAGTTATAGACCAAGAAGTACAAGCCCGTGACTCTGCTTTCTTCCCATTATCGCTGGACATATATATTATGCCATTAAAACCGCAAGAATTTACTTACTATGAAAATGAATACGGGAACGTCACTATTTACAATCTGACGTTGAACAATTACGATGCTCAATTATATAGTTTTGCGGTGTGGGGTAGAGTGTTCGCTACGGATGGAGATATAGAGACACCACCTGTTGAGGTTAGTTTGGTTTGATGCAATGAAGAATGTTAATAGGTATACCAAATCGGTTGTAAGTTTGGTATAATAAAGCTTGTATGTATACAAATATATTAGTTTTTGTTTTAGTCAGAAATACCCATTAGTTTTGATTTTATAGGCATTTAAACTTACGATAAATTTCGAGTCCCGCTAACAGTCTACACACAGCAGTCAACGTGACATGTGACGTCATTTTACAACGCTCCGCTCCGCTTAGTAGCGAGTCGCCGAGTTTGTGCAGTAGGTATTTTGTTTTGTTTTCATCTACGCATTACGTTAATATTCTATTAATGATGTGGATAAAGCAGTCGAAAAAGGACAATCGGATGATCTGCCTACAATAGATGCACTAATGGTTGCCCATTATTTATCAATAAATAGTGATTTCATTGCCGCCGAAATGCGAGGAATAAAAATGCAAAGGTAAGTTAACTTTTCTTGCTATTTAGAAAATTATTTATCTGTTTTAAAGTGTTCTTTTAAAACAAATACCCAACTGATGTCGTATTGCAAGTATTGCAACTTAAATAGGCAGAAGTACCAAACCTTCTAAGTTTTACGTTGTAGACAACAAATGTGTGTTAGAGTTTTATGTCTATAGGTACATATGTACATATGTGAATATTGGTACCTCTTTTAGTAAATTTAACTAAACATATATATTGATTTATTGCAAACGTAGTGGGCTGAACAAATGTACTAAACCTTTTTTTAATTTTGATTTGTCTTATTAATAGGCCGTTTTATTTATTTTTATTTGTAACTTATTCCAGACAGCTTTGGTGGTGATGCTATCGGTTACATACAAGTAAAAAGAGCAAGTGATGTTCGTACGGTCAAATGTAGAATCACGCGCGAACACCGCGTACGTACCACACGTTATCGTTGCAGTTTAGAATGTAATGAAAAGGACCACGAAGTTTTAAATGTAATTTGCGAAGATTGTGCCGCCAACAGAGGCTGTAAACTTACTATATCATTTTTAATGTGGCTACATCGTCGAAAAGAGAACTTAACGACTGTTATCAAATTTGTTGGATTTTTTTGTGGTTATAATAAAAATAACTATTATTTTAGTGGTTGTATTTGTACATTTCGGCATAACACATTTGAAGGTATTTATAATTTCTAATGAAACGTAAGACGCCTCCGTGCAGAGAGCGCGAGCGGACAGAGCGAGTGTTGTACTATGACGTCACACCGTCACACGAGTCCACGTCGCACGTTTACTTCTATAAATCAGAAACTAATTAACGTATTGAAGTAATTCTTTCACTTATATTTTTTATTTTTGACAGAGAATATGGAGAGCTAATATTCAAAATTAGTTAACATTCTTCATTATCCTTTTACACTCGTCCTTTTTCGTCCGAACTCATCCATTCCGGCAAATCTGTAAAGCTGTACTAGCTACGGCTAGCGTAGCTAGAGATTTTTTCGAATATTGTTGCATAAAAATCCCTATACTCTAAAGGTAACTTCGGCAGTAATTCATTCTACATAATGGTTGGTTGGTTTACGTAATCTTGGTCTGATATTATTCTAAGTATATTTGTGTTTTACATAAATGCATTCTAGGTTCCAAGAACAGACAGTTATGTGGCGGCAGTTTTAGAATATACAGTCCCAAGTAGTTCAGCCGTGGCTCTACCAGATTACGTCAATTATATAAAGGAAGCTGCGGATCAGGTAACTGGAAATAGAAATAGATATAGTCTAATATTCAAATAAAATTAATGGTAAGCACATTTAACTAGTCATATTTTTTTTATTCTATTATACTATGCATACGGAATGCAGATTCATCACAAGAAGAATAAGCAAGAACCTTGCGTGTTGCTCTAGCCCACAATGTTGTTCAGCATTACATTTTTATAATTTTGTATGAATATAAACTATCACATAGGAAAATTAGTAAATATAATTTTTTGTTATATTTAGTTAATTATTATATATATAAGTATAATTAATACATTTATTTTAAAATCTGTTACATTTTTATTAATAAATAATTCTCCTATATGGCGATTTCATAGTTATAGTTATATAGTTCATAGTTGTAACTATTTAAGTTAATATTTTTACAAATCTAAACGCCTAATAGTCTGGTGACCGAAGAACTGGGGATTGGTAAGCGTATATTCGTTTAGCTATACAGCGAAGCAATATAGCTTTGTATAGATGTACCTTTTTTTAAATAATATTGAATTAATAAATCTTTTATATGTACCAAGAAACTTTTATTATTTATGTAGATCACTAAACATAATTTTATTTACTTTATGTAAATCACATCAACAGAAAGCGGACATCATGGTGTTCCCTGAAATGACGCTTACCAGAGGCAGCGAAGCAGTCAATGTTCCCATACATGACATTTTACTAGAGTATCCTATACCAGCTCTACACCCGGAACTCTACGATGATGTGAGTACTAATATTATAAATTATTTATTGTAGAAATAGAAATATAAATGATCTTATTAAAATAAGAACTGAAGATACATGTAAGATGTCATGATAATCAGTCTAACAAATAAAAGATTGTATGTATATGTATATATGAGGACATAGGTATATAGGCTATCTTTTATCTTAAACTGGCAGTGTATGTCACAGGAATTATAATATGTAGTCATGTATAAATACAAATTATATTAAAGTGATCATGAGAACTCATTTTAGCCGTAATCCTGAAACAAGCATTCAAGTTTACGTTGCTAATTGCTAATATTATTACTAACACAATTAGGAATTACCAACACAAAATGAAGATTGAAAGGTTAGGAGTTATTTTAGCACTAGGTAACCGCTTAGATATGATAATATTATAGCATGCTGATTTCCTTACTGCCCTTTTGACAATAGATCCGATACTTCGTATCATATCGTTCAAAATTATAGAATAGAACTTATCTGTACTAAAATTAACTTAATTTTAAGCACTTCAAAATAGTATATCTTTTTCTACCACCCATTCGGAGTTCAGGTTAAGCCAAGAAGAATGTGAAAGGAACCTTGCCTCTTACTCTTAATGTTTATACCTTTACATATTTCAGGTAAAACTATTGTGAGTGCAAACTACCAAATAGCACTATGAGTGGAAAAATAAATCAGTCATAATGATAGGATTTTTACATATATAAATTGTTTATTTTACAGATTATAGTCTCTATTTCAAATGCATCAAGATCGAACCGCATATATGTAGTTATCAACGTCCAAGAGCGCATGGACTGCACGGTGACAACTAATGAAGAATGTCCAGAAGACATTGTATATCTTTTCAATACAAACGTTGTTTTTGATAGAAACGGAGCTGTGATAGACCGGTAAGTAATTATTTTTATGGTATGTAACTGGACTGGCTAACATACGGCCCACCTGATGGTAAGGCCTATATGTATATGGTACATAAAGAGCATATTAATCATCAGTTAGTGGACATCACGTCATCCTGCGAGCAACCATTTTTTCTGTTCTTTATACATTTATGTAAATATGATTTAATTATGCATAATTAATTAATTAAAGTGCATAACTAATTGTACATAATAAATTTAATTGAAATGGGATATCTAGTAATCGAATCTAATACATCCAACATCGTAATAATTCAATTTAATTAAACCCAAAATAATTCATTTCATACAGACGTAGTTTACCTGTAATCTGCCTCTTATGCCCGTAATTTTTTATCACTATCCTTCCTCACCATCCTGTTCGGCTAGCATTTTTTGTTTTTGTTAAGTATTGAACATTTAATATCTATATCTATAATAACGACTTCGGTACCGATGGGTCATGGGTTTGATACATCGCGCACACTCGGTACAAACATTTATATTCATGAGTATGATTGTTTTGCTCAGGGTATTTTCTGTTTATGTATATCTTTATATCAGTCATCTAGTACCCATAAAACAGGCTCTGCTTATCTAAATGCTTGATTTATCCTAACTAGATAACATTGTGTAAGTTGTCCTGAGATACTAATATTATTAGTTACAAGTTTCTTGATCATTCTTCTTGTGGTGAGTGATAGAGATTATTAGAATAAAAATCATTTCTATTATTACAGATACCGTAAAATTAACTTGTTCGGTGAGAGAAACCGCACTCCTGCCTTAACACCAGACTTGGGAGTATTCGAGACTGACTTTGGTGTGACATTTGGTCACCACGTGTGCTTCGATCTCATGTTCCAAGTGCCTGCTTTACAAGTTGTCGAAAAATATAATCTTACTGATGTCATATTTACCACTATGTGGTTTTCTGAGATGCCCTATTTAACAGGCAAGTTGTTTTATAATAAATAAGCTATATACAGAGGTGCCACCTGCGGGGGGTTTGAGTACACGGTGTCTTAATAATTTTACTGTAGTGAATATTTAAATACAGTACAATTATACTTATAATTGTACTGTATTTAAATATTCACTTAAACAAAAAGCTAATGCGCACATACATTAATTATACCAAATACTATAATTATAATCAAAGATACCTATATGTGTGCCAGGATTCATTTAAATTCGTTCAGTAATTTTTCCGTGATAGGTCTACAAACATCCAAACATCCATTAACAGATTCTCCAAAATAGAGACAAATTTACCGTTTTTAATATTAGTAGGATTTTTAAACGCATATAACATTTTTACTATATATTCTACTATCCAAATATTGTATGATATTCAATTTAAGGATGGTAATACGTAATTATAATATCTTAGATAAATAAATAAATATGTTATATTTTATATCTCACTCACTCAACATCTTTATTTCTAATCAAAAACCTATTTCACGTTCCTGCCTCTCCATTTTTATTTGTTATGCATATGTGTGTCTTTCTTATATTTGTCTTATCACGTTTTTTTTTATTTACAGCTGTGCAAATTCAAGAAGGGTTTGCATATAGTATGAACATAAACTTCATCGCTAGTGGAGCCAATAATGTGGGCATAGGTAGCGCAGGTTAGTATTGAATGTATATAGGTATATATAGTTTTGGTATAGCTCTTTTACCTATTAGCTGTGCCCGCAGTTTCATTCTGATGTATAAGCTATGTTATTGTAAAGTTTCATGGAAATCTATGAGACATACTTACCTAGACATTAAAATGATACTTGCAACTAATTAGCTCACAAACTTCCGCGTATAGAATATTTTACTAATAGCTGCATATTTTACTGGCAGTTAAGTTATACAGTTTATTCTGACTTGTAACTTGAAACAGTCATGCTTGCTATAAAGTTCAAACTTGTGGCGGGGTGGTGGGTCGGGTCGATGTACTCCCTCTAATATGCTTGAATGCTATAATGGGTGGCTCATCCGTCATACTCTTGAACGGGTGCTGCTTGTGGGGACTGGTCTGTTCAGGTTGCGAACACCGATTAGATTTTAGTTTTTTTTTTTCAATAGCATATGCTGGTGGTCACTCTATTCTTCCAAATTTGAATTTAAATGAATCTGTATTATTGTAACTAAGTACAACATTTAAAAAAAAATACGAGCTGAGTTTCTTCTCCGTTCTTCTCATCTCGAAATAATTCCGAACTGACGGTAGATTTGACATATCATAAGAGTCTGTAATAGACCTACATGTATAAAGATATTTTGAATTTGAATTGTGAATATATAAGTATATTATATATAATATTAAGTATATTATATATATAAGTGTTGACTGCTCAGCCTTTGGACATATAACTTAAGTTTTCACGAAAAATATTGTATATTTTTAGGCTCGGGAATCTTCTCAGGAAAAGCAGGTGCTCTAGTCAGCACAATGCCCGGAACAGCCACAACCCAACTACTCGTGGCAAGAGTGCCGAAAGTACCTGGCAATGTAAGTATAAATGTTATAAAAAATTGCCATCTGCATTTACATGATTGTTTGTTCACTTAATTCTCGACTATCTAAAGGTATTTGTTCGCTGTTTACTATAATTAAAATAAATTTATAAATTGTAGACTAAAGTCGACGTATATAAATATAAAAAAAATTGCACCGAATTTATGTGTTTTGTCTGTAAATTTATCTAGAACTAGCTGTACCCGCGACTTCGTCCTCGTGGAATTATATTTTATTTTTCTAAAATAAAATAATGTTTGTAAAATAAAAGTAGCCTAAGTTACTACTTATTACAATATCTACCTGCCAAAAAAAAGTCCCGTCAAAATCGGCCCAGCACTTTCAGAGATTAGCCGGAACAAACAGACAACGATTTAAAAAATTAATATTTTGGTGTATGTACCGTATTTATATTCATAGGCATGTAGTAAAAAACGGTTATTTCAATATTACAAACAGACACTCCAATTTTATTTATATGTATAGATGTAAATAATAAAAAACACAATTCAGATATAATAAACAAACCCAAATATATTGATTATAATATACTTATAAGTATCTTTTATAGGCAGCCTCGATTTAGATTATGCTGTGTATGTGTATCGAACACTCATTGAGACGTTCTCTAATGTTCGTATAGGTAACAGAACCACCACTAGGTCCAATCTATGACGACCCTGTGAATCACGATGGCCTGGTCCTCATTACCGACCCTTCATATCCTGCGCACATCACTAAGGAACTGACTCCAGGTAGCCACAACTTCACACTCAAGAACAATGAAGTCAGTTGCAGGTTTACCGTCACCATCGCTCGGAGAGCGGGAGATCGGGTTTGTACATTAACATATATACAAATAAATAGAATTTGATTGTCTATTTGTAATTTTAAATTAAGCTATTTTAACTAAATCGATATACCGATATATCGATATACCCCTTCTGAATAATTCACACAACGCAATCAAGTATCATCCTAAGCAGAGCTTGTGTTATGGCTACTAGAGACTACTACTACTGATATAAATACTTGGATATATAATAAAATATATATAAGTAGGTATATATCAAACTGCAAACAATCATACTTAGGAATACGAATGTTTGTAATGTGCGAGGAATCAAAAGTAAGATGGTGTGCTAAACCGCTAGAGCACCGAGGGAGTCTAAGAGATGGCTTAAAGAATGTCAATGTATTGTAAAATGTTATCTAAAACTTTTGTGTTTATTTAATACCAAACAGCTCACACACAAAAATCTTGTAAGCTACCATTATTCCAAATATCAAACTGACGACGTCGTAAACATAACAAATGTGATATATGTATCTGATGTTTTTTTCAGCACTACAAGTATAGGGCAGCAGCATTCGACGGCATCCGTAGCTTCACTGGGGTGGCGACTGGTGGTAACAGGGTTTGTTCTGTTGTCGCTTGCACAGGAGACACCAAGGACACGTGTGGACAGAGGTAGTCATCCAAATACCAATTATATTAGGCAATCGTAACTTATTTCCATAAAACAGCCCTATTCATAACATTAATACTAAATTCAAAGACAAACTTGCTATATCTAAGTATCGTTTAGAAAAAGCTACTGGGTCTTTTATGGGAATAGGTATAACATTTCACAATAAGATACTATAGGATATGCTGAAATTACCTTTAAATAAATTAAAAACATCAGTTAAATTATATTCATTGAGCAAAGTCAAACTCACTAAATGATTATTTAAATGACAAACGTGCATGGCAATTGTTGTTCATATACGGGATTCATTTAATGTTAGACGTAGAAACCTATATAAATAAACAATATACATATATAAACTGGCTTTTAAAAAAAAGTATGTTGAATTTCTTGCTAGTTCTTTTTAATTGAATACTGATCTGGACGGTAGAGTAAAAATAATGTTACAAACATTTTTACTGAATGTCCTAATTGAATAATTCATTTTTGATAAGGTAAGGTAGATGCACCAGTATAGGCGCTTCATGTAAAGTTTACTTTTGTCTGCAGATTTCCTCAATATGCTGAAAACACCACTGCTATCTTTGAGGAACTAATCATTACTGCTACAGTACCCACTCCCGTGTTCGATCCAGAGGTACAAGCACGTAATTCCGCATTCTTCCCCGTGTCTATGGAGGTGTCTATAATGCCTTTGGAAGTTAAAGACTTTACATTCACCGAAAATATCCAAAGCAATAGAACTGTGTACACATTCACATTGAAGAATAAACATGCACGGTTGTATACATTCGCCATTTGGGGAAGAGTGTTCGCTACCGATGGAAAAGAAGAGTCTCCACCTGCCCCGGATTCTTCATCAATACATTTTCTTAATTATCTAATCCTACCAATTTTATTTTTAATACAATTTTATTCACATTATGTCATAATAAGCCTGGATCATTCACAGTTTATGATAAATATATAGATTTTTTGTATATAATAATCTTCAAAAAAGATGTATCTTTCTATAGTTTGTGAATGTTTTGTGATGTTACATAGTTGGCGAATGTTGGAGATGATTCACCGCCAGTTCTTGTACCTACTTATTTCCTACAGTACCATTTTTTATTTTATTTCTACCTACTGGTGTGTATAATATATTTATCAATGGCAACCTATGTAACCTAATTATTATATATACTATATAGTAATAAATTTACATAAATAAATATTTTCATTACTACGTAAGTGATTTTATATTGTATATAAGTAAATAACGGAACAATATAATACTTTTTCGCTATAACACTATCAAATGTACAGCATCTTAATATATATTATTCATAATAAGCTCTAACTACTAAAAGAGCGGTAAAAATAAGAATTGGCTTCGCTTAGATCTCACTAGATTAGTCCAAGTTATACAATATATAGTAGAATATAAGGACGGCCTTAATAGTTCAGCGATTACGCACTCTCCCTTACGTCCGAAAGCCTCCTCCGTCCTCCTTTCCTCCTGCGTATAAATATAATATATTTAGAATAACGTGTATATATACTTTATTCCAAATATATTATATTTATACGAAGTATATGTATGTATCTATATTTACGAAAAAAATCTAAGTACCTACTTTACTAAGTCTGTCAAATCTAGGTTTACATGGTGACATGTGAATTGCCCTGGGTTATTATTATTATATATTGTAAAACTTTATAAATATAATAAAAGTGAGTCAATAGCTTTATAAATTCATCTAGATATGATCCTATACAGTTGGTATTGTAACATTAAAGGTATGGTTGTTTATTTACCTTGTTTTATAGTTATCAATGCAGCCATAAAATCTAGAAAAGGTTGCATTTCTGTAGACGTGCCATGTGAATTCACTGTTACAAAATTTTTCTAAGTACTTCCACTATATTCAGTAAACAATGATGTACCTACTCATATGTATATATAACAAAAGTAATGATTTTGTAAACACTTGAGATATCTTTATTTATCATTGTTGTTACAAAAGTTCTATTTATATTACAACAGACGTCATTGACGAAACATGCAATTCATTGTAGTTTAATTTCAATTGCATTTAATATTATCCTCTTTTGAAATTATTATGCCATGAATTTCTAATTAAATCCATATACAAGTAACATTAATTATACGTAAGTGTGTCTGTCTTTACATTTGACTAAACCACAGAGCTAGGACTTATTTTACTAAACAACTCAAAGTGAAGATAGATTGTGTTGTGAGAAAGGACTAGGCTATCTTTTATGTCCAAAAAGTAGATAAAGTCACGTATAACAACTAGTATCACATTATAAATGTAAAAGCGTGACTCTCTATTAATTACTTTTTTACAGCTATACAGCTGAACGGATCTCCATGACATGTCGTCTTGATATTACGAGTTGTCGTGAAAATAAATTGCATTGCAAATACAGACATAGGCTCACTATTATCTCACAAAAAGAGCCGATGACCCGTGTAATAGCTTAGTTTCATTTACGTTGATACCTAAAGATATCACGAAAACACACCAGCATGTTATCACTGAATACAATAATACTTCTGCAGATCAATATTAACTTTTATTAGGCCAAAGTTCTGACCATCAATAATTTGCAATAATAGTCAGTCGAAAAATAAACTCAGTCCATTGATATTAATCCCGGTCGCTTCTCACTGCACGTGTAAAATAGAACATGTAGGTTTATACATTTTAAAAATAATTATGTATGACAAATATAACTGTCCAATGAGATTTGATGAGATTGTTAGTAATGTGAATTAATAACCCCATTGCTAGTCGGGATGACCTCCACGCGGTTCCTCCTGGACACCATCATATAAATTCCTGGTAAATTTATCACGATGTGCTAACTGATCAGATCTCATGATACTAAACTTATCATCCTTTACTGGTACCTCACCAACGTAAACCGTTAGCGCAGACAGGAGCACCATTCCATTGTTACACATAAAACAAAATATCCATGATGTAGTGGGGGTAGTGTCAAGAACCGCGATTATGTCATCTAAATAATAAAACTAGGTAGTCTTTGCTAAAATATGAAACTATTAAATGTATACAAATTATTAATGGAAAAAATTATTAATGAAACTAGAATTTTTAACTTTAATTAAATACTAAAACCTTTATTTATAATTAAAGTAGAGAAAGTGGAGTGTTTTTCATTTGGCCCCAACCAAGGAAAGATCACTACTTGCTTGCGACAGTTTACTATGACTTGCGAAACTTACTCTGAGAATACTCCAAGGTCTGGTTCCTGTCTGTCTATCCAAAATTTAATATATTTTTTAATTATATATTATTTACCTATTCACTCGTAGATTCAGATTAATCTGTAACTGATAATTTCGTATGTGTAACATGATTTCTCAATCCTTGACTATTCAATTTTTCGCGCCGGATTGCCTGGGAACGTATCCGCCTCTGCAGTGCCGCTGACTTCACAGAAGATCTTCCTCTACGATGCCTGCTCAACCCTAAGTAGCAAACATAGAAAATGTATTTGCTACTTCAATTCGAACAGGTACGTCGCTAAATCAAATCTATTTTTCTTTTCTTAGCAAACATAGTTTATACTTGAGACAAATAAAAAATATTTTTATACTGTAATACTAATTAAACATTTGTACTGCTATTTTTTTAACTATGTTTCATAATTATTTGTTGTACTCCAAATATTAAGACCTATATCTGGAGTTTGTATGGATATGAAACGTGGACCTTAACTCAAACGGAAACTGGAGGCTTTTGGAATATGGTGTTAGAGAGGGATGTAATTATGTAAGGAGAATTAGCTGGAAAAATAAAGTAAGAAATGAATACACAGGGTGAAAGCAAAGCGACATAAATTGAATACTATTAAAAATAGACGAGGAAAAATGTTGGCAACATGATATAGCACGATGAATTTTTGAATAAAATTATTGAGGAGAAAATAGAGAGATATTTAAAGACAATGATGGAAGATCGTAGGAAATGGCAAGAGCTCTAAGAGTTCTTAAATTATGAATAAATGGACATAATTATATTACAATTTCACTAACCGTCTTCTAATAAATCAAATTCGTCACCCCCTATTATTCTTCTCAGTCTGTTTTCTTCCCTTTCCGAAGATTTGTAAGACTCCTCACTAAGTTTTATCACATCCTGGTATAAACCCGTTAACTCTCGATTAAGTTGGGCATCCTCCAACGTTTTCTTTATGTTTCCTCTCATATCAAATCCTAGAGATTTTGTGAGCGGTAGTTCGTTCATATGTAGAACTTCCACTTTTGCAATGAGCTAAAATAAACACATTTTGTCAAATGTTTGTATAACAATTTTGTATAATCTACACATGTTTGAATTGTTATCTAAAAATTCCACATATATTATTCAATATTTTCATTACGTCTTACTATTACTTAGTCTTTTCTGACAATTCTAGAATCGTAAGTAGAGCTTAATATAAATCGTTAGAAGTATATTTTCAGCAAATGTATCTATGAAACGCAAAGAATCTACTATATTCGAAGGTCTATAGGTGCTATATATTAGGTTTAATAATTTAATTTAGTTACACCTTATCAATTTAATGTATTCTAATTAAATGAAACTGTTAAAGGTATACAAGACAAACAATTTATTAATAGAAATATTCAATCTTAGATGCACACCCGTGAAACATTTATCTTAGAAGGTTGAAATTGACATTAAAATGGAAGGTGCAAACATTTAGTCCCACAGTGCACCACAAAGGGAAAGATAAAGTCAAATTATACGATAGAATTACCTCCAACATAATTAATGTAATTATCACACGAATTGACCAAGAACCAGCCATGGCAATTACAAAACCAAGCACAGTAAATTCAGTTTGCTGTACAGCAAAAGAAACCAACTGAAATAAACCAAATACCAGATTACCAACTCTCATTCCACTTTACGCATTGTCTGAAGCGTATAACAATGATGTTTTACTGAACATTCAGATACTGTGACATCATCCAATAGCTATTGTTGATTCTTCGTGAAAGTAACAAGGATTAGCATAGTAGGAAGTTTTTATACAATAGGGAATTTACTATTTAAAACGCTGAAACGCTCGACACGTAAGTCGTATTAGACGAATTAATTAACATACTATCTACTCATAATTAAATTTATTCAGATTCAATATTGTACCTCTGAATTAAATGACTTTACAAATAAAAAAATCTTGAGAATGCAGATTTTTTATATAGATGTACTCAAATTATATATTCCTTCATAATCTATGTACATCTATATAGCTTTTTTACAGCTGCATCTAATATTTCACAATTACGTTATATCGTGTTTTATTATATGAACTTTATCCATAAATTAATCAGTGACAGGATCGCCCCCTGCCATGCTGGATTTAAAATTAGCAGCGAATATTGAGCATATAAAGTGTTGCATTCATGACAACATCGATAGTTTACAATGGCTCAGACTACCCCTCTTACTAATTTTACTAATTTTATAAATGCTCATACTCATACTCATACTTTCATGAGTATAAGAGTGTGGATGGGTGGATGATTGTTACACTTTCACGCAAAGACTACTATACGGGTTTTGATGAAATTTTACAGTAATAGATTATAGCTTATTCCTACATCGAAATAATACATAGGCTATATATTTCATGCGGCTAAAACCGCGAGCAAAGCTAGTCCATAATTTATATTACAGGTACGTATTTACGTGACGGTAACTTATGTGAATTGTGTTACCTCTGTCCATTGTCGCATAAGTTTTTGCGAAGAACGCAGGCATGAGAGAACACCAATTGCCTTAAAGTTGGTAGATCATCTTTTTCTTAGTCGCTACATTTTTCTTCTTATAATTTTTCTTCTTATAATTTTCTAATAATAATTGTCATTATACCATCCCATTCTTCTTATGTCTGTCTCTACGTGTCTAGGGCAACTTTTCCTCCCTCGATCTGTCGAATTTCAAATGTTAGAGTTCTTCCTTATAATAACATGATTTAGAGAAGTAAATAATGAGGAAATAAAATGATTCTTCCCTTCGTTGCCTTTGTATACTATGTCATGTTCTTTGGGGTTGATGTTCATTAATAATGCCCCGGAATATTGAACAAATTACACAAACATATGGGATGTTACCTAAAAATCTCTGTACATCCACGTATTTCTTTACTATCAAAATACTTATTTAAACTTAACAGTTTATATCTTAATAACTATCATCGCCACAAATTCTATCAGGTGTTACTTAAATCTACTTAAAAATTAATAATAAACTTAAATTTTATACACTAAATATACACTTACAAAATCGACTACATATTCAGTTATATATGTAGATCGTAACTAGTTCAAAAATGGTGCAAGCAAATATCAACAACCGCTATCTCAGGTCGAGAGCCATGATAATATATCAGCCGTGTGAACTCGGTGTGTCATTTGAAACCAGATTTAACTCGTTCTACTCTTTAGTATTATAATTATTACATTAAACGGCACTTGTTTATACTTTCTTTGCCTAATTATAGGAACGTAGATGCCTACAGAAATAAATATAACATATCAGCTACAATAATCGGGTAATTATGAATATGTAGGTAACTTTCTTTTTTGGTGGAGAAGTATTTTTAGTATTGTTATGATGCAATAGTATTGTTTTATTTCGGTCTCTGAAATGCAAAATAAATAAAAGTAAGTAATGTTCTCTATGTAGAGTCCCTTCTTTAAACATACATATGTAATACTTCCATAGAAATTTAGAAACTGTAATAAATGGTGAAATCTTTTTTATTAAACACACACAAACACAATAGTTGCTGGGGTAACTGCATGAGTGACTGATGAGAATGGAGCCGCTCGTGCTAACGGTAAAACGACAAGAAAAACACGAGAGAAAAGATATATGAACATGAGGTCAGGACAATTAGCCCATCGTGACAAAATCGCTAGAAATTCATCACGATGGCTTCTAGAGGGTACGAGGTGGAGATCAACCTGACAACCTGTGATATACACGGCTAGATATGGGGTCACTCAATTCTAGTAGGTATTATGCTTCACTAATTTCTGGCAGGGCAGCATGGTAGGAAAAGAAGATGTCAGGTTAGTAAGTAGAACGTGGCAAATTCATTACGAATTAAACACGATGGTTTCCATTACGGATCGCGTAAAGGTCAGCCTGATATGGCATTTTCAAGCTGCCACAATACTGCTTTAGCGCAGAACAGATATACATAGCAATATGTAATCTATTATAATAAATATGCATAGTAATATTTAATCTATTAGTGGAGAAAAACATTTATTATAAGGTCATTGATATATTTATGTCTTATTTTATACACGTTAACAGAACTAATAGGTATAACAAAACCGTAGTGTCACGCATTCATTCAGTGTATAACGAGACCCCACAAAACAAAAACAATCTGATTTCCAGAATTAATATACCTATACATAGTCTCATATACTGACTCTAACCAGAATTTGTTTTCTTGACCTCTACTGTACAAACGATAGGGATCCGCGCGTAACCGATTATGTTGTATAATTTGATAAATCAATATTTTTTTACTATTACCATACAGAAAATAGACAATAGTTATATAATCTACTTATTATCGGAATCTCAAATGTACTTACGGTATAGACAGGTAAGAAATAATAATGTCGGTTTTCACCTCCCTATATGTCTGGAATATAATATGTGTACACATTTAAAGTCTGGATAAGGATATATGAATTCAAGGTAATACAGGAAGCAAATGTTGACAGATACTTTTGGGGCTCGCATTTAAAAACAACAATTGAATATATGATATTAAAAATATATCTACTTTTATTCACAAAATAAATCGGCTCAATCATAATAAAAGGAACTTAGACATAAAAACGCAAACATTACTTACAACATTATCTATTTGATGCTATTTCGATTTCATCCCGATTCAAAGCAGTCCTAAGTTATCTTGTACATAGGTTTGATGAGAAAATTATAATACAAAATTCATTCATACATACTAAAAATATAATACAATTCAAAATCTATATCTACTATAACTGTATAATGATTGAAAGCATAGTACCTAACAGTAATCAATGTTGTATTTGAATGTGTAGAGCAATTTTAATTATTTAAAAAACTGTATTCATATATCGATAAATTCTGAATTAAAATACCTATCTACTAATCATCTTGTATATGAGTACTCTGTTTTATCTGTCCAATGTCCCATATACAATGGTACATACGTCTACAACGATATTACATCATAATTATTTTACACGCTAACAAGTCATGATGAGTTTACGTCTGTAACTTATTCTTTATAATTCACAACGTGCACAAAATATGCAAAAGATGATAGTCATAAATCCGACTATCTATTAATCGTGTCAAAATTCATATACAACATTATGATTACATTATGATTCTGATATGTTTATAAACTATTTAGCGAAAAAAATATGAGACAGCAGTGCCTACCTACTCATGAGATGACTTTATATCTTCCTTCAGTTAGTAGAAACAACAGGGTGAGACAAAAATATCTATATCTATACTAGTAAATCTACCATTTGATGCTGCAGGTACCATACACATCTGTGTTCTAATTACAAAAACGAGGTTGCGATTATACTAATGTAATTATGTAGTACGGAGGCATGGCGTCTTAGTCTATGGAATGAAAATCTATGTGTAGAGTACCGCTGGAGTCAAATTGTATTTTATATTTTCATATTTTGTTTTCTGTGGTGCTGTTCACATTTATACGCAACAATTACCACTTTCCACAACTTTTCGCCAGCTTTCTTTCATAAGAAGCACTGACATATAGGTACAATATATTATAAGTTATGTATATAATATCTTATTGTACTGTGCGACTATTAAATCTGACAGAACCCTGTGAACCGACTTTAAAATTAATTATCTTACGCTAATAGGTATTATAATTAATTTTAAAGTACTTAATTATAAGATAATTACTTATATTATATACTAAATATATCATTCAAGTGGTAAATATTAGGTAGGTATATAACGTATTGTAGTTTATGCAAATTGAAATTCATACCAATAGTTAAAAACGAGTTACCACCTTTCTTTTCTTATCCTCGGAATCCTTATTTTCCAAACTTCAAAATATAGCAATAAATTATTTATTTGCCTGTCACCTTGCCAGTCATCACCTAACTTGGCATACGCATATATGTATGAGTGCTTATTATAATTATTTAATGACTTGATTATTTAATTACTTAATGGTTTAGACCCAGGATCTAAAACCGCAATTACGTAGGATATATGCAAGTACTGGCTTCTTAGCAATCTATGCTAAGTACAGAATGCAGGTTCATAGGAACTTCAGTACTACATTTAGTCCTGGTTAGTTCACTCGTCACGTGGACGAAGTAGCGTGCACAGATATGTACAAATGGTATGTACCTAATTAAGTATACATACATAATATGTATTTGGTTCTTCTGAAGTCTTTAGATCGGGCAGGACTTTACTATACTTATATAATCTTTTATTTGCACTTTTGAATTTAGTGGAATTTTCCATTGATAGTTAAAAACATTGAAATTTACTAAGCTGCATGCAATTAGGAAATAAATCTAGTATTATCAATTTATTATAAATAAAACTTAGAAACGGAAACATTAATAATAAACATTAAACGAACAAAGCTATGACTATTTTTATAAAGTAGGTCTTTATAAAAATAGTCTTCCAAATTAGTTTACCATTAAACAAAACACCTACAGACAGTCAAATTCAAAACCAATTCTTTTTTGAAATTGGTTAAAAATATTTTGATTAAAGCGTCACGAACGGAATCGGAAAACCTAAAATAACTTCGAATGTTATTCATTCGATATTCCAAAGAATCGTTGCAGCATGTATTATTTTGCTAGTATCATGGAAAAGACCGCGAACTTTTTTGATTGGTTAATATCCAAACAGCTGTTCTAATAGTACCCATTGGATGATATTCGTTTTCGCTTTCAAGAATGGTGATAAGTCTAAATCTGTGCAACATAAACAATAAAATAGTGAACAATAAGGATATATGGTAAATAAAAATTCACCAATATTATTTTTTTCACAATAAATAGGTATATACAAATAATTGAATGACGGAATGCGGTACCAAAAGCGACTTAGTTTTACCTTATAACCTATCTGTCAATGTAAGTTGTCATTGTTGTTGCTTCGTATTGGTCCTTTTTCATTCATGTGGTTTGTGCTGTGTTAGTACTATAAATTTAACGCCATTCTTCACCTTACAAAAATAATGCTTTTATGTAAAATAACAGTAACTAAAGGAGATAAGCCATGTCAAGGGTGATGGTGACGGTATTCAATATATAGCTCTGTGTCGTTGTACCCGTTAGTTAGTTAGTTAGTCGAATCGTGTTCTAATAATCAGCTGGGTTACTCAGAACTCGCTGATATTTTATTACTATATATACTACACTTCTACTGTATAATGCCTCCAGTATCAATAACGGACGAGGTAATTATTTAAATTATTTTATTAAATTTTATATTACTTACATTCTATATATAAAACATATTTTAATTTTAGAATGTGTTACTGTATAGTATCTTGTATACAAAACTATTATACCAATTATAAAATAATGAATACTTAAAAGTATTCATTATTTTAATTTTATTATGGCTACTTAGTAGCCAATATCTTCTTATATATAAAATTCGCGTGCCAAAATTTTTTTTTAACAAAATTTTTCAATTTTAATAAATTGAAATATTTTGTTTTATAATGTGGATTTAATTAAAAATACATACAACCCTAAATTTTCACCCTTCTATCACCAACCCCTATTTTTTAATAGCGATTTTAATCGATGAAGCAAGCAATGTTTTGCAGGGTCAGCTAGTTAAAAATAAAAATAATGATTATGATAATAAAAATAATTAAATTCTGGTCCTAAGTCCTACTAAGTATAATCATATTATTTCCATCACTTATCAGTCTCATTTTCATACATTATATTTATAAATTTATTTGATTTTTATAAATTAAAAATACATATGTAATTATCATATTGCAATTTACTATGTTGCAGGCCCCAAAGAAATCTCTTCGTGTGGCCATAATTGGTCAGAGTACATTTGCAGCTGAAGTGTTCAAACTACTTCAGAGAGACGGACATGAAGTTGTTGGGGTATTTACAGTTTTGGACAAGGGCAATAGGGAGGACCCCCTGGGTAAGAAATTTAGATTTTAAATCTTTTTTTTAAACTGCTGCTAGTTTTATTACATTGATCATTTACTATATTTTTTTTATTTAACAATAGGTTATTCCTTTACTTTTGCATTTAGAACAACTACTTATTTAAATATCATTAAATTAACTCATAATACAGATTAATTACTACTTACTGAAAATTAATTTAAATAATAAAGTAAAACACTATATTTGTGTAATTTTGAAATTGTATTAAAAATAATCTAAATTTAATGTAAAATATCAAAAACTTCAATTTATAAATACTTATTATAAATTTAACTAGTTCTATAATTTTACATATCTAGTTACTAGGGATTTAGAAATTTTACACTTCAAAGTTACTAACTATGAATTTCATACTCATGCATATTAAAAAAAAACTAATTCATATATTTACAGCCACCATTGCAGCACAGAATGGAAAACCAGTTTACAAATACAAGACATGGCGCATAAAAGGCAAAGTAATCCCAGAAATTCTAGAACAATATAAATCTGTGAGTAAAGTTATATATTTTATTATTTTTGTTGTTTCTATGTGCCAAACAGAGTACATTGTGTAATATTAAATTGACACTGGTAAACCATTTATATTATAGTATAAGTGTCCTAAAGAATAAATAAATTTAGTTCCTAAATTGCATTGGATAGTAGGCATTACTATGAAATTCAGTATGAACTAAGGTAATATTTTAAGGAAGCTGTTACATATCAATGTGAATGGTTATAAAGGCAGAGGTAGGCAGAAAAAGAGATGGATAGACTATGTGAAAGATGATGTAGTAAGAAAGGGAGTATTATACTTCAATTCTTGTCCCTGACGGGTCTAGGTAGCGAACTCTGAAAAGGGCGAGCACAATAGATCTATGTAGGTCGCAGTGCTACAGGTGCTACACATCTGACAATAGCCCAAACAATCCAATAAAAAAAAAAGGGAGTAAATAATGTGATGATGAACAGGCATGAATAGAAGGGAAAAACATTTTACACCGACCCTAAATAAAATCATATATTATTTGTTCTTACAACTTGGATTTATATAAAAACTAAAGTAATTATGACAATAGCTGGAAATCCTGTTTCAAAAGCAGAAAATAGCATTCTACTCTAAAATTTGATACTATTCAAAAATATAAATTTAATTTGAAAATTCTTATTGACTCGACCTTAGCTGGCCATCTATAGATATACTAATATATACATTTATGTATGTGCCTATAACAATAAATATATATATATATATATATATATATATATTGTTAGGAGTATCCTCTAAATTTAATTAAATAAAAGAAACTTATAACAAATCGTATAATTAATTTTAACAAAATTAGTAAAAGAACATTCAAACACGGTATGATACGGAGATTCGTTCGAGAGCACGTCTGTCGACCAAAAGAGGCCGCACACCGGGTTTCGCAGCCTTTTATAGACGCGCCGCACGACGGTGGCGCCACCACAGGAAGTTACACCTAACACGGCCTCTCCTGACGGAGCATCGTCCCCGATGCTTTCTGGTCACGGCGCGTCGTCTGGTCCGACTGCTAATCTTATGCGCTCTGTCCAGGCTGAAAGTATTCTCAGGGCTATTGCTCGGAGACGAGTCAACAGTGACTCTTCACAACCTGTGAACCATAAGTTAGTGGTAAGCATTTTATTTTTGGAAGTAGGATCACGTTGCCTCACAAGGACTAATTTAAATCTGATCTAAGCTTGTATACATAGAAGCCACACAAAGCTTTATACGAGAGGTAACCTATAACACACTTTACGCTACACAGAGCCTTACACGAGATGTATCTTATAACACACTCGATGCTGCACAAAGCCTTACACGAGGTGTATCTTATAACACACTCGATGCTGCACAAAGCCTTACACGAGGTGTATCTTATAACACACTCGATGCTGCACAAAGCCTTACACGAGATGTATCTTATAACACACTCGATGCTGCACAAAGCCTTACACGAGGTGTATCTTATAACACACTCGATGCTGCACAAAGCCTTACACGAGGTGTATCTTATAACACACTCGATGCTGCACAAAGCCTTATACGAGGTGTATCCTTTAGCACCCTCGATGCTGCACAAAGCCTTATGCGTGGTGCTACCTAATACACACTCGACGCTGCACAAAGCCTTACACGAGGTGTATCCTATAACACGCTCGATGCTGCACAAAGCCTTATACGAGGTGTATCCTATAGCACCCTCGATGCTGCACAAAGCCTTATATGAGGTGCTTACCTATTACACACTCGACGCTGCACAAAGCCTTACACGAGGTGTATCCTATAACACACTCGATGCTGCACAAAGCCTTACACGAGGTGTTACCTAAATACCTTACGATAAAATTTATCTCAAAAATACAAATTACATTAGAAAAACTCAAATTCCATTTTGACTCTACTCTAATTTGACTCTGTATAGATTAGAACAATAGAGAAAGCATTTGAGTGTACGAGAATATATTTGTATTCGTTACATTTTATGTACTGCATCATAAGGTATTGAAAGTATAGTGGACCTGGACATTGGGTGGAGAGGAACGTGATATAAAGTATAAGGTAACATGTTTACACATTAAACAAACAATTCCGTGCTCTATAGTATTTCTTTACAAGATGGACCCTACTTTGAAACCGTCAACTAATTTGAACTCGATTTCCACGTCAATATGGTCAACACGTAGTCTTTAGAAATATAACAATAATCGCGACTTTTTCCTATAGAGATATGTTAATAATTATTTTCTTTAAGATTTATTTTCTTTATATATCGCAAACTATTCAACTGCCCTTGTACAAGTAGTTTCATCATCAGCAGCATATGCTACTACGATTCGTGAGGTTATTAAAAGGATTTCGATGCGTGTGATATGAACTAACCTTTACGATATTCAAACGTCAAATCACGATCCTGTAGGCACATTCACCAGCGCACTACCCTAGGCAAGAGATCCTCTTATAATTTTCAGGGCGTTGCAGTTAGTTACTACCCTAAAATGTTTTCCGATGAGATGACGATGTTGCAATGCCTTGACAACAGCAAGTATCTCGAGCTCAGGAGTAGTACCTTGGATCTGCACATATTGTAAAGCTACTGCGTGTATACGTCCGTCTTTTCCTATTTGAATTAGTACCGTAACCTAGTGCACTTGCATCCGTATGGACTTCAGTCCGTAAATGGTCAAAGATAAGCAACGCGGATTGACTAGCCAATATAGAGATGATCTCATCTCTCTAGTTTCTATTCTTTTCCCCGTTAAAATTTCAAGAGGCGATTTGGGTGTATCACGGGATATACCGAATAAGATAGCTGACCAGTATCACTAAATAATATCAACTAAATATTGCACAAACCATGTCAGCTCTCCTTAAATGATATTGTTTGCATTTGATCAGTTCATTTTTATTATACATCGTCTCAACCGACAACATCGTATTCCGCAACAAGCAGCTTCGACAGTTTTTGGTATCCAAAACTACTACGGCGTTTATTTTCTCTGTCCGTCATACACATGAACGAGGACTGCTTGTAGAGACTTTCCTACTCTAACACCGCTTTAATCTTATTTACTTAATCAACCAATTGATTGCGTATTTAATATTTAGATTTTAATGATTTAGTACTAATTCGCAGTTTGTATTCACACATTTGAACTTAAAATGTACAGTTACCACAAGTGTTCAAAAAAGCAACAGACTTAGTCTTCCTCGCTCGTTCCTTATACGATAAGATAGTTCACGAGGAAGATTCAAAAATAAGTATTACTTGATGAATGAATGAAATGCTCAAATTGAAATTTGTTTGAACGAAGAATCCATCATTTCTTTTTGGATACGTTCGGCCTGACCTGACTCTTACAAATAGTTCCAGTCTCCTAGGATACACAACCTCAGGAGCGAGGTAATTACACTTAGCGGAAATGAATTGTAAACCTGGATTTTCACACGCATGCTTAATTTATAACTGTAAAATAATTTATATGGTCGATTCGGTAATTAACCGTCGTACCTACATAACGCTACTTCGTTAACAAGTAGTCGAATGTGTATCTCTATACGGTATTGACCATAGCTGTGACTGAGCCACTAAAAAGTATTCAGAATGTTTATTCATTAAGACTACAAATTTTCTTTTTCATCACCACGGAACGGTGTATTTATCAATTGAAGTCGCGCTATCGATTCACTACGCGCTATATTATTTTCAAAAGAGCGGTTTCTAAAAATACGCTAAAAATCGTTATTTCGTATACGCAATGTCTTTTCAATATTAAAAATATCATTACCAATGAGTACCGACGTCTTTAAGATAATCACAAGGTACTAAGAAGTTACTTCTTGTGAGATGTTATGAATTTTGCAGATTAAGTAAGAAAGTAATCAAACCGCATATCCGTTTCGTCTAAACAGCATAATATGTGCACCTTACAACACGAAAACCATCATTTGATTTAAAAGAAGTTGTTGAACTACTATCGTACTAAACATTTGTGGGTATAATCAGACCGCATATCCGTTTCGTCTAAACAGCATAATATGTGCATCTTACAACACAAAAACGATCATTTTGATTTAAAAGTTGTTGAACCACTATCGTACTAAACATCTGTGGGTACCCGCATATTACGGCGCGATAATTTCGTCGCGATGTGCATTATCACTAGTCCAAGTCACGGCGAAAACTTGCGTTAGCCTAATTCAGATTATTTCTTTGTAAAGTAAGCGTATTCAGTATGACCTATCTTCTCACAAAACGCATATACGATTTTGTCCGTAGGTTATTTTTCAAAAGAACTAAATTTACTTCTATACTACTCGACTATATTGCAACTATAGCACCGTATTTAAGAATCTACTTCTATACTACGTAGTTTGCTATCATATATGACCAAGTATGATCATTACTAGCTCACTCACGTTACTACGCACTTGCTTCACCTTTTAATGACAAAACTGACACCGTCTGTCGGTTCACTGAATGACCACGATCTACTTCATCGCAACTATTCGTCAATGTTGCGCATACTTAAAAGTATGAAATATAAAAATAGAAAGATCTCACCAGATTCATGACATTAAGCGTCGATAAGACGTTTCGTAATGTCTGTTGAGGTAGCAACCGATCGCGCCACCGCACCAGGTGCGCTCGTTGGCGCCGCGTTGGCGGGTCTGGCTGGCGCGCCGACTGTCTGCGCGGGCGGCGATAGCGTGGCGGGGCCGGTGCCGGCGCAGGCACGTCGTCAGCATCTACGTCGGCAGCTATATGCGAACCCCTGTTTCGCTGAGCTACCCGCACGTTGTTCCAGCGACACCAATTGTTGAGACTTGCGTCCATTAACGCTGCTAGTTCACCTATATTTGATAGGTGGAGAACGGAGACGCGTGCTCTCGTAACGATGGGCGTTTTCTACTCGACATGTAATCAATCCTTAGTCAAAAATGTTATTCGCGACCAAAAATGGCCTCGAATCCCACTTCTGATGTTAGGAGTATCCTCTAAATTTAATTAAATAAAAGAAACTTATAACAAATCGTATAATTAATTTTAACAAAATCAGTAAAAGAACTTATACAGCAAACACGGTATGATACGGAGATTCGTTCGAGAGCACGTCTGTCGACCAAAAGAGGCCGCACACCGGGTTTCGCAGCCTTTTATAGACGCGCCGCACGACGGTGGCGCCACCACAGGAAGTTACACCTAACAATATATATATATATATATTCATAAGTTGACAAAATCTAAATATGCTAATTTAGTAAACCTGCTATAATATTTACTTTGTTTATCATATAAGTAATAATAAAATTATTGTACATCCGGTTGTTTCAAAAAAGTTTGCCTCATTCGTAATGTACTAATCAAATATTGATGATGTTAAAAATTCCTTGTTAAGTATCTATGACACAAGACAATAAACGAAAAGTATTTTTCCATATTCCATACCAAAACAACTTTTAATAGGCTACTGCAGATTAGATTAAGGTATCTCCATGTGAGAATAGAATATGAACTTCCTACTAAGCTCATATACTAAGGTACTTGCGCAGGGTTGTATTTCTCTATGTTCCAATAGGATGCTTAATTCATTAAAGATTTAGAAAATTTGCGAATTTTAAATAAATACAAAATTGTCTTTTTGTCTCTCGTGGTACATAATCAATATACATATAATTTATTACAAACAGAGATTTAAATTAAAAATCCAACATGTTGTTCATTTGAAGTAAATCTGTACTTGTATATGAAAATTATTATTTGCTAAAAGTATAACAATTTTCTAAAAAATAATTATGGATATGAACCGTACACTAGGCACGCAAACCCGTATCGTATAATTCTGAACTATAATTTACCTGCACTGCTTACCTGATTATAAGACATAATTAATGTAAATAAGTAGCCATGTTTAAAGGAAGTTTCACAATTTATATATACATAACTAACTAACTGTAGCACGCGGTTTCAATCGCTGTAAGGTTAATTTAAAATAATTACCCGCTATATATTGCCTTATTCTCACTTAGCATAGTTTCTACCTTTTTTGCGTCAGAGTGATTCTTAATAACATTCCTATAGAATTGAGCAATTGAAGGTAAGGCAACAATAAGGTTTTTACAAATCTGACTAATACTATTTTTTAATGATTCCAAACCAACAATCCCTATATTAAAATACTTGGCTTGGCTTTGGCTGGCGATTTAGTCTTCTTTTATGACATAAAAGATAGCCTATGATTCATTCAGCCATTAAGTCTCCAAAATAACCAAACAACACACGCATTGCATTTATGAATATTATAAATATCAGAAGGGATTGTTAGTAATGGAGAATAAGAACATTATTGCTAATAATTTACCATGTTATGTAGACCTCCATGCGGTCTCCTCTAGAACCCGTTGTGGCTAAATCGTGAATTCGTCACAATGGACTAACAGACATTCTTCACTGGTGCCCCGCCAGCGGATACCGTTAGCGCAGGCGTGGGCACCATTACATCATCCATTAATTTTTTTTATAAATAGCGTGGTTAAGGTATATATTTATAAATACTTTAATTTGCTATTAAATAAATAAAAGCGTGTTGTTTACGTAAATGTAAGAATAACAATATTAATTGGATATTATAGTGAGTGAGACACGAATATGCAGCGTGTTCAAACGATCAATCTATCAATTCGAGTGCAAGCTCCTAATGCACTCGTGACCTTCCATATCGAATATTACTGTATCTTTATTAGTAATTTCCTCTAATTATCCGGTATCCATCTCCTAATCAATTATCAGAATAATTAGGTAAAATAATAACTAAAACTACTTCGCAATAAATAAACCATTATTGCGATGTCATATCGAGTTATCAAATCTATGTACACATAAATATTTACAAATAAGTATCAAGCCATTTCTAATTATCAGTTATCTATTTATTGGCTTCAATAAACCAAGCAGTAAACCAAGCCATATAGTATATTTTATAAACTTAGACATCGTGTTATATGCTCAAAGTCGTTCACCTCCGACTTAGCATAAATAATAAACTGGCGACAACCAGATTTATTTATACCCTTCGCAAGTAAACCAGCTAAGTATATAAGTAATTACATCAGTTGAAAATAGGGAAAAATATATAGTCCCAAAGTCCCAAGTAATTAGATATTGTGTTGTGGCTACTAGACAACTGATAGAAATACTCAGTACATACATTTTTTTATAATAAATACATATTATACGTTTACGTTTCAAATATGTTTCAATTAGTCCTTCAATTATGGATAAAGAAGGATATATTTGCCGATTTATTATATTAAAATTCCGTAGAGTTATACTACCTATATATAATTCTTTTTTCTGTATATTTGTAGATAAGCCATAAAAAATATTTTAATTGTACTATATTTTATAACATTTTAAATTATAAAATTATTAATGATGAACTCGAATCTTGGTGTAACTTTAAAAAAGACAACCCTATGAGCTTTTTAAATACCAATAAATTATGTATATAAGATTAAAAAGATTTATATTTATTTATTAATATTTTACGAGTTGTTTAGTATCCACAATGCAAGCTCTGCTTTGTTTAATACTATTTTATATATATATAATATAATTATAAATTTAATAATACAGTGGGTACAATATTTTTTCAAATATCCAAACGAAAATATCTATTCTTTATATATTAGAAAAATCATTAACGAATTCTTGTATTCTCAATAGGTAAATGCAGACATCAATGTGCTGCCATTCTGCACACAATTCATCCCAATGGAAATCATCACACACCCCCAGTACGAGAGCATATGTTACCACCCCAGTATACTACCGAGGCACAGAGGAGCATCATCAATTAACTGGTAAGACATCTGATAAATTCTTCTTCTTTACATTGTCCCACTTTATATGACTCCCCTGATTTGCGTCGCCAGGACAATCTGTCGTGAGTTGTAGGGTCGGGCAATTTTTCCCTCTCGATGAGATTTTTCATAGTGGCCCACCAGGTAGCTGAAAGACGTTCTCTACATCTTTTATGTTCGCGTAGTTGTAAAGCTTTTTTAACCGTATATTAACTCATCTCTTCGCATTAGAGGACCATACCGTCTGAAAAATTATTTTACAATAATATTCAACGGCCTCAGTGGTCAGCAGTTTAGCACAGCGCTTTACTTCCGATGGTCGCGTGTTCAAACATGGTGCGAACATTTATATTGATAGAATGGCAAAAAAATTTGCATGCATAATTGCTGAAGCTATAAGAAAGAAGTCTATATATTATAATAATAATTACCCTGGACATTTCACACAGCTCTATATATTCCCAAGCTAAGCAGAGGTTGTGTCATTGATACTAGACAACTAATATAAATACATAGATACACTTTTTTGTAAAAAACACCAAGACAGATACAAACAATAATGTCAAATACGGAAATAAAGTTGTGTGTAAACCCCTGAGGCACCGAGGCCGTCATTCAAATATGTTCTCCATATAATGTGTCTGATGAAATAATTCATATCAATTTCATAAACAATAATTACAAGAATCTTATAATCACGCCACAAATATAGACAATGCCGACGTGCTTTATCACTCCATGTTATCATGGGGTGGTTACGTATTATATTATATATTTTCCTTGGTGAAGTCGCAAAAAATAGTGGTGTTTTGCTTTATCAATGGTTTGCGAGTTATCATCATACGGTGCCCCCAGTGTCCAATTGTCAAGATATACTTATTTTTTCCAGTTTGAATTACGTATTTTGCTTTATCTATAGTATTCGAGTTATCATGGGGCATGGGGTTGGCCAAATCATGTCTACATATCATGCTCAAATACGCTAATGCCTACATATACCTCATACTACCAACCTTGAACATGGATATGACTTAATACTGCTTTTTTTATTTTTCACCATAGACAATTTGAATTTAGGAAGTAATTTTAAATAGTAATAGTATAAATTTAGTAGTAATTTACTTTATGATTTGTAACTTAAAAAAATAAACACAGAAAAAGATTTTGTACTCATATATCATGTGGGGGCATTAAATTTTATTTCTTTAACATTTTTTTAGGCATAAAGCATACATGATATCTGAGTGTGGTCTAAAGCATTATTATTTCAAAATATTTATGCTCGGATAATATGACCTCATTCTATTGAATTAATTCTTCAATAGATATAATAATTCTAATCTTATTTATAAACATTATTTCAAAAATTACATAAACATGTAGTATGTTATTATTATGTAAACATACATACATCGTAATAATTTGATTAATACTAAGTTTGTATATTGTTTACATAATTCTATATGTGTAATTCTATAGTGTGTCAACATTACGACACTAGTATAACTTGAACCTGACCATATTGTCATTCAAAGACATTTGCTCAATTTAGATGATAGAAAGATTACGAAATAGTGAGTTAAGCGCCATCAATGCCTTAAACAAGGAAAACTTTAGAAGGCAAGAGTCAATGTTTGTATTGTACGGAAATCAATTCGGCGATCTTCGCTAAATAAGGCAAATAGACTTGCTTGCGGTAGACTTTATAAAAAGTCGTATGCCTGAGTACCGAAGTCTCACCTATTTGACCCGCTTTCTTTGTAAATTATCTTTCGGTTGAAGGTTAACATAAGGAAACGAAATTACTTTACAAGAAGCATGATATCGTGGTCTACCGGACTGAAGAGTATCACGACATTATATACATCACTGCATGTGGTATTACGGACGCCACGTCATAAAGTGATGTTAATTTTTATTGACAACGGTTACCAGGTACCAGCAGGTTGGCCGTCGTCAACATATTATTTATGCACTATTTATATATAAGCATATAAAATTAATAGCTATTTTCCTTGATCACGGCATTACGCGTGAATGGCTGGATCGATATCACTAATACCTTTTTTGTTGTGTTTCTTATTATCAGGAGAAAGTTCTTATGGGATAAAAAAATAAGAGAGTTACGCGGAACATTAGGAAAGTTTTCTTTAAGGTTTGCCTACTATATACAATGCGCAGAATCTACTATGAATATCATAGTTAAGACATGACAACATCTGCGAATTCAGTTAGTAATAAATAAAAATGTTATAAACTATCTACAGGACACTAATAGAAGGCGACACGACGTGTGGACTGTCCATCTTCTGGGCAGACGACGGTCTCGACACTGGTCCTATCCTGTTGCAGAAATCGTTCCCAGTGACCATAGACGACAATGTCGATACTATATACAACAAGTATTTGTATCCTGAAGGTGAGTAATACATAAATATAAAAATTATTTAATCCAAGTATTATATAAGACAAGTTTACATTAGGTATGTTGTTAACCGGGTCTAAACACGAATAATTTTATGGTAAATAAGGGTATTTACCTCTTTTCTCCTTGTTTTTTGTTTTCGGAATGTTTTATGTCTTTGTTACAACATAATAGTTTAATATGTGGTTATGGACTTTACTATTAGTTTGTTATACTTGACTATTATTGAAATTTGACATATTGAACTTAGCTTTAGGTATGGAGAATTATAGGGGCTACTTTTTAACTGAGTCAATCGCGGTCACGAACATAAGCAAATATAAAAATTCGATCGCCGATTCGCCGATCAAAATCTGTCATATACCTCTATTTGTAGATAACAAAATCAAAATGTCATAATCATAATAATAATAATAATAACAATCTTAGTGTAAAATTCGATCCAGTAGATTTCATATATTTTTACATCCGCACAGGTATAAAGGCGTTGGCAGAGTCTGTTAATATGGTTGCCAACGACACAGCGCCTAAAATCAAGCAAACCGAAGACGGAGCTACATATGACCCCGCACTCTTCAAACCAGAAACACACCAGGTAAAGCACTCTTAATCGGATATAAATTTGTTATACAATATTTGAAATCCAATTTAATAATATTAGTAAATACTAAATCGATATAAGGCCGACTTTAAACCTGTAAATGCTACTAAAATGAGTAAATTTAACCTAATTAATTAAATGTAACATATATATATGTGTGTGTGTGTGTGTGTAGGCAGTATAGCATTCGCGACGTTGAAGGACAGGTTATTTATCCTGGTCGATTGGTCCAGCTCACATGGAATAAGTCGGAAATGAGTGAATTATTAACTTGTGTGCAAGATAATCTGTTACATTATTTACAATAAAAATATCATCGTATAATGACGACCCAAGAATAACTATAATTCAAAAATATTTTCTGACTACAGATCGACTGGTCAAAAGGAGGAATTGCATTACACAACTTTATCCGTGGTTTGGATTCATCCCCCGGTGCCACCACACTCATCCATGCGCAGACTCGGGATGGCGTGGTCGAAGGCAGCGAACCAAACGTAGAGATCAAATTCTTCGGGTCCAGTCTCTGGGAGGGGGAATATGAAACTGCAGGGGACAAATTAGTGATACCAGGGTTGGGCAAAGCGGCCGTTATACACGAAGCTGGCTTACTGATTACTGCTAATGATGGTGTAAAGGTAAGAACAACTATATTACATCAGAAAGAAGATAAACTTCCATTTCGATAAATACAGAATACGTAACCTTATTTCAGAATTCTCGCCCCTATAGAATATCATCATCATTATACTAGGCTAGGCTATTATGGTACTGGCATTAATATTTTATGATTAAAATCCCTACATAAATTTTAGATAAAAAAGCTATATTTATTTAAAATAAAAATAGAGATACATTAATTGGACCCGTGCAAAACCAAGACGGGTGCCTCGTGTCTTATAAAAGTCAGTTACGTATCTTATGTATATACGTAACTAACAAATAACTCACAAATTCTTCTTTATTGCAGCTAAACGTACAAAGATTGAAAGTAAACGGTAAAATGATAAACGCACAGAACTTCTTCAAGGCGAACGATAATAAGGTTACTTTAGAACTGACAGCGGAAGAGAAACAATTCGTAGAAAATGCCCGGGACATTTGGAAGGCTATCTTACGGATAGACATTGAGGAGGAAACAGACTTCTTTGAATCAGGAGCCGGCTCCATGGACGTAGTGAGATTGGTGGAAGAAATTAAAGACTTAGCAAACATAGAACTACAAAATGAAGACATATATATGAATACAACATTTGGTGATTTTTTCAATGCAGCCATTACAAAAGCGAGAGGTGGTTCGAACAAAAAGGAAATAGAATACGAAGGTGTAGAATTAGATGTCAACAAAATGAAGGTTAAGTTTCCAACGCAATTGTTCATAAATGGAGAATTTGTTAATTCCGAAAGTGGGAAAACGCTGACGATAGTGAATCCTAGTGATGAGAGTGTAATCTGCAAAGTGCAGAGTGCGTCAGCGACGGATGTCGACAGAGCAGTGCTTGCCGCCAAGAAAGCGTTCGATGATGGAGAATGGACAAAGATCAGCGCCAGGGAGAGGGGACAGTTATTATTTAAGTTAGTACACAATTTTCTATAATTATATATTTTTTCATTATAGATACAAATAAGTATATAGATGCTATAAAATCAGATGTCCCTTTTTGGAAGTTTACTATATTTATGAAACGACAAAATGATGATGATCTCTATACAATATCAAATTCAGGTTCTAAAAATTCTAATTCTAATAACTTATCTAAATATCGAAATCACGAAATTAATTCCGTGATTTCAGGTGAAGAGTTAGTCTTTGAGCTAAAGTGATAGCTCATAACAATTCTCATCTCTCCATGAAATTAGTGTTACATAATTTTTTTATGTTAATAGTGCTCTTTGACATATGTATCTGTTAATTTCTTTTTGATATATAAAACAGAAATTGTGTATATAGTATTTTAAGGTTCATGATGCTGTGTGATGATTTGTTTTGACCATTTGTCAAGTGTATTAAATATTATTTGTAATAAAATTTTCAACAATAAATCATTTTCTACAGGCTAGCAGATCTAATGGAACAACATAAAGAAGAATTAGCAACAATAGAATCAATAGATTCAGGCGCAGTCTACACATTAGCCCTTAAGACCCACATAGGCATGTCAATAGAAACATGGAGGTACTTTGCAGGCTGGTGTGATAAAATCCAAGGTAGCACAATACCCATAAACCATGCTAGACCTAATAGAAACTTGACGATGACCAAGAGAGAGCCAATCGGCGTGTGTGCACTGATCACCCCATGGAATTACCCCCTGATGATGCTGTCATGGAAAATGGCGGCGTGTTTGGCGGCCGGGAACACAGTTGTGATGAAACCTGCAGCTGTAAGTGTAACAATTCTGCAATATTCGTCCTTAATACGATATGTAATCTGTACTTTTTAATTAAGAGAAATTTATTTTTTATTTTTTGACATATTAGAAACAAAAAATTACTAAAACTGGTAACTATAATATATATAAGAACAACATAATAAACTAGACCTTGTATAAAGGTTGTTTGTACTCTTTTGATCAGTATTGTAGATATAATATAATCTATATTTGAATTTATATAATACTATTCAATTAGAAGATTTATAAATACATTATCCCTAAGCTATTAATGGAATAACATTACGACAAACCTGATGGTAAACAATAACCGCCGCTTACAGAGATAAATAGCATAAATATCATATTATCATGTGATATTTATGTTAACACTGATGACTTGCTATTCCAGAGCACAGAGTCATGCCCCTGTCCTATAATTTCAGGTATGCCCTTTGACCGCGCTGAAGTTTGCGGAGTTGGCGGTGTTAGCTGGCATTCCAGCAGGCGTCATCAACATCGTACCTGGCAGCGGCCCCGGTGCGGGACAAGCGCTTGCTGACCATCCCCTCGTCAGGAAGCTAGGATTTACTGGCAGCACGCCTATAGGTAATAAATAATACTGAATCATACAAATGTTTGCACCGTGCAAGGACCCGAACCCGACCATCGATGTTCGCGGGTTATTAATGAGATTTATTCTTGTTGTTGTCTTCAAAAATTAACATCTATCTTAGTCAAGTAATATTGCCAGAATAACATAATTTAACAAAAATAGATTCAGAATTTTGGTAGTTATCCAAAACATATTGTGGAATAAAGAACTTTCTCTTGTTTTGCAAATAGTCTAAATAATAAATATCATAATGTGTACACTCGCAGGTCAAACTATAATGAAGTCTTGCGCTGTTTCAAACATGAAGAAGGTATCGTTAGAGTTGGGCGGGAAATCGCCCCTCATCATATTTGAGGACTGTGATCTCGACAAGGCTATCAGAAACGTAAGTTATTATTTAATGCATTTTCTTTCATCAATTAACCAATTTTAAAGCTGTATGCACTGCGGTAAAAACCTCGCTGCAGTGATATAGTATCTATACATAAGTTATATATGGATATTGGGCGAAAATAATCTGAATGTAACTCTAAATATAGATGCCCCTTCAACCTACATCCATATCACTTGTCTCGCGACCTGGTTAACGTTTTTATTCCATATGGATACAGTGCCGGGTTTATAGAGGGGGCCTCTATAAACCCGGCACTGTATCCATGGTTAAATCCATGGAACGCTAAAATTGGTTTTCTCATATAAATTTTCAATTCAACAGGGAATGGGGTCAGTGTTCTTTAATAAGGGTGAAAACTGCATCGCGGCGGGCCGATTGTTTGTTGAGGAGCGTATCCACGACGAGTTCCTTCGCCGGGTGGTAGAAGAGACCAAAAAAATCAGCATCGGCGACCCTCTGCACCGAGGTACTTCACACGGACCCCAAAACCACAAAGCGCATATGGATAAGTTGATTGATGTAAGTATATCCAGTGAATATTTTTTTAATATTTTTTATTTATTATTATCAGTCAAATGCATATAATATGACAGATAAAAATACATTCCTTTAAAATAGTCTTTAATAGTTTTACCCAAAGCACAGATAACATAATATTACATACAGATACCCCATCCCATACAAGAAAATGGTTCCTTCCTAACTCGGGCTATTCTTCGGGCTATTTTATTTCGCCGCCGTAGCCGCTAGATGTCGCTAGATCTGAAGCAGTTCGGATTACTAGTGGGTGCTTAGTAACAAAGCATGAAAATAGATGGCAGTCAATTCAGCTACATGACATCTGTTTTGCAAAGATATGTATATAATAGATATGTAGGTTACTGTATCGTGTACATCATTAGGGACGATTCAAGATTCAATGTAAATGTGTAGGTATAATATCGTTAGCCGACACTGCAGATATGGCTTATGTGCCAATGTATATACCTATTATGTTATGGTTTATTTTACATTCCATGCCTATTTTTTTGATATGTTGTAACGCGTCTGCGCTATACGTATAGCCTGATTTTGATACGTTTATACTCGTACGTATCAAAATCGGGCTATACGTTTTTTTATTTCAATCGTTATATGTATGAGACTGATTTTAGCTACAATTAATTTACTGGTATATACCTCATGTATTCTACGATGTACCCCTCTTTTACCTAATGAGAATTCCGCTATATCTTATATTGTTGGATCGTCATAAAAATAATTAAAATAAGTTGTAAGACTATTGCGCTGCGTGCGGTATTCAACGACCAACTGCCGCCGGCCTCCCGTTACCCAACCGCTACCGGGGTATCTGTTGCTTAGCAACGAGCCAACAGCGCGAGGCTACCGGCGGGTGCGCCGCTATATATATATATCTACTTAGAGGTAGTGTATTACAATATATAAATTTTGTATCACAGTGTTAGTTGCCATATTTCTCCCATGATGAAAATTGATATGTATACTTGCCAGGTCTGAGGTAGGGTTGTTATCTATTTTTTATACCCCTAAGTCATAGGGGTGGCCTACCCCGAAAAAACATTTTTTTGTATTATGGACAATTTTTTTTTTATTTATAATGTTACATTGAAAATACATACACGCCTAAATTTTCACCCGTCTTTCACCAACCCCTATTTTTAATAGCGATATTCTTAAAAATATTATAAATGCTAAAGTAACTCAGTCTGTCTATTTGTCTCGCTTTCACGCCAAACATTCTGAATTACTCGTATATCTTTCAATATCTTTAGCGGTATAAACCAGGTTATGTACTACTACTAGTATTGTTAGTGAGGGATAAAGTTGATGAACAAAAATAAAACAATATTCGTATTAAAAATATATTCATCTAATATTTTTGGCATTATTTTTAAGTTTCTTCCAAATACAAGGGGTCTGACATGGGGTGTTATGTACCTACATTAAAAGATACTTTTTGACATGTATGAAATGTATGAAAGAAATGTATGTACCTACATTAAAATATAATTTTTGAAATGTATGAAAGAAATGTATGTATGTACCTACATTAGAAGATAATTTTTGACATTTATGAAATGTATGTACCTACATAAAAAGTTCATTTTTGAAATGTATGAAATGTATGAAAGAAATGTATGTACCTACATTAAAAGATAATTTTTGACATGTATGAAATGTATGAAAGAAATGTATGTACCTACATTAAAAGATAATTTTTGACATGTATGAAATGTATGAAAGAAATGTATGTACCTACATTAAAATATAATTTTTGAAATGTATGAAAGTAATGTATGTACCTACAATAAAATATAATTTTTGAAATGTATGCACCGTACAATAACAATACACGTTAAACATCATACCACAGAGTCATACGCAAGTTAAAAACAAACTGCTATGATATTAATGAGAAAGGAAAATCAACTTTATGATATTCGTATTAGGATCGATTTCTCTCTTTTTTTTAAATACTAATTTAATCTTACCAGTTGCCAGTATTCGAAGACAACTACGATTCGTACTCGATATTTTAAATTATTATGTAATCGATTTTTCAGTACAAATGCAAATAACCAACGACACTAATAATGTACTACTATATTCCGTTCTTTGAAACGGAACACTGCATAATACAAAATAATGAAAAATTACTGTTCACAACGACTCATTAAAAGCATCATCGAATAATGCGTAATAAAATCCTGTTATCGATTATTAAAAAAAATCGATAATACATGTATTTATTTATAATATGACAACACTTCATACATAAGTATTATTGGAAATATTATTACTTGCTTGTTCGGCTATTTTTAATTTACTTAAAAAATTTTTATATGTTTAATTTACAATAATAATATATTAAGTGCTTATTATTGGAAAATATAAAAAAGACATTTAATTAGGCCGATACAAATGACGACAATGCCATCTATGAAAGCATTTTGAAAACATTGAGCCCCATATTAGCACTGATTAAAGTGTAATTAAGTACTGGAAAATAACAAAATGAGTAAATATATGAAAATTACTTTTCTAAACGCATTATTTCATTTTAACATGTATATATAACTTTTTAAAAATTGATTAAACATTTTTGAAAACACAGTTTTGTTTTTTAAAACGTTTGCAAAACTATGAAGAATTCCATCGATACCAATCACGCCATCTATATGCAACTTTTAGCAATAATAATGGCTACTTCCTCATTGAGTGCCACTGCCCAAAGTAAGACATTTACTAATGTATTAAAATTTTTATCTTCCAATTTTTACTATTATATTAATATAAACTATTTATTGTATACTTCAATTTCATCAAATTTTCTAAATACATAGATTAATTATACTTAATTTAGTTTTAGTGTGAAATAAAAATTGAACGAAATTATATATAATATAACTGTTTATAAACAATATAAGTGAAATTGCGTCTTGACTTTTAGATGCCTGTGGTCGAAAGCATCTATGGTTTATTGTCGTTTAAGTACAGCCTATTACTTTTGTTTAAAAAAACCGTAGTTTCATTTTTAACCAAACAAGAAGTTGTTGTACTATAAACGATATATTTACTCTTTGCAGTATTGCGAGAGAGGAGTCAAGGAAGGCGCTAAGCTGGTGTACGGCGGCAAACGGGTTGATCGTAAAGGTTACTTCTTCATGCCGACTATTTTCACCGATGTCACTGATGACATGTACATAGCTAAAGAAGAGTCCTTCGGCCCTATCATGATCATCAGTAAATTCAGTAGCAAGTTAGTATAGCATTTGCTCTATCAGATATAATTATGTTATTTCATAAAATACAGATCTGTATTGTAATAAAAGAGTATCCTATTATAATGGATGGGTCCATTATAATAGGATTTTGTATCAATCATCGATAAAAAATAATTAAGGAACCGGTTCACAATTAGCAAACATATAACAGAAGATACATACAAAAATAAATATTTACGGCAAGAAATCGGCTTCTAACTAAAGTATATTTGTATATAACCAATAATAGAGAATACATTCGACCGGATTGGAAAAAATATGAAAATTCCGACACGCACTTAAAAAAGAAGACGGATTAACATCCTTTAACGAAGTCGTCTAAAATATAGCGTAATTACCGGTACCCGCGCTTTCTCCCGCGTTAAATTTCAATAAAAAAAATGAGTTATTCTGATGCATATTACTGTAAAGTTTCATCAAAATCCGTTCAGTAGTTTTTGCATGAAACTTTCGAGTTTATAAAATTATTAAGATTGAGAACTCATTGGTTGAAAGTGCGATCGTATTGAGATCCAATTTTTTTTTTAACATCTGATAATAACTAATTTGATCTACAGAAATCTGGACGATGTGGTGAGACGGGCGAACAGCACAGAGTACGGGCTTGCCAGTGGTGTGTTCACACGTGACATCTCTCGCGCATTACAACTCACCGACCGCATCGAAGCCGGCACTGTATTCGTCAACACTTATAACAAAACGGACGTGGCAGCGCCTTTCGGCGGCTTCAAGCAGTCCGGCTTCGGGAAGGACTTAGGTAATAAGGGACAATATTCTTCATATGTATTTTAATTGAAATATCAGGTGGCCTATTCTTGTAACTAATTCCCATCGAAGGACATTAAGCACTTACACATTCTTGTACATAGCTAACAAACTACTCAGCCGGCGGTAATAATAATAATATTCCAGGACAATTCCCACAGTGCCATCTAGTCCCAAGCTAAGCAGAACTTGTGTTATGGGTACTAGACAACTGATATAAATACATGGATACATTTTTTTTTTAAATAAATACATAATATACATAGAAAACACCCAGACCGATACAAACAATCATAATCGTGAAAACAAATGTTTGTACCATGCGAGGAATCGAACCCACGACCATCGGATAGTAAAGCGGTGTGCTAAACCACTAGACCACCGAGGCTGTCAATAGTAAGAAACTGTTGTATATGTATGAACAGTACTACGGACACAACATTATCATATTATACCCATGATATCCTGCGTTTATATTCCAAGGGACTAAGATGTCATGTATACAGATTATTATATAATTATGTAAGCATTTATACCTACAAATAAGTACAAGGCAGGCGGTTTGGCGACTGAGAGGCCCATGAGATTGACTTTTTATAAAGTCTATATTGATTAAAGGATGAAATTAATAATAGTATGTAGCAAGTAAAATGGTAACTCCGCTTTTTATTTCAATGCGGATTTACTATTTATTATGGTTTACAAATATTTAATGTACAATATTTTTGTTACAGGTCAAGAGGCTTTGAACGAGTACCTCAAAACAAAATGTGTGACAATAGAATATTAAAAAACAATAATTAATATAAGATTATATGTGATAAGTAATTGTGATAAAATGAATGCACCAAATATGGCGGAATTATTGTTTTGTACATTTGTTATATAATTATTAATTAATTAATGCTTATTGACTGTTACTAATTGTTACTAATTGTAAATAATTATATTTACTGAATTCGAATAATAGATAAGTTCTAAATATGTAGATAGATTTAGAATATTTTTAGTGTTTTGTTGTATAATTATACACTGTTTTCAAAAACAAATTCTTATCTTTTATTTAATACACTCGTAACTTTTCACATATCAACTTTTCCTTCACCACTCATGTATTATGAGGAGTGAGGATTAAATCAGTAAGTAACAGAATTTCTCATCCAATTTTTATAAATATTTCTTTTAAATCTTTGGTTCCACTCTTTAATTTTAATTTCATCCTCTCTGTAAGAAAAATACAAATTCTAATTAGAAAATAATTTGTTCATAATTAGGTCTCAATATAATCATTATTATATCTTTATATCTAATTATAATTTATAAGGTTACATTACACATCTAGAATATAATTTTTATATAGCAATTTTGTGACGAATTAATAAGGAGTAGGCCTAAATGTTTTGTTAGTTGCGGAAGCGTCGTATTCTTATTTAAAGCAAAAAATATTCTATTGGTATGAAATATAACTATAAATTACCTGATATCTTGCCTATGCAACGGAATACTCGTAGGATCTCCCGCGAATGTTGACGTTTTAAATACAGTCGGCACGTGAGGTTAGGTCAATGTATTTGGAGTATCACGTTCAGGATAGCTGTTGGATAACAATAAAACTCAAATTGACATGCAACACACCACCTTATATGGGCATAGCGAGGTATGCATTACAATACACGTATTAAATTTTTAAAAACCGCGCATTGACTCTACCTTGCCTGCCTCACTCTTCTGGATACGACCATGCTGCTGCCTTCTACTTGTTAGCATGTCTGTTTGTTTTCTATAATTATCATTATAAATAAAATATACCTATACAGTTATATCACATACCTAGTACAATACTGGACTAACTCAAATATTCGTTTTTTTTTAATTAGACTTAAGTCTAATTTTAAAAAAATACAGTGGAATTTCTAAATTTCCTTAATTTTTAGTTAAGCTAGTATTGGTGTGCGATATGATGGCCGTGGTGCTAATCATATAAGTAAAACGACTATTACCACATACCACCAGGTACGTCGTTAGCTTGTTCGTCAATCCTGTTACATATATAGAAAAAAAAAAGGAATTAAGGCAAGGCACACACATTTACATTTTATCAGAATACTGCAGATTCGGCAGCCAGAAATCCCTCGATGACTAAAGCTGAAAGTAAAATAATATGATAGATTCTACAATTATTATCGGTATTTAAGTATTTAACAAATACGTAATAATGTTCAAGGATGTCCCGTCTTCAAATACGAGAGGTTTTCACAGATACTTCATAAACAAAAACACATACGTAATGTTTACTACATATTATAGATGCTTTCATAAAATTGTACAACTTGCATCATACTTACGATGGTTATTTTTATTTAAACTGATGGACATAATGTCTACATATTATTATAGAATTTGACAATGTTTTTGATATCTTTATGGTTCTATAATTTACAAAAAAAAATTATAACTAGCAAAAATATTTTTTAACTTTGGCTGCTATATTCTATGAAATAAATGAAAGTTGTGATTTATTTATTTTTCTTGATATCTTCAAAACAGTTTTTATTTTAGCGTAAACGTACAATGTTCATGTGTACGGCATACCTACTACACTGAGGACTGCAGAGTAACTTTCGTATAAAATATATATTTTGTATAAATTGTTTTATTTAGAGTAGTCTAAAATATTCTTTTAGTGATTTTCTTTGATACAGAAAATGCGGTCTAGTTCTACTAAACACATGTGGGCAGCGGAACATGCTGGGCCCATATCCTGTAGAATTTTCTTTGATAAACTAATAACATTTCATTTGTTTGTAACGTATAATAATCTGAATAGTTATGACAGCATAAGCAAGCAACAGCAGACTTGTTCCGTTTTTATAATGAAATAATACTGGCTGAAGAAAGTAGTGTCTCAATACTAATTTAGTAAATTGCATCAAAATACAGAATAGGTACTAATTACGTAATTTTATAATAAGCCATTTCGAAATGCCGAAATATACTAAGTAACGGCCTATCCTAGTTGAATTACAATATACGCAGTGAAACGTACATGACGAGAACGTATAAACTATGTTGGATATAAAACCTCGTTATTGTTTTATACTTTCAAACTGCGTATTGCTATATTAATAAAGAATACAAAACGATTCTAAGACAAACACCAAAACTTGTTCTTATTTTTTCTCGTTCCTATATAAAATATAGTATTCCGTTCACTACTTCAGGTGACGAAGCCTTTGACTTCTGGGGTAACAGTCGTAATATAATTACATTATTCTTTTACTTCGCGCTTTTACTTTTTGAGAAATATATCTGTGGTGCTGTCACTGTCAGTGATTGTCCAGTGCCAAAGTCAAAACCAGATGATCGATTGATTATTATTTAATTGCATATTGCGATTTCAATTTGTTTCTAGTTTTTAAATTATAAAACAAATATAAAATAAATAAAATGAGTAAAAAAGTACCAATTCGAGATATCTCACCGGTCCTTCAAACGTTTAGGGACTTCCTATTGGGAGTGAGTTTCATTATTTTGTTTTTATGTTATGTAACTTAGACTTAACTTAATAGCATTGTATATATAAGCGTCAATTGTGTTTCTACTATTTAATAATAGTGTTCAATTTTTGTTAGAGGAAACATACACTGGCGTTACGTTTCGAAGAGTTCGTCGCGGCGAGGACGCAGCCGCCGCCACGAATTCCTGATGGTGCTACACATAAGTATGAAGGGTTGATAAATCCATTATTCTCAAATGCATATGCATTTGCAACTGCTTTCCGTGACGTCGTCTGCTTTATTTGAGATAAAAAATACCCAATGTCTGTCTTCGAAATACAGGCTATTGTGGATTATAACATTGTAGTGTTATGCGATGGGATTTACAATGTATACATACTAACACTTGGAATGTGAGTGTACCTGTGTAATCTATCAAGATTAAATAAACACATTTTGATGAAATTTGTGTAAATGGATTGTATCACAACAAATATAGTTACTTCATATTTGTAATGTGAAATATATAAATATAACTTTATTTATCAGAAAACATGAATAAGTAGTAATATATGCCTACATAATAACAATGAATATATATTTATTTCAGTCATGCCCACAATTATTACTATACGAGGGATGCCCGCAGAGAAGTAATACCACCAATTGATGTTACCAAACAGTTCCTCGAGGCTAGCTCTGACAAAGGGTATGTACTCTTGGTGATTCATAAAAGGGGAACAAATATTTTTTATTATTTCATCATTTTAAAAAATAAGAAACCATCATTATGGATCATAACAAATTTTTGAAAACCTTTTATTCAATAACTTAAATGTTTCGTTGCATTTATATGTTATTATCACTCAACTAGCAGCAAGTCTATTTATTTGTCTCCATCATAAGGATATATAGAAAGCACAATGGTTTTTTTAGAATGTTACCATTTCAATAGTTGAATAATAAATTTACTGGCAATTATTTTTTCAAATTATTATTACGGGCCCATCCATAAATTACGCCAAGGCAGAGGGCAAATAGGCCCCCTCCCTTTCCCCCAGACATTTTTGACTCCTACAATGTTACACTTTATTAGAGGAGATAAAGTGTAACATTGTAGGAGTCAAAATAGTGAGTGAAAATATCTGTGTAAAAATATGAAATTTAGGACCCATCTCACCCTCCTAGGCGGTGTCATTTTGTGTCATAACATTTCAATTTTCATGTCACAATATGAAGTTTTACTATTTCAGTTTTAGAAGTTTTTTCAGTCCAACTTTTTCAATTTTTTCAGAGCTCCAAAAGCTGCAGCGAATGTTAGCCCTACACCTGGCAAAGTGTTCCCCTGGGATCAACATCATCAATAACAAATTATAGATAATAATACAATTAGTTTTTAAACCAAATAAATGTTACATTCTTTTTCAAATAACTATTTAAATTTATGTTTCAGTAAATTTAGGACTTGTAATAATATCCAACAGACAGGCAATATAAAATGTATTTCAGGTTGTTATATATATATTATAGAAGTGGTAGAGTAAAATAAAAAGCATATGGTATTTTATTGGTATATTTAAAAAAAAACTAAGCCTGTAGCGCAAACACTAACATAAATGTAAAACAACAACAAATTAGATTACCCACGCACATACTTCTTCATATGGTTATTTAATTATTTAAGAAAGTAAATAAGGTGTATCCCTAAGAACTTTATGAAGCTAAAATATACCAAAACGCAAAATTATTCTCATTTGATAAGATACTTTTAATGGGTCATAATCTGAATCACCGACATATATATTGATTTATGTGATTATGTATTTACATTAATATTTATCAAAACGTAAGAACTAATATTAATCCTGATTAAAATTGCATCTAAAGCCTATACGTTAGTCATATTTCTACTTATGAAGTTATTAAGAAATTAATATAACCATGGATGAATACAATAAAATTAAAATATGAATTCAAAGCACAGAACACCAATATTGTGGCAGATGTTTGATAGGTTCACCATACAAATAAAATCTCTTTCCGAGCTGCTTCTTCATAAAAACCAAAGTAACCAACAAAGCGGTTGAAAACAATGGTAAGCTCCGTAATAGCAAATCATTATTTGTGTATGTGATTTTATATTTTAAATTATTAGTTATATAAAATTAATCAATTTTAAATTTATGTTAATGATTAATGTTCATGTTTACACTATTGAATTATAATTTTGTAACTGACGAGCTAAATGTAACCTGTTTTTACAAAACTTGTAAATAAATAAATCTAAATCTAGTAACACAGTAACAAAAATGTACAATGATACCTATAATCAGATCAAAAAATCAAGAAACCAATTAATAAATCTGTGATCTATCTGAAGAAATTTCTATATGAAAGATTAGAGATTCAATATATATTCTCAATACCTAATGGATTATTGGAACAATGCTAAATTGATTATATTTATTACACCAATTGATTGTACACCTTTATATCAATATCATTGAATAACAACACCCTTTTAATTATAATATTACATAAGTATATATGCATATTAAATTCTATATGAATAGCCAATAATACCTATATCGGTATACTAATTTTCAATACCTAATACATATTTAATATATTAGATTGAAAGTGATTGTTCGCGCGATTAAAGCTGAATACTGGTCTTAATTTTTAGAGTTTGCTACGCTAGGAACTTACAACGATCACTACTTCTTGTGTCACTAAACTGATTTATTTTTATTATATTTTTTTAACAGTAACATCTCATACATACCGCTTTAGTAACCCGTCATATTACATTTTAGCCTGTAATAATATTCTATACTAGTATTCTATATATCGCTGAATACAGTTCATAAAGTGTTCAACTTTTATTGCGCGAACTGTAGATGAAGACATACATAAAAAATTCAAAGTCAGATGGTACAGACATATCTAGAAGAGTTGTTCTGATTTAAAATGCAAAAAATCTTTGATAACAGTTTACAATTTTGACCTTAAGACCCGCCCGCAAGTTGACATCGAATGTTTGAAATACTAAAATCTCCTCAATATCTTTATTAAATTGATAATAAGATTTAGTTTCATCTAGACGTAAGCCTATTATGATCAACATAGCGTGTCTATACATATATATATATATATATATATATATATATATATATATATATATATATATATATATATATACATTATGAATAAATATCCTTTTTGCCAATCCAATATTAATACATATCAGTTCAAAAATAAACACATATAGCTAACATACAAGTCGATGGCGTCTAAATACAAATGCGCTAATTCAGATTTAGAAGAGAATTCTATGCGAGAATATCTCTAAAATTATTTACAACCTATTCACTTAGACAATAAGGTAATACCCGATATCTTTTATCCTATTCCATTCTTGATCTTCCCTAAACATTTCTTTACAACAACCAAACCTAGCAATAATTATAGGACCAAATTGTCTAACAAGGTTGACGTTACGATGAATACCAAAGAGGGAGGGGCGTAGCAACCAAATGTGTTAATCACTTTCAAGTAACCTTACAACTGAATGGCTGTATATCAGCAGCCTATCTGGAAGTGTTCTCCAATGATTGTATATTCTAATTTTGATATAATCAGATTTATCTTAAGACTGACTTATATATTTAATCACTGGAATCAGTTGTACCATCCGGTGTCCTTATGTGCATCAGTGAGAAGCTGCCAAACGTGAAAGTTCTATTTCTGGCCGGCCGCCGAGATCTATATCTAAACCTTTGTCATTTATCGTCTCCGTCCACTTGTTTTCTGAACTGCATGGCATCGCCGTACGCCTTCTTCACAGCCTTCCTATCAGTAGGTTTGCGAGATTCCACCAATTTCGCCTGATCCACGCTTTTATCGATGCCCAACGGTTCCAATTTAATAGGTGGAAGCCATTGCCAAGTTCGTTTTACATCGAAAAATAAAACTAAGTATAGCACTGGCTCGTGAGCGTGGTTCTTCTTTAGATTAAGCACATCTTGCGGTGGCACGGGTAATGGTACGCCATTGTAGATGAATCCTCTTGGAATCTTCGGGTCTATTATGAGCGCTGGATACCATGGATAGCCTCTGTATAATAAAATAAAGTAATAATTAAACTGAAGTACTATATATTTGTGTTTTTATATGAATAGGGATGGGAAATGAGAAGGAAACTTTTCTTCTATAAATCAGCGCATACTTGCTGATTTATAGAAGAAAAGTTCGAGAAACAAAAAAATGAAAAATATATATACCTTTCTTTAGAAGTAACAACGCACGAATCCATGGATACGTACCTGCATTTCGCCCACACCAGCTGCAACGGTTCTAGCTGCACATCAGGCTGAGAGCTCTTTACTGGCGTTTTGGAAGTGGAAGATCTAGTGCCTCGACCCTGTACAGTATTTATAAATATAAATCGCAACACTACACTAATGAAGAGTTCAATTACACTATACGGAAACAACACTTGACAGTTCAAGAATCAAAATTAATCACCCATGCAGTGATGTGATGCAGGTTTTTTTAACAAAATACTTAATGTTATTTACACATGTGCCATTTTATGATACCCGAGTACCGTTCACGTTTCGAGCCCCTCCCATCGAACCCCCGTCACATTCAAGCGGGGATCAAAATGACGACGACCTTAACCGAGGTTCGAACTCCTAGCGGTGTCTTCTAAAGTTCTTCTAAGACTAAAGTCGTATCCATCACGCCGAATCCGACGTAAGTCGTCATAGGTCCTTCCGCGGGTTGAAGTGCTACATGCACTCGCTTCACCGTACTACCGGTAGTACGGTGAAGCTCTAAAGGCCAGCAGCGACCAACAAAATTAGAATTAACAACTTTCTGCGGTGTTGCCTTTCCAGTGACATAGAAAATGACAATGGCAAATTATACCTTGACGGGCGTGGTGGGCTCGGTGTCGGAATGGTCTGAGTTAGCTCCACGACGCGACCGCCGACGTCGCTCTGGACCACTACCCTCCACGTTCGAGTCTAATGTCTCGTTGTAACTTGACCTGTAGTACAACTCTATGTAAATCGACTATGTTTTATACACAAGTTTAAAGTTTTAAGAAATATAAAGACGACAAAATTTTTGGACATGTGTGCCTTTTACATATTTTTGTAATAATACGACGTTCTACTCACCCGTCGGTGGTGCTGGGTGAACAGAGAGTTTTCTATTCTTTAGGTGGTCATTCAGGAATTTTATTGCAATATTGTCAATAATGTAATTTTTTAGGAAATATTGGTACGAACCTATTTAAGTTATTAAAAACCAAATATTTTTGTTGTCGTCGTAGTGCGTACACGACGAACACGACTGCGACCACGTCGAACTACACGACGACGATCTGCAACACAAGACTGTACATACACTACACCGTAGCAAATGGCTTGCATAGAGTAACAGCGCCATGGCAGCAAACTGCAAGACATATGCTAAGCTTCGGCGAACTAGGAAGTAGCATATGTCTTGTATTTGTATAATGTTATATAACTTACTAATTACTTTAATAGAGTTAACACAAAAAATATATATTATGTACACGGATGGACCAAGAAGTTTATAATAGCATCGATAATCAGGAATAATATGATGAAAGTAAATATTCCACAAATTTAATGTGTGTGTACAATTGTAACAACTCGTATGTGTACGAAGTCAAAGTTATGTAGAGAATTCAAATTAGTTTGAAAATATTAAAGTCAAAGTAAAATAATTTACTAAAATAGAAAATTTTTAACTTATTACTCTCTAATAGGTTAGGGTACTATTAAACAGATATATAATGTACGTTACGGTCCTTCGAGCCGGATTTAATTAATAATTATAATACAATAAAATATATGGCCGTGGCCACGGGACTACATAACGACGCTACCACTTGATGGTAAGTGGCCGCCGCCTTAACATGAATAGTACCACGAACATCACGTTATCATGTGACGCCCGTGGTGCATTTATTTATTACATTAATACTTAACTTACAGCTAATTGCTAAAACGTTTATATCTCAAATCTATTACTTAACTATATAAAGTCAGATACATTTTAATGTTATTAGAGAAGGCAAGACTTCTGTGTAGACTTCAGCGTCTTGGACCTAAAAATGAAGATGTGGTCGAGCAATGGGACCATCGCTAATTCGCCACCGCAGTTGCAAACGACGTGCGTTCTACTCAGTAATGCGTAATTACTAAATTCCCTACACTATTGCCGTCGTACCTGGAGAGGGCGAGGTCGCTGTCGGAGCCGACTTCGCCGGGCGGCCCGCGGTACTGCAGGAACGACGCCGCCACTGGAGCACCCGCGCCGCCGCTACCGCCCGCCCCCCTGCAAACATACAGGCCTATAGCACATATTACAAAAACAGTTCATCAAATAGAATCAATATAAACAGTATTGTTATTAATAATGCTATTTTTGCATTAAGATAACGTTTGTTTGTTTTTTAATGAATTATCATGGCGATGTAAAAAGGATATCCTGGAGAAGCACCTACAGAAGATAATCGGATGAGCATGAATCAGATCAGTTAGTCTACTGTAGTGAAATTTACAGAAATTACTTGGGGTGTCACCCCAATGGGGTGAACCCATGTCTTGGAAACAATCGTGGTAAATTCCTAGAGAATTTGTCACAATGGACTAACTAACCTAAATTAATGTTCATCCTATCATCGTCCACTGGTCAGTCCTCCCCGCCAGCGTAAACTGTTAGAACTGGCGAGTGCGCCACTGCACTATTATCCCTTACAAAAAAATATATTACCCGATAATAATTCTTCCCCACTTAGAGACAGTTAGCTCTTCCTTCAATCCCTGCCATAAATCACAGCATAATCATCTAATCATCTCCTCTTTATTAGACTAAAAAATATTTTTAAAATTACGTACACAATACACCGTTAGTCATATCAGAAAAGGCGTGAAAAATCTATGATAATGACTATTAAAACACAATTTAACGAACCTAAACAGTTCCGGTGATGTGGCGGACTTCTCCTTGTGTTTCCGGGGTCGTCCTCGCCCTTTTTTCTTCGGAGACGTTTCTAGTGCGGGGCGAGTCAAACTTGCAGATAGCGTCGGCAAAGATGCTTTGAACAAATGGGCATTTCTTATATCAAAGCAAATAAGTTTAACTTAATACTCTAATAACCATACAAATTCAATGTTCAAACATGGACTCAACCGAGCATTACAATTAATAAGTTTCAAGCACTTCTATATTATAAAGAAAAATATAATATTGTAAATTCCAATTTTTTAGTTGAAACTGCAGCAAATAGTAAAGAGTATTCAAGACACTGTAATAAGATAAAAAGATATGATAAATAGAAAGATAAAAATAATATTGCCATTTTATAAATAAGTACCTAATATTAAACAATATAGTTTATCAAATATTGTTTAACCTTAGATACTTATTTAAAAAATGGTTGTCGATTGGTTAGATTCGTCGCGCGGTACCAACATTTGTATTCATGAGTATGATTGTTTGTATTGATCTGGGTCTTCACAATATATATATATTATGTAGGTATTTGAAAAAACTAAGTATTTATATCCGTCGTTTAGTAACAGAAGCTCTGCTTAGTTTGGGACTAGATGGAGTTGTGTGAATTGTTTAGGGATTGAGATATTATTATATTATAAAAATTACCATCAGAACCGAAACTTTTCGGTGGGGTTGTAATCGTAGCAGGAGTCAGCAACAGCGTTGGCTTCCTTAGTCCACCCATGAGGCCTAGCCCTGAACCTTCAATCAAGTTAAAACAATGTTTGTTAAATTTTTAACTAACTTATCAATTACGCTATAGACCCCCGGTCAGCAACAACCGGCTTTAAAAAACATATATCGTTTGAGATTAACGGACGCTCACTTGGAAGACACACTTCGAATTTACGTTCCTCTCGAGTATCAAATTATAAAGAACTGGCTCAAGACCGTCGGCGTAGTTTCTCACATTAATTTTAGGTCTTGTGTTTTATAATTCAGAATTTGATTTCTAACCAAAATAATAAATAAGTTGCACCTAGTTTTTCATTCGAATTTCATCCTATCACCTTTTTCAAAATTTTCCCACGCTATCCGGACGACACTTAAAAATTCTTTCCGACCACCACTATTATAATATAAAGCTGAAAGCCCAGGCACCTGCGGCTATCAGCTATAATTATGTGAGCAGTGTGCTGTCATGCCCGCAATGTGCGAGGATTTTCACAAACAACATTGGCTACATAAGTCACACGCGAGCACATCAACGGCAAAACGGTCTTGCCATCATTTACTATCTAATGAAGTAAGACCAAGCGCAATCCCATTATTAATAAAAAAAAATCATCATCATCATCATTATAATATACTGTAACAAAATTTAGTTTAACTTCACAAAAAAACTTCGAAAAAATTGTTAGAAAGTAATTCACAAACTAGATCAGCACATACCAGAACCAAGTGTTAAGTTATCTAATATCTGTTTTAGTAGGTACGATAATAGATTATCAAATGGTAGACTTCACGCAGACGACTTCCTATTGAAGTAAGTCGTCTGCGTGAACCACGTATACCATCAACTGTTTTACATGATGACATATTGTAATGAAATTACAGAATCTGGAGACATAACAACTTAGCTCAAGAAAGACATCAAATGTTGAACATTATGAGTCATTTATTTTATGGCGTCGGTGAATAGAAGTTCATGTGCATGATCTCCAATAAGCTGCTATGAGAAACTTGCACAAGTAAAAAATACTTGTCTCTTTATATAAGTTGTAAAGACAACTCACCAGTAGCAGTATCTGTAATCTTGGCTGGAGAACGTTCGGGCGTGGCTAATCTCTGCGTTCGCTCTATACTCTTCCTTTTAATCTCTACTTTGTTCACTACGGGCTCCGCGGCGGCTGTTTCCGAGTCAGATGTCCCGCTTTCTGATTACAAATAATTATTACACATTTACACTTTATAGGTGCTAATAGAACATGATGTTTGTAACAAAATTTTTGGAGTACCAATTTCAAATGTATCGTTTGTCAAGCCGTCGGCTTTTTTTTTTTTTGCATGCAAATGCATGAGACATCATATAGCGATGTGAAAGCTGCACAACAGACAGTGGCGATGTAAAGACCGATCGATTTGGGAGAATAGAGCGACCAGCATATGCTACTACAAAAGCGAGCCCCCGCACCGTACTGACCGTGCTGCGGGTGCTGGTGCGGCGCCGCGCCCCCCCCGCGTCCCGCGCCCCGGCCGCGCCGCCCGCGCCCGCGGCCGCGCCCGCGTCGACCACGCCCGCCGCCGTGCCACCAGTTGCTGTTCATTTTATTCTTCATATCCACCTTGCTCTTCGTCTTCGCCGCCGGTGAATTGTCGCGCTACCCGTGTCAAATAAAAATATCTTTATTCGTGTCTATTACAAACGGTTATGGCAAGTGAGAGCTACCAACGGTTAAGATTAAAGTATGAGTTGAGAATTTACTAGAAATTTGGCACTATTTCAGATAGCCTATGTATTGATAAAGTAACATCCAGAATATATTCCTTTAAGACAGATAGCGGTGAAAAATCAACACACGACACCCATTCGAGTAAAATAAAAATACCTATAATACAACTGTACACAACACAAAAAATGTTGTATGACGATACACATATTAAGTTTATAAGATATATCATACGATCTCTCTCTGGAATAATATTTGAACAAAACAGCAAGAATGTATAGTTTCAAAATATGTCTATATAATTAAAGACCTAATTACATTTACAGAAACATACAAATTGATATACATAATATAAAAAAATAAAATACAATCAAATTGTGGTGGTGAATATACAAGTAATGCTTGACTAAGCAGATTTTGTATGGGCCATGTTTTCCAGAACACCTTAAAATGTATCTAAAATCTAATAAAATTACGATTATTATCTGTAATAGTATAGTAAAAAATAAAAGGTAATATTACACATACAGTACATACATATGGATGACTTTATGCATTATATTGTAACGTGATTTACTAAATGTACTTACCCTTACCTGTTCTTTATCTTTGGGTCTGACCTGTTTAAATGTTTAAGTGTGTAACTGTATTGTTTTATATAACCAATATAAATATAACTTTAATATTAAAGATAAATTCATGAGGTATCTGTTATTGGCTTTACTAACTAAGTAATACTATATATTGTCTATAAATTGTATAAGCTGTTGATTACCTAAAATAAATAAATAAATAAATAAATTACCGTATCATTATCTGCGTCTGAAGGGCTGCCCGCGCTGGACTGCCTGCGATCGCTACGTGCCGGCGATCCGCGAGTATCTGCGCGTGCAACAATATATATTGTATGAGACATCTCCAGTAATATATGTCAGTTTGTTGTCAAGAGGCGAGGTTTTTTTAAATGCATGATGATGCTACACCGGCTTGCACTAACGGTTTAGTGGCAAGGCACCAGTGAGGATGATAGCATGAGGTAAGGTCAGTTAGACGATCGTGACATATTAATCAGGAATTTATCACGATGGTTTCCAGAACTGCGTGGATATTAACCTTACTTTGTTCATAGCTAGCGATGGAGTAATTAGTTCACAATACAAACACCCCCACATCCTGAGCGGGCTAAGGGTATGAGGTTGGAATTCTTACTGATAGTATGTTTCTTTATTAAATTGGAATGACAATGAAGCTAATAGTCCACATGATGGTAAGTCATAGCCATCGCCTATATACGTGAACATCACGAGCATCATTATCATCATTAGCATTATCATGTGACGTTATGTCACGTTATCATGCGTATGCCATATAAAAGAACTAAAATGTTTTGCCATTTATCCAATAATTTTACTGTCTAATCTGCACCCTGCAACTGAAATACTACAGCTTATAATACAAGCTACTTAGCGGCTGAAATGGATCACACTGAGGTACCCACATAGACGACTTTTTAGTCTATCTCAGGTAAAAAATAAATACAAAACTTAGTTTGTTCATCTTATCTGAACTTATTTAGTAAAGATTTTTTTCTTTTCCCAAGACAAATTCACACTGCCATCTACTCCCAAGTTAAGCACAGTTTTGTTAGCTTGAGTGTTCTTGGGGTACTAGACAACCAATGACGATGATAAGATCGGAAAGTCAATAAAAAAATGTAAAGATGAAGTGGATAAAATCGCAAAGATTACTAGTAAAAATTGGCTACTGACCGGCGGTGCCGTCGCTGTCGCTGGTAGTGCGTCTGCTGACACGACTGACGCGGCTCGCGGCGCGTCTAGAACGCCCGCGGCTGCGGCTGTGGCTGCGTTTGCGGCTGACACTTCGTTTGCGACTGACGCTGCGTTTGGGGCTGACGCTGCGTTTGGGGCTAGCGCTGTGTTTAGGGCTGGCGCTGTGTTTCGGGGTGATGCTGCGTTTGGGTATGAGGTTGCGTTTGCGACTGACGCTTTGTTTGGGGCTGACTCTCTGTTTAGGGCTGACGCTTCGTTTACGACTGACGCTTCGTTTAAGGCTGTCGCTACGTTTAATGCTGACGCTACGTTTACGGCTGCGGCCACGTTTGATGCTGACGCTGCGTTTTCGACTGACGCTCCGTTTTATGCTGCGGCTACGGTTCCAGCTTGGACTGTGGCTGGGACTACGGCTACGGGTGGGGCTGCGGCGTACCAGACTACGGTCTGGACTACATTCCGTGTCACCATTCCCCGCCAGCTCGGCCATGCCCGCATCACGAACGTCGCGGCGTGCTTGTCGGAATATAGGCAAACACTGCTCTCGCATTTTTACACCCGCCCTAATAGAGTAATTAACTATTTTAGTAAAGAATAGATTTGATATTTGGATTTCTGACTTTGATCCTAATGCTTCGAAGAATATTTCCTGAGCATATATACATTGTGGGGTCCTATCTCTCGCTATTCCGTAAGATCCCTGACATCAAATTAAAATACTAGTAAAAGTAATATTTTAGTGAAAGCTAAACAATAGCACAATTCTTCTATTATAATAAGCAATAATATATTTACTAAACCAACCTTGTCCCAATAACAAATTAATTTGTAATATTTAAACACTAGAGGGTGTAAAAATGTCTCTTTGAAAAATTACTAAGTATATATTTTATTGTTCGTGAATGTTATAGTTATACTCACTTATAAAACACGGTGTCCTTATTATTATATGTGAGACAGTTGTCGATCATCAGGCGAAAATCAGCCTCTACGTCGTCGATAGTCTTGTATTCGCCTCGTTCTAACTTTTTACTCATCGTACTTAAGTCCATGGGATGTTTTACTATCGTGCTATAGTCTGGTACCTATAACAAAAGCATACATTTTCTTCTAGTACATTTTGGTTGCTCGAGGGGCTTAATAAAGGTCAAAGACAACAGAGCGTCTGCTTTCACACTTTATTGGGTTACGGAATTAGGGGGTTTGGGGAATACCGCTTCAATCCAGCGATCTTCTGGGAGGTTTCGTTTTAATTGCCAAAGAATTCCGTTCAAAAGCTATTTTATTAATAAATTTCAAATGTACCTCGGTCCTATGCTTTATAATAAAATTATCGATATATATCACATCAATTACTTAAAATGTAAAGAAATTCTAACAATATGGCTAAAATCATTAAATTACAATGACATTGAAAATCTTCTTGTAGCAGTAAAATGACATGAGTACATACACATACACACACACGTAAACACTATACACACCATTATATATACATCTCTTTATTAAATAGTATGAAAATGTAACATTAAAAATATACACCTTAAACAAGCAATATATATATTTATATACATCTACGATATACTGTTATTATAAACAAATTTAAGATTAAGCGTACATTAAGATATAAAAAGATAAAATTAAAACTATATTATTTTAGTTTGTTAACTAACGTTATTATATTGTTCATGTTCATGGTTATTGTGGTCGCGCAGAGTCACTTGTAAACCTGTTTACGAGCTGCGAATGGATTGATGCCAATGCAATTCATTCATATTTTGTACAAGTTGAAATGTAAATCTACCCACGCAATTGCAACATTTTAATTTTTACCTATTTGTCGCTGGAAGAAGGTAGTATCTATGATACAGGCTCGGCCTAGTATAGATGCTACTGGTAAATTATATGCATGATGCGTATTTAACAAAAATGTAATAGTTATATATTATTATTCCATGAAGAAGAAATATCACTACAAAAATATTACTGTAATTTATAATGAGTAAAACTAATTCCCACCCCAAGGGCTGTCGATCTAGTCACCCGGGGATTATTGCTCTCGGAATCGATGCCGTGGCAAAGCAAAGGGGCTCGCCCCGATGCCCAAGCTTTACCCCCCTAGAGGGGTGCAGAAAACCAGGTTGGAGGGTGGTGTACCTCGTGCAGGTCGACCGGCTCCGTGAAGATGTCGCTGGCGTCGCGCTGGCGCAGCAGCCGCAGCAGCTGGCGCAGCGCGGCGCGCGCCGGCCGCAGCCGCTGCAGCACGCAGCGCTCCCACACGCGCGTGTACTCCGCCTTCAAACGCTCGCGCTTGCGCACCAGCTCGCACAGCAGTCTGTGAGCCACGCGACACTCCCGTCAACACAACCCAATTTGTCTCAAAAAAACTGGCGAATTCGCGGAAAACGGGGAGTCTAATTTAAATGTGCGAGACGTGTTGCCATGTTTATAATAAATACATTAAAAGAAAATAAAAAAATCATAAAAAAAAATTAAATATGTTTTTTCTTAGACCAAAAAAAATTTTAAGTATATCAATGATTCTTCTACTTGTCTTAAGATTAAGAAGTTTTTATAAGTAAAGTAAAAATTAGTTAAAAATAAGGTAACTATTAATTCATGATTTTTCTTAACAATATTCACATTGTTATTTGACATAAAATTTATAAAACAATAAAACTTGCACTAACCTAGCTCTTTCTAAGTCCTGACGAATTCTCTGCCAATATTTTAGCTGATTGCATAGTTCTCGTACATTCACTGTACCATCTTGTATACCTCTACTACCTGTAAACAATACAACGTAGAGACAAGATAGAATAGTTTCCTGATTTCGAGGATGAAATGTCAATGCAGACATGGACGGGATATAATGAATGGCACATTAATCTACCGGGATGGTAATGAGGGTGCAACAAGTTCGTAACTATGTATTTTTTGTGGCGGTGTTCATGTACTTAAGTAACACATAAAACACGCGCCATTAACACACATAACCCACGAAAGAGTGATCACAAAAATAGTAAAATGCAATCACACACAATTTCCCGCGCGCTTTTCCCGCCCAAAATCGTGCACGCTTCTTATCGTGCGGCGCCTTAGGAGCGGCGCACCGTTGCGCACGAGGTTCTTGAGCGTCTAGTGGGGCAGCAAACCACTGATTTTCACATATTGTTCAGGGACATACGCGAGAGCGCATGTCTACTCTCTACTTATGTACACTATGTGTTTGGTATGCGTACTGACCGTGGTTGGTGGTGAGGCTCTGCAGGCGCCGCAGCAGCGGCACGCCGTTGCGCGCGTGCCTCTTGAGCGTCCAGTAGGGCAGCAGCCGCGCCAGCAGCGCCGCGCGCGCGGCGGGCGGGCCGGGCGCGCGCGCGGCCACCTCGGCGGCGCGCTCGGCGGCCAGCCGCGGCACCGCCACCGCCGGCGCCCACGCCCGCGCCCGCGCCAGCACGCGCCGCGCCTGCGCACACGCCCCGACACCTCACTTTACGGCACCGCGACTGAACGGTCCCGCTGCCGCTTCGCACTCGTGAATGCTTAAAGAACGACGGTTCCATACCGAAAATCCGAGTTCTGCATTACGTAGAATGAGAAGCGTCCGTTTAACCTTCGAGTTACATAGGAACACGTTTCCACATAAACAAATTCATCTCGATCGATATTATCCAATACTATTCGATTTATTACTATTATGTTTGAAACAGTAAAGTGATTCGGTATATTATATCAAAACAGTAAAAACGTGTTAAACTCCTGAAAAACTTTGACTCTTTTAAAATTATACTATTTATCGACATGCATAATATACCTGTATAATCTTTTCTCTTCCCTTTTGCCGTATCGCTTGTAGGTTTGGTGATTTTGTATCCCCCTCCGACTCCTGAGCTCTTCTTTCCTGAAAAATATATATTCTTATTATATAAATATATATATATTCCATAAAACTTATTTTGTTGTATATTACGGCTCGAAAAAGTTAAACAGTATTAAATGGATGTCCAAATAGAATATTCTTTAAAACAGTCCATACTTATTACGTCTGGATTTTAAGCATTACCGACAAAATGCGAGTGAATTTATTAGTGGACAAATTGATCATAATAATCGTACATACTTGTAGAACATGGGCTGGCGTGTGAGCATCGCAGTACGCCATCTTTGCAACCTGCACCGGCTGACTTGGGTCTCTACCAGCACCGGCCGCTTCCATCTTCATATAAAGTCTAATATCAACAAAATAAAAAAATAAATTACTATGTACTACTATAATAAATTACTAATAACATAAACGAAAAGTGAGAAAAAAAATATTTTTAGCTATTAAATTACATGTATAAGAATTAATATATAAGACAAGTATTATTTAAATATAATATAATCATGTATTTTGCGTTAACAATAATATAATCCACAGTTAATTGAAAATAGTAATAAGTTTGGTAATTTTCAAGCTGTTTATGATCCTTAATAAATAAATAAATATATAATATGAGGTTAAAAAAATAGTATAGATTAATATTAATAGAGTATGCTCATAGGGTCTTACCCAGCCTGTTGTGCACACGTTACATGGAAAGCCGAGTAGCAGTTGCTCTTGTGGCACTGTATGCATGCGCCAGCGCCGCGCTGCTTACAAACCATGCACTGGAGCTTCCATCTCGCTGGTGGTATCATCTCTATCGAGTCTGCATTAAATTTTACCAATCACAGTTATTTTTCTCTCCTATTTACTTCAGTAGAGAGCATCGTGACCTAATGATTTACTATAGCGAATTAGACCGACAATTCGTAAGTTGTAATCTGGCCGGCATGAATATTAAATAATAAAAAAGCCCTTTATTCCGTAATTTCAATTTTTTGTGGAAGTAGTGATTACAATATATATATTATATTACTAATTTCATTATATACATGCCGTAGAGATATATACATTGTATCTATGACAAATGTATGAAATATATATTACCTATTGGTTCCAAAAACACGGTGTTAGCGAAACGTACTTCTGGAATCCATAGCGCGCACACTACATGAGCCCATGTCGCTTGATCTGTTTGTTTGAATGCTCCTGAAAATATAACAAAAAAATGAATCTTTTTATACTTGTAATTTAAAATATTTTAATAATTCAATTTAATTTTTATGACAAATAATTGATAGTGACTCTAGGTGAAACACCGATGTTAAATTAAAAAAAATAATTCAAAAGACGACAGTAGGCTCGCCCCCTGCCACATTGAATTAAAAATATACTAACAAAATGTAAGCATGTAAACTGTTGCGTGTAACCACGACATCAACATACTTATATATAATGTATATACATAATACCTCTGACTACACCAAATGCGATATCAGTCGTGACAATATCTTTATATTTATATTTAACAGTATAATCCCGATTATCCGGACTCATTCGTCTCGGTTCTAATTATCAATTTAGATATTTCAGGTCTTGAACAATAACTAGAAGATGAAGAAGAGGTTGAAAATGTGGGTATAAGGCAACTATCACGCAGAAGCTTTCGAAGCTCTAGATATTTCCTTTAAGTGGTTTGAAAGACAGGACGACTCGGCACCTATACAGTTGTTACAATAGAGGCGCATCAGGGACTTGGCCGCAATGAAAGGATATGATTAATTACGTCAAAGATCAATAACAAGTTATTACTAACCAAAATTTCAAATGATGTAGATGTTATACAATTCATTATCTATCGTTATAACTGATTTTTTATATATCGTATTATCTAAGTAAAACCCATTACATCTTGAAAAATTATTAAAATTGAAATATTGTTTGATTTGCTTTGAAATCATTTTATTTTATTTGTTTGTTTGGATTTGTTGTTTGGTTTTATTTGATCCGGATGATTGGGATTCTACTGTATTATATAAATTAATGTTTAGTAATTGGTTACAGTGCTAACAATAATACTATTGGTATCAAAGTTTACCTACCTCCTGTGTTGGGACAAAGTACACAGTTGACAGGCCGTGAAGGTGATTGTAGACATCTGCGGCATAGCCACTGGCCCTCGGGGATGTATGGCACCTAGAATAATATTATAAATTGTTCAAGCATGGGCATAAAACGAAATAGTTTAAAATTACATAATTTTTACTACTATAGCACTACAAGAAAAAGAACAGTGAAATAGAAAAAAAACATCTACACTCACTTACTCAGCATAAAGCTACTTCATAGCTACACTGTTATAAAAAATATAACAAAACAGATAAATCTACATACATGGTAACATGTGTTAATCTAGGACAAGATCTCTAAGTACAGATACATGAAACTTGTACTGAGTTTCATTTGAAACTGTTTAGATATCTTGTGTTTATAGAGCACCAAACAAACATCCATCCAATCATCCTCTAGAAACTTACTTATAATTATAGTATGATTAAGCTCACACAATCCAGGTATTACTTTATAATATAATTATTTATTTGTCAGAGTTTTGGCTACCACTTACCCCATAACAATCTTGATGTACAGCAAGATTGCACATGTCACAAAACAATATAACATTAGTGTTCTGACACTCTCCATCCATGCAGATACAGCATACAGCATCTTCATCCACAGTGGCAGCTGTTTGTTGACCACTTTGTGATGCCTGTATAACATTAAAATAAAAATACATCATATAGGATGCTACCAAATTCCCTCCATTATCTCCTTTAAAACATGTAATAATAATAATCTATTACTTTTTATTAGATATAGATTAGCATAATGATGGAAAGGACCTTGTTGGTCTAGAGATTTAGCTTGCAACCTTAACTTTGATGGTCACAGGTTTGATTCCTTGCATGGTATAAACATTTGTATTCATGAGTATGATTGTTTTCTTTGTATATTATGTATGCATTTACAAAAAAAAATGTTTTTAAGTATATTTATCAAATCTTATCAATTATTTAAATTATTTATACTAAAAGCCTCCTACTTAGCTTGGGACTAGATAGTCCCAAGTTTAATTTAACATGGCCTGAGCCATGCCTACATTCTCTATGTGATTTAATACAAATTATTATCCCTGTTTCCATCAGAGTATCATGTCACAAATGTACATTGACATAATTTATACTAGTTATGCAAAACTTGTTCAAATATTTCCTAAACAATTTACATACTTGAAAATATGATTCCTTCTCCAATCGATCCATAAGGAGCTCCAATGTATCAACAGAAACAGGAGGAAAGGCCTGCTTGACTCGAGCCTTATTGATAATTGCCAACCATGCTGTATCTTCTTCATCCACATCATATTCCACCTCACCATCCAGTTCTTCAGCCGACTTTTCAATGAAGCGGATGTAGGCATTGGGTCGGGGTGGAGCATCACATACCCGCTCATTGTAGTCTGGTATCAGCTGATATATTCATGTAATATTAGAACAAAGTTTTAGACTATTATTATATTATATTATTATATTACTTACAGGTCATCAAAAAAATCTAACTTTATGCACCAGTTCAGTACTGAGTAGTAAAGCAATGCATTGCCAAGTAATGTGTTGTCACACTATAAATTTTATATATATATACTATCTAGTGAGGAAAAGGAGATTGTTACTAATGTGGACTAATAACTCCATTGCTAGCAATGTACCATGTCTGCTTGTACCTCCGCTCAGTTCCCCTTGGAAAACATCATAGGAAATTGTCATTTGTCCAGACAGGCTAACTGATTTGATTTCATGCTCAATTTATCATACACCAATGGTGCCCCAACAGTGTGAAACCATTAGCGCAGTCGGGCGAATGACTCCATCACAACCATAAAAAAATACTATCTAGATGTGAAATACATCTAATAAAGTGTGGTGACACATTGTTCTGTCCTAATGACCATGTATAGTCGTATTTTTAATTAGACGAAGCTAGCTGACAGTAGCTAATGTCACATTGTAAAATAATGTTGCCATATTTAAAGTAATAGTGATGCGTTCAGTTCTCAGTTAAATGAATGAACAATGAGTGTGAATAGTTAATCATTACAAACTACAAAAGAAAATTGTATAAAAGTGCTCTGATATAAGTTACTAGTAACTACAATCAGTTTTTTGACGGCTTATTACAAAGCGCACGGCTACTAGTGCCAACACAAATCAACGTCGCGAGCGTCTGTCGCCATTTTGTTCGTAATTCGGCTTCTAACCTCTGGTCTGAGAGCACCAATGTTTTTTTTGCGCTCACGCTGTTTTGTTAAGTTTTTCCTCATGTTGTGTTTGTGGTAATTGTTGGGTATATTGTATATTTACTATATTGTTTCATACAAACAATATGGAGCCTCAACCAAGCACATCAAGCCAAAGCTTGTCTCCAAGAAAGACGTTACCGAAAAACTTATGATACAAAACGTCTATAAATACGTATTTGAGAAAGCTGCTTCACTATTACCTATTGAGGCTCCCAAAAAAACAAATGTATTTCGAAAACAGCTGACATTTTGGGAATTGGTGTGACCTCAGTCTACAATGTATTAAAATAATACAAAGTGAACAATTTAAGTCTCCGGAGAAACGTGGAGCGAAACACTGTTTCAAAGATAAATTATTATCAATTTTTAGACAGATTTATAATTAATGTCACTGAAAGCGACAATGATTTTTTTATCTGATGATGAATAAAAACAAATTTTGTAATAAGCGCAGTTTTTTATTTTTATTACCTAACTATATTATGTTATATATTGTTATATTTTGTACATCTATAGTTTCAATTACATTATGAATTGTAATTAGGACAGTCTTAAAAGTTTCCACGCAATTTTTTCTTTACGTTTAAAATACTCGGTATTCAGTATAGGTAGATACAATAGGAACATAATCGTCGTAAACTCGTTGGTATGTATAAAGCACGGCTAAAATTCAAACCCCGTACCCGATATCGGCAGTTCGGCACACTAACTATTCACTAGACAATCGAGGCAATTCCATTAATTCAGGAGTTTTTTCAATGATTCACTTTGTCACAACACTATTTTTATTTCATCAAATACTGACAACACAGTAAACGTCAGTTGACTTCGTCTAATTAAAAATATGACTATAACATAATTCACTACTTCTACAGGAATTTGTATAACAATATTGTATACCACAGATATTTTTTTGCAATTAATTACACATGTAGAAGAGATTATCTTTCTACAGAATACTTCTTAGCAGCCTTTTAATTGTATATTGTTTACTCAATATAGAAGTTGCCAATACCATAAGAAATGGTTGTAACCGTTAATGGATTTAAAAATAAGATGCAATGATAATAGCATAATAATAAGTATAATAAATAACATTAAATGTTTTGATTCTAGCTATTTGCTCATTTTGTGCAATGCTACTAAGATACCTTAAAACTGGCTTCAGGTAACTTTACATGAGGCTCTGCTGGTGGTTCTACATATGGAATCGGTTTTTCCAATTCAGCATTCTTCTTCTCCCATTCTTCAAGTGACATAATCGGTAAAGGTTGGTCAATAGGTATTCTGCTGATCTTGCCATCGATTTCAAATTGTACCACTTTTTGTGCTTCCGCAAAAGTTAATGCCTCTTTAGGAGGGCTCTGCAGAGCTATGTCACCGGTAGACACCGGCGCTCTAGTCCTCCCGCCCTTTTTTCGGTTACTGACAACAGCAGGCGTGGCCGGCGTAGGATTATCATGATCATAATTCACCAAATGATACTGAAGCCCACACAAACTCTTGTACACTTTATCACACTTCTCCAATGGACACTTGTACGGTGGTGGTCGATTTTGGCGAAGTTTCTTGCAAAACTCCAAAACATCAAAATCTAAACCCATTTTGAAAATTAGCCCAGTTTTAATCACGACTAAAATTATAGATCACTGCCATGATGGCTGATAAAAATATTTTTTTATTGAATAATTTCACAAAAACGTAAGTAAACAGAGTTAAATACCGCAGGAAAAAATAGTGAAATAGTGAACATTGATTAAAGCAAAAGACAAGATACATACACAGAGTAATTATGTTACAAACAGAAAGCGACAGTGAACACAGTTTATCACATATGACACTTAGGGATGCTCGATATTCTGAATAGATTAATATAGTCCATTAAAACTAATTATACAAAAACAAAAAAACAGAAATATAGGCGTGACGACATAAAAACAACCTTAGCTTGTTTTTACATGCTATTTTTAATCAAGTACTCAAAGCATGAAATTATAAGTTGTAGAAAATAATTTCAATTAAGTTTTTTTATGTTCTTCTTCTACTTTTATCAATGTTGACATTATACTTTTAAAATGATTTGAGATTATGTTGTAAAATTTGCTGATATATATGTTAAATATAAATATATATTTTAAAATTTATTGCTAGTATTTACATAATCTAATTGTACAAATAAGAACCTAAAATTAAAAAGCTTAAAAAAAATATAATGTGATGACTAAAATAAACTTTTAAAGTGTTCATTATTACATCTCTACGAACAACATGACAGTTGTATGACGTATTTACCTTATGACATTTATTTCATTTGACAGACAAATAATACAAAAACACAATACTCTTTTTCTATTTATCCACATTTTTTAATAATTTTAATTGTTTGTTTAAAGTGAACATAATATTTATATGTTAATTTCAATTTAGAGCTGTCTACTATTCTGCCTACTCAGTAGGGAATCTGGCGTGAAGATACATAGTTATAAATTGTAAATTATGGCTAACCAAAATGAACCTTTGAGGCCTGGGGAAGCTGCATTGCAAAATATGAACTTATTGAAAACAGAAAGCACATTATTCAAGATTCCAAAAATTCCCAAAAAGAAAAACACAACGAAAACTCGAGTTCTCGATGAAGAACTATATGTGGAGGTAATGATAAATAAACTTTGAATATATTTTGTTCTTGTAATAAATTGTGCAATTAATTCAAAACTAATTGCCTTAAAAATGTAGACCTAAGTTGTCTGTAGTTCATTTCTGTTATTTTTTAACATAGTTAACTAATTTGTTTACATATCACTTAGTACAGTTAATTAATATTTACAAATTTATTACAGGGTATTGCAAAGATTATACAAAGAGATTTCTTTCCTGACTTAGAAAAACTGAAGGCCCAAAACGAGTTCCTAGAGGCTACAGAGAATAAAGATTATGCCAGGCTAAGAGAAATAACTAGGAAATATAGTGGTAACAGACTACCCACAGAGCCTTGTAAGTTTATAATCTCTATTTTAATTACTCTATATTTGTCTCGTTAACACGACCACATTGGACCACATACATTTTTAATATTACAATAATAGAAAACAAAGAAAATAAGTTCAGTTTTAAAATCATTGTATTGTTAATGCATTAAATATTATTAGATTTTTACTCTACTTATTTATTGATCATGATTTTGTGTTAATTATTAAAATTAACCAAAAATCTTGATCAAAAATAAAAAAATAAGTTATTTTACAATAATTGAATGATAACATACATAATTATATAAATTATTGTGTTAATTTTGACAATATATGACAAACATTTTTATCATTATTCCTACTACCGAATTCAGCTAACTACTTTATTTGAAAAAGACTGACAAGAAATGCAATGGTGAAAAATATATTTAAAAACTTTTATAAAAACATAAGTTCTATTATATATAGTGTAATAATTTATTTGTTTACATTGCATATTAAGTCTATTAAAAAGTAATAAATAAACTATACTTTTTTACAGATAATTCTCCAGCCACATTTGATACACCAGGCTTAGACCGACCAAGCTCACCTTCAACACCATCAGTACATGATAGTAGGACACAATCAGAAGTAGACTATGGTGACAAGGACAAAACAAAAGATTTTACTGATAACCACTCATTGGGTATGTATCTCAGAATTCCATGTGCATATTAAACATTGATTCCCTGTTTCTAATATAATCTTTGGTATGGCATTGATTATTAGGGTGATGTAAGAAAAACATGTTCATATTAGGGGATATCAGATGTATCTGTATATCCCCTAAGTTATTAATAAATAACACATAGATTTTAAGTCACACAGAAAATGAAAAAAAAATTATGTCAGTAGTAATAAATTCCGTTATGAAATTTGAAAAGCACTCAGTCTGCTTAATGTAAACATTACCATGACTTTGAAATTTCAAACACAGGCAGGTAGGCCATTGAATCATCATTCATAAATGAAAAAAATATATGTATGGACTCATACATATATATTTTACTACTCATACTCATACATATACTTTTATACTTATATATATTATAAAAGATTATTCTACTAAACCATCTTAAAACAAGAGGCAGTTACGAAAGTTTCATGGCTTTTTCGATTGCTTGTAGATTTGTTTTTCATAAATATCATTAAACCCACATACATAAAATTGTTTTGAATTTTTTTTACAAAAGTGACCTATTTATTTAAATTTTGCATTACAGATTCATTTTTATCATTACACACAAGTGAAGATAATGCAAGTTATGATCGTGTGATAGCGTTAGAGAATAAAAAGAAAGCTACGAAATTAGCATCTCAGTTTCAATCTGAAGAGACATCCGCTGCACTGGCCGACGCCGCGCTAGCGCTGCCATCGATAGAACAACAAGCTGACCAAACAAACAGACCCAAGGAGGTTAATATTTCAATATTATAGTGTCTAATAGTTGTTACTTGCGACTTAGTACTTTTAGATATAAGACAACATGATACAAGTACACAGACAAACAGACATTCGCATTTAAATAGTATTAATATTTGTTTATTTAAAATTTTTATAAGAAATAATACAGTATACTTTTGTACTCCAGTGATGGTGTTAAAATGTTTAAATTAGGAAAAAAAAAACAAAGTTGATATTGGTATAATAGTAGTCTTGACCATATTACTTAATGATTTTGGAAGGGAAATATTTAGCAATGGTACTATTACAATTGCAATATACCTATATTTACATATAATATATTATGTTGACCTTCACTCATTCTCATTGGAAACAGTTGTGGTTGATTCCTGATGAATTGTAGTGGGCTAACTAACTTAAGTTCATGATGATCCATACCTTGTGATATAAGTTCCTTATCAGCCTTTACCATTTGGCCTATATACATTTCTTAAGGGAAATAGTTAAATGTATAGCTTTTGTGTCCTGTCATGGGCGTATCTATAACTTTATTGATTAATTGTTCTACTAAGGTTTATTACTGCAATTCAACAGTTGGACACATGGCGTTACAAAGCAAAGAACTTCATAATGTACGTACCGGATGGCGCCGATGGACAACAACCACCTGCCAAACCTGAACTTATACACCAGAACACAAGGCTCAGAGCTGAACCCTTCGACCACATTAAAAACAAAGAGGCTATCACTGCTATTGCGAAGAGTCAGGTATGTACTTATAGTAAATCCTAACTTGCATTACATAACTAGGCTCATAATTGTAATTATGTTTGATGAATACAGTTTTAATTGGTGATTTGAAAATATTACAAATACTTATATATATATATTTTATATATCTTTTCGTTGTTGTTTTAGGACTAAAACAACAATGAAAATTGTATTTGTGATCCAATATTCTTTTGTATGAACAAACACCAGTATAAATAAAAATAAATAACTTAAAAAAGAAATAACTTCTTAGTTGATAGCTATTACATCCCAGATGTAATATCAACGTAATATGTAGTATACATATAATATCGAATAAGTTGTATACTTTGACGTACATCTGAAATAATATAACTTTCAAATGAAGTAAGAATGTTTTTTTTATATAGGTGTAGTATACTAACTTTCAAACACAATAATGGAATAAATCTTTCACAAGCTCATATAATTTTAACCACAAAGGGTTTAATCGTTTAACTATTTTTTAATTCGCAGGGTACTATTGTAACAGGCAAGATAGGTGTAGACGGAGTGAGTATATCGTCGGATAAGACCAGTGGGGAATATTCGTATGTAGCGACGCCATCTCCGCGGCCGGGTGTGGGGCCCGACCAATCACCTCTCATGACCTGGGGAGAAATAGAGGGCACGCCCTTCAGACTAGATGGCGGGGATACACCTTTGCCTGCGTAAGTTATTATTATTGACTAATAAGCACTAAATAATTAAATTATTTAGTAAAGTATTGCTAATTAACTTGAATGCAACAACAATTAACTTGAATATTCCGATAATCATTAGAAGCAATGTGTAATAATTATTATGATTATTCAGTCGGGACTCATACGTTACGTTACATACGTATTAATATTTCCATCAAAATTTTATTCTGTGAGCAAATAATTATTTTTTTATTTAATAAGTTTTTGTCTTTAATAGTCTTGTAAATATGTAGTACCAAGTAATACGGAAAGAAATAAATTATAACTTTGATACAACTCACATTGCGCCATCTGGTTTCAAACTAAGCAGAGCTTTGAGGAGATCCTGTGTGTTATAAACAGCTGAACTAAAGAGGCCGTGTATGAAGCATATATTCAAAACAAAAGTGATTTGTGATGAAGTGATGACAGCATTTAAAGGGAAATTTCGTCTGGCAGGGTGGGAGCAGGCGCTGCGTACCGCATGCTGGAGAGCGGCTCGCGGGAGAGGCTCGCGCTGCAGCTGGCCGAGCAAGCGGGCCGGCGGCGCCGCCCCACCACCCCGCACGCCCGCACCCCCACCCCGCGCACGCCCACGTGAGTACGAAGGGAAGCTCGGGGACTGGCGTCTTGAAAGGGCGTAGGCTCGAGGGCCATACCCGGCGGCTCAAAAATACTCTCCGAAGACTGTGGCTGACTGACTGGACTAAAATGAACGCATTCAATTTAGAAATGAACTCTGTTTAGTTTTGCGACATTCTCCACATTACATACTTATTTAAATAGTTTGTGTTACATTTAAATATTTTAAAAAGCCGTAATATATACATAAGCTTTGTAATTTGGATCCATGTTCATGTTCATGATCCATCAATATCACCATATTACATTTTTCTAATGTGAACCATTTCTAAACCTACAATAAGTTGTTGTATAGAATTTAATGCTAAAATGTCACTATCATGAAATATTTACAGTTTCAGAACAAATACGGAACGGTTCGCTAGTATGTCGCCGGCTGCCCGGAAATTAGCAGCCAAGCACCTTTTGTCTCCTCGGCTGAAGTTGACACCGCATGACATGGGCATCTACTCAACATCCAAGCTCACACCCTCGCCTCGCACTCCTCTAGTGGCGACCCCGAGAACTAAGAAGACTCCACAACGGTCACCCGCTGTGAGTTCGGCCAGCGCCAATACAGCAGAAAACAACAATATAACGGACAATCTATTGCAAATTAGTGTCGCAAAGCGGACGAGATTAAAAGCGAAAGATTTCTTTCAATAGAATTAATAATTAATAAATAAGTAATAGAAAGTTGATTTCTATGATGTCTTTTATTTTTATTGTTACAGAGTCTTCAATATTTAATTCAAGCCTTTTATATTTTTTTTTAATTGTGAACATTTGTTAGGTATTCAAAATACTTAGTAGTATTGTGTATTTTGCGAACTAATTTACAGATCTTTCGCTCTTCAGTTTGTTTCATAAATCACAATAAGCCTTGTTAAAAAAACAACAACACATATTGGTGGAAAACAAGATTCAAGATTCAAGATTCTTTATTTGTAAAACATGCGTGATTACATAAGTAGATTATAAACCAAGATATTGACCAGTATATAGACCGAAACCCAAAGTCTAAATTTGTCAATATTTTCCTCCCGATCGAAAATTTCTAACATAGTAACACTCAGATGACGATCACTAAGGTTTCATAATATAACTATCTTATAACAATAACAATACATCGACTTTCTCCCCTCAATATATTGTTATAAAATTAATTATATATAATAAAATGGTAGATACTAAGTGGCAGCAGGTTACGGCGACGACGTGCGAAGCTCGAGTTTCCCTTAAACTTAAGGGCAAAATTTACAAGACCATGATCCGGCCTGCTATTTTGTATGGATCAGAGTGCTGGCCCATAAAGGCGACGGATGAGAGACGACTGCATGCAACTGAAATGCGAATGTTGAGATGGATGTGTGGCGTGACGAGGATAGACAAAGAGGATACATAAAGAATGAATACATCAGAGGAAGTATGAAAGTGGCACCGATGTCGGAGAGGTTAAAGAGTAATCATCTATCGTGGTATGGGCATGTAATGCGTAGGAATGAAGATCATATTCTAAGGACGGTGTTACATATGAATGTGGATGATTATAAGAGTAGAGGAAGACCGAAAAAGAGATGGATGGACTGTGTGAAAGATGATATGGTGAGAAAGGGAGTAAATAACGGGATGACTGCGAACAGAGATGAATGGAAGAGAAGAACATATTACGCCGACCCCAAATAAATGGGATAAGGAAGAAGCAGATGATGATGAAAATGGTAGTACATACTAAACCATTTTTATTTGTGACGACTTACTTATCGTGTCGTTTGTATGTTTGAGCTTATATTGTTCAAACATGGAAACGTTTGCATTATAATTTGTAGGAAATCTTTACTTTTTGGTTGTTCTAATGTATATTAATTATTACAAATAAAGTTTTATACAATATTAATAGATATTACTTTATGTGCGGCCCGCAAAAACATTTAAATTTTGAATTGACCCGTTGATTAAAATGATTGCTCACCTCTGCTCTAATAGAATGCACAAGGAACGTGGCCGGTAACAAAAGTAGGGTATTTAAATTAAAACCATCAATTATAAAAAGTAAAATTTATTGTAGATATACAATTCATCACGATCAATTATATAATCAATATAAAATAGTCAATTAAAATAGTAAATTCAATATGGCATTAGTTTATTACCCAAATGTCATCAATTATAACATTACTTATACAAATATTTCATATCACTATTGACGGTATGTTACGGTATTAATTTAAGTAGGTGTACAGATTAATTGATTTCATGTATACAATAATAAGTTTCACATTCTCACAGATCTGTATGCGCTTATAAGTCATAATAACATTCAATTGATACTTATTTCGATCTTATTACATATGTAAACTTAATATTCACAATTCTGAAAACTGGCAAGACTAACTTAGCTTCGTACCTACTACAAATACTTCATAAGTATAATTAAATATAATAGGTACATTAAAAGGAATGTCTGGTATCGATGGCAAAAATAAATCAATATCTCAAATATTACTTAAGTAGTGTCATATTCTAGAAAATTATAGTTTTTGAAATGAAGCTACACACTGCGAGTGACAATGTCTTACGATTAACACAGATATCATACAATTCATGGATAAATAAGATAAGCTTACCTAAATACTAATTTAGATCATGCCGTCGTCGATAAACTCAAATGTAAATAGGCAGCGTAAAAATGTCAAACAGAAGTTATTATTATTACAACCATCCGTTGATATTGTAAGATTATTATATTTAGTCAATATTATTAGTAATACCAAGTCTTACAAATAAACCCAAATGCAAACAAACGCAGCGCAAAAATTTGAAATAAAATATCTGCGGTTTAAATATAAATAATTGTGTAAATATAGATCATTGTATTTAGATGGACTAAGATAGGGAAAGTAGGGCCATGGAAAATTGTGGCTTCTAGTTATTAGAGTACATTTACCTGCAGTCTGCAAGTTAGGGCTCAATTGCAATCACATCAAATACATCGATCAAGTTTGGTCTCCTATGGAATAATTAAAGGCCTTGTTAGGTCTGATAACCTACAATTACTATTCTCTTTGCCTGGCGAAGAGTAGCTACGTTGTACATTTGGAATGTATAAAATTTGCCGATTTTGCCGAAATGTTTATGTTTACATTGTCGATACGTATAGATCGACGGGTTAATTAAGTACTTACGTTTTTTTTATTAGATATCAATAGAACGACTATGTACTATACTATAAACTCAAACAGAGTAATCAGAAGTAATGGTAATTCCAATACCAAACAATCAATGCCATAAAATAAAAGTGAAATCTATCCTCAAGTTATATAATTAAATTGAATGTCTATAATACATAGTAGTTATTATTAAATAAAAAATAATAAAAATTAACAAGTCATTCGGAATATAGTCATTGATTTATAAATATAATCTGTTATTATGATATTTTCTTATTTCTATTATTATTCTATACGTTACTTATATATAGGAAACTGGTCAATGTATACCTAATATACATACGTATGTACCTATATTCTATAAATGTCATGCACAAAATTGATTCACTTATAATTAAATAACAATTAATTAAAAAAATATCACTTGTTAATTTTTAATGTCAATAAGAGGTTCATAGGTTAACATATATGTATACTTCAGATCTTACTCTACTATACCATCTATAGTACCTATAAAATATATTTATTTAACGTAGAATTACATGATAGTAGAATTTTTCAGTATAAAAAATAAGTTTGTCAATATATATAAAATTTTGTGATAATAAATAAATACTTAGATATACAAACCTTAAAGTAACGTAATAGTCTCGTCAAAAAGATTGAGCGGTATATTTAAATTGAATAATTTATTCTTATTGTTACAAGGCACATTATCCCGAGCTTTACACACAATATATCACATGATTTGTATTGAAGCGCGATTTGTGCATTCCGCCTCTCCATAACGAGGAAAGTTGTACCATTTTCATTACGTCTTATATACTAATGTATCTAATAATACATTTATTTAGAAATGTTAACCTAACCCTTAGAAATGTTAATAACCCTTTTCTATAGGTGTATAAATGTTACCACAGTAACGATAACCATTCTTTATACCACGATCGAGGTTCTTGTGGCTTATAAAAGTCTGCATTAGGCTTAGGTACAGTGTTGTCAGTCGGATCCTCTTCAAATATGTTGACAATTGACTGTTTGATACCAAATCGAAAGAACGCGATGTATGGAAAATATTTCATAAGGTACAGACTGAACCAATGGTTCCAATTGAAGTAATTTCGACCTATACACGTACTGTAGGCAGCCACTCCGATATTGCCGAGAGCTAATTTGAATTTGCCTTTGAGGGACAGTGTTTTGTATGCAGGGACATTCTCCAATGTGTCGTAATCGTGAAGGTAAAGCAAACGCGCTGGTCGATCGGGGATGTCATCCAAAATTGGCTTGTCTATTAAGAGTCTTGAATCCACACCTAAAATGTATTGTTATTTAAAAAGTTATTGTGACTAGCTGACTAGATTTCACCCGCAGTCTAATTTAAAAAAAAAAAACTTGTTCCTGAACCAGTACATTACACTTTTTGGACTGTGTTCCCAGTGTTCTCACTGACTTTCTTTCTTTTTTGGTTGACGGCGTGAAGTTTAGGAATGTATAATTTTCCTTAAGAATTAGATTATCAAATTAATCTAATGCAAAATGGTTTCATATTCGACTGGTAGTTACAGATATAAGCGCGTTCAAACATTCAAATATACAAAATTTTCAGTGTTATACATTGATAATAATAAACAATGTTCCATAATAGACATGTTACATAAACAGATTTCCATACAGCGAAAGTTTGTGAGTATGGGCGGATGCTTGTTCCTCTTTCACGCAAAAACTATTGAACGGATTTTGACGAAACTTTACTTTACTTAGCCTATAAGGCTATAATTTTTTTCGCGGATGAAACCACGGGCACAGCTTGTAATTATTTATTGTGTATATTAGAAATTACACTTTCAAAGTTCACGTATAAAATAAGCATAAATACCTGTGTCAGGATTCTTGCCCTTTAAATGTTTCCGTAAGCTATCTTGCAGCGCTACTCGCTCCTCTTCGGAATATACGTAACCAGGTACATTTGTGAGACGTCGACACCAGAATAGGGTGGCCTCTATTTCTACGGTCGGGTTGATGCTCGAGAGGCCATCTAATAACACCCGAGCTGAGTGTTCGAAGTGTTCTGGAACACTCTCCATGGAAGGTCTGTATACTCTGTCCAATAATATTTGGCATATTTCGCGAGTTTCTTCAGGTGTTTTACGACATATATTATACCTGGAACAAAATATGTACATTATTAAAAGACCATTCTAGTTATCGAGTCTTTTGTTGACCTCGATTTCAATTCCGCTTTACGTTTACACATGAATGTTAAGTTTAATAAATTTATGTTATGCAATTACATGCAATGCAATTTAATAGATATTTATAAAGAGGTACAACAACGATTTATCAATTGCTAATGCAGTTAAACAGGCGTGACCTACTTTCACACTAGTGAAGTTGTGATCTATCTATTTTATAAAATATTGTCTACTTGCCTAAATGAAATTACTTAAGAAAATATTACTCCACAATACTCCAGTTTGGTATTGGTATTCAATTTGTAAAATATTATAAAAAGAAGTGTTTATACACAACCGATTTTAAAAATTCTCTCACGAAATGAAATTGTAGACAAGACTTTGAAAATAAACAAAACAATTCGATCATTCACAATATGTAATATAATATATACACATACATAAATTAAAATGAGTGACTGCCTCTTAGTGAATTATTATTACTACTAAAACTACAATACCTAAGATTTCGCAAATAATTTCCTACATCCTTGGCTGAAAATCAGTTATTTTTACGGTAGAAACCATAAAATAAATAAAAAAAATAAGTAGAAAAAGCGATAATTTTTATATTACGTAAAGGCAATTCCGCAGATTTTTTTAGATATTTAAGAAATAATGCTATACTTACTTATCTTCTATTCCGATCATGTAACCTATAACGCTCCACAGGTGATTGTACGAGTCCCAGTCGTCTGGCGTTAATTGGGACACACTGAATTTATCAGGCATCAAAATGGAATAGCCTATAAATCCGAACAATGTCAGGGCCATATCCCTTTGGGATACGACGCCGAGGCCTTTCTTTTTGGACGCCAGAGCTGCGTGAAGGTGACGCTTTCTAACTGCGTGCAGCGATCTCCATGAGCTGTGTAACATATGTTTTAATGTAAACTAGTACACTACTTATTTACTATGCATATTCGCATAGTAAATAAGTAGTGTAATGTATAAGTAACTAAAGTAACAAGCCTGGAATTTAATACCCGGGATATTATAAAGAAAAAAACTAGAATATGCAATGGCAAACGTGCTGATGATCCATACGGTGATAAGTGGCAACCGTCGCCTAGTATAATCAACGCCACGGCGATACCGTCACTATAAATGGCTCCATACCCTGTAATTTCACTGCCATATCTGATTCTCCAACTGAAACATGTTACAACGAAGCTGCTGCTGAAATGGCAAAATCTTGTTTTTGTCTTATGCGATCAAATCAAAACATGTTTATAAAAAACTAACATTTACAATATTAGTTAGAATATTGATCTTACTTTCAATATTCTAACTAATAAGCTGGCGTTAGAAATATATGAGGGATATATTATTAATCATATTTAATTTAAATCCTAAAGTCACCAGAAATGACAATTTTTAACACTATCCCAATTAAATAGTCTTAAAAATAGTATAACGTTCAAATACTACATAAGTCTAACATACTTAAAATATACAGGCCTACGAATAAGTTTATGTGCTTACATTTTTACTTACATACTGCCAGGTTTTAGTTCGTTTTCAAACCAGCTGGTCACGTGTAGTAATGTGGACAAATATCGTCTATATGCGGTGAAGACCGAGTTGGAGCGGCGTGTACTGACTAGGATCTTCAGTATAGACGGCACTGAGATCACCGCTATCAGACCAATCATCATCGAAGTGGCTAAGCTGAAGCTGAAGTTCCAGAAGAAACGCCGACCCCTGAGCATGAAAAAATGTACGCGTTGTAATAATGAACGCGGCCATAGACTTTTAAATTCTATTATAATACTGCATTATTTGAAAACTAAGAAAGCATTAAATAAAATAATGTACCAAAATACCCCAAAGTAAAATATTAACAAAAAAAAAACACCTGAAAGCTATTATGTCCGTACGGTAAATCAATTTATCCACTTTACAACCAATGTTGTATGAAGAAATATCAACCATTTTATAGCTGACCCGCGCAACTTCGTCTTCAATCTATCATTATATAATATTTCGCACAATTTGCATGATATCCTTTTATTTGCTCATTTTTTTTTTCTCGTTTGTTGTTTATATTATATTTTTGTTACATTGCACTGAATAAAATATTTTTTCTTTCTTTCTTTCTTTCTTTCTTTCTTTCTTTCTTAAATCATAGTTTCAACATTAAAAAATCATTTATTCATGTAGGACATTTTAGCCGCTTATGAACGTCAAGTTTTTACATTATAATTTTTTTCCCTACCGTTTATATATTATTATGATGTATAACCTATATTACTGTAACGTTTCATCAAAACCATCCTCACACTCAGCACTTTCGTGTTTATACTATTAATAAGATTACACCGATCTGCCAATACTCACCTATTGAATTTCTTCTCGTCAAACCATTTCGGCAGTTCCAACTCGTGTTCTTCAAACTTCCTTGTGTCTGAAGGTTGCTCAGTTGCTTCTTTTCGGAATAAGCCCTCTATCACTTCATCCACTGGAATTAATTTTTTATCATATGAGCTGTTTAGTTTTCAACGAGTTCCATAAGGAGTAAATTAAATGTATATTATTATTTATGACTCAAATATATAATTCGGATAAATCTGATAATGTCAAATGTTGTGTTCGTTACGAAGTTCACGTTTGATAGTACCACCGACTACTCTATCTGTTATAAGTTTATAACAGTCTTGAAGATACATTTAAGCTTGAATAGCCAATTATAGGGGTTATTCCTGTCCTAGTATGTATATAACGTCGCTGAATAAAATACCGAATATACAAAATTCCATCGTCATCATAGCTCTTTGCTAGTAATTTTTGTCATCATAACTCTTTGCTATAAACCACTATCTTTGCCCGAGGTTTTACTCGCATGAAAGTTATAGCCTATGTATTATTCTGATGTAAAAGCTACATTATTGTAAAGTTTACAAACTCATTCAGAAGTTTTTGTGTGAAAGAATAATAAACATCCATCCTTCCATTCACACTATAAATGAGCCGATTGTTAACGATTTTAAAAATGCATTTTTCTTTATTAACGGTTAATTAACCGCATGTTATCGGTAGTTTACCATCAAATAGGTTGAATAACGCCATTTAATTGATTTTACAATTAAAATTCCTTCATAATATTATAAGTAATATAAATAGGATTAGTAAGATAAGACTGGTGCTATGCTACAGCAATCATTAGGCGACGCAGTAATGCAGGTAAATAGCTATGACCTTGACGTGATAATTATGTTATTATTCAATAATTCACTTATACCTATAAATGTAGTATAACAAAAAGAGTAGATAATCCTCTTCTATATTACAAAAAAACAGTTTTTTCTATATGGGTTTCTAAATCTTTTATATATTATTTATGAAACTTGGATGATTTATTCTGCGTGTCCTAGTGAAGGTTCTAAGCAAAATATATGTAACTATATGTCTTTGTGTTAATCGCTCCGCCAACCGTTATCTAATCACGACTAATTAGTAACAGGTACACGTAGTATTTAAGATGATATAAGTCAATAATCGCAAATTAATAATTATAAGTCATGCAACCTGAATGAAGTTACATACAAAATCTTGTACTAAAAAAACAGTAACACAACGATTATAAAAACATGTGGTGAAGCATCTTCAACGACCACAAATGTACAAAAAGTAGGTACCTTATATATAAGTACATATATTAGGTATCTACCTACTTGTTGTACTATAAAAATATTCGTTTGTAATATAACACAGAAACCCATCAAAAACCGGTTGAATAATGAATTCGGGTCGAGGATTTATTTAAAGTTAAATAAATCAATTTGATGTAAAAACATTCTATAAAATGTGACACAATAATGATTCATATGATTATTTGTCATCAAGTAACCTACTCCCATGAAGAACAATACTAGATGCTAAGGAAAATATAGACATCACAGTACAATATAGGATGCATAATCTATGGTTGTATACGACGGTTACTACTAACTACTTTTATCAAATGGGACGTATAAGTAGGTTCTTAACAAAAGGATTATATATTTTTTTCACTATTAGAAGTCAGAACAATAGTGGAATACAAGCCGCGTCTGGTCCGATTAATCATTATGTTTGTAAACATTGGGAAGCTTGTAGTTTTTGCTCTAGATATCGGCGTATTTGCAATAGGAACAAGGTGCGATACGACGTCAATAGATGTCAATTAAGAAACATGTTTTTTAGAAACATTTATATATTTGTTTTATCAACCCACACTGTTTATAGCGATTGGGTGAGATGACTTTTTAAAAATATGTTTATGTCATAAGGTTACTCATTATATAATAATTTTAATTTAGATTTGCTACTAAATTTCATTGATTAACAAGTAAGGTTTTTTTTTATAAGTACGGGATTAAAAATTTCTCTTATAACAAACCTACTCTATTTTTAAGGTGTCCGAATGGATGTCCCCTGTCCAAGAACAATTGTAAGTACACTATATATATAGGACATGACATTTTAATAATATTAAATTATACTGCTTAATATGTTATCTGTGGGTCTGCTTTTTTCTGCAAAAAGAAGAAACTTTCAGGCGGTAACCGGTAAAAGTAACATTAAGGCATTAAGAACCCTAAATTCCGTCATTTTCTTCTGAAATTGATATACAAAACATCCATGTACGAAACGGAAATTGTATTTTTTATACAGTTCATTGGAAATTGTATTTTTTTATAACTGTCCACCGCCTTCAACAGGTTGAAGACGGCCGGGCCTACAGACAGCTCATTACAGTTCAAGTCAAATATCAAAATCATTGCAGCAAACTTATGTAGATAACATTAGCACAGTATCTTGTATTTATCGTCATAGATAATACTACTATACTTGATTTATTGCTTAACAGTCTAACGGAGCAGAACGGACTTTGTGTCTTTGAACAGACTTCTCTGTTCTGTGGTCTCAACTCTCGTACTTACAACAACCACCAATAGGTAACAGTTTATAGAATGAGATAAGGCTGAAATAGACCTAAAAATGACAAGTATGAGAGGTAGGTACTACGAGTAATACAGGGCATTATGTGATTTCCGTGGTCCTGATGATCATATATATATGTACAATTACAGCTTTAAGTACATCATATTGTTATTACTTTGAGAGCCTCGGTGGTCTAGCGGTTTAGATTTCTCGCACTGTGCAAACTTTGTATTCATAGCATGATTGTCTTATTATATATGTATATGTAATTTAAAAAATAAGTATTTATCAAAATTGTCTAGTACCCATAACGCAAGCTCTACCTACTTGGAACTAGATGGCATTGTGTGAATTATCCAGGGTAATTATAATTATATCATAAAAATATCGAAACCATGTGAATTTTGACTGTAAATATAGTATACTAGCTGTCCCGGCAAACGTTGTTTTGCCTTAAAATAAAAAAAAAATTAGGGGTGGACTATCCCTAACATTTAGAGGGATGAAAAATAGATGTTGGCCTATTTTCAGACTTACTCAATACGCTCACAAAATTTCACGAGAATCGGTCAAGCCGTTTGGGAGGAGTATAGGAACGAAAACTGTGACACAAGAATTTTATATATAAGATATTGTCTAACTGTACGCATTTTTTACTTCAGCAATGTCAACGGTGCACAAAAAAAAAGTAATGTAATGGATGAACTTCATTATCCTTTGGGTTTTCACTTGATTGGATGAGATGTGTAGCTTTGTATGGTGTCGGCCATTCTGCATAAGTGAAATGCATTTTGAGATGAGTTCTTAAACAATTAAAGTTTATGAAAAACAAAGGATTTTCTTTGTTCGGAGTCATTGTATCAAATTTAGAACAGTAATATAGACTGTTTATCCTGACAGCAAGGACAAATAATTGTACTAAGTTTATTTTTATTGTTTGATTCAATGACTGTTAATGTACTACTAGTAGAAGCTAGGGATATTGAATGACGACAATTTACGAATGGTACCTGTTGACGATTTTACTGAGCAATATATAGGTCAAAATGTAAAAAATGAGATGCTGTATCGATCGAACAGCCAATTTATAACGGCTACTTTGAAGATGAAGTTAGAAGAAACATTAGATAACGCGAAAATTTTAGCTGATACTCTAAAAACTCAACTTAATATCCTAGAGACCAGGGAGCAATTGTTAAAGAACGTCATCGTTAGTGCCAAGTAAAGTATCTTAACTGGAATCTATCATTTTAATTAATACGGGCTGTTAACAGCGTCTCCGCTTGCGTGAATCTTTTTATATAAAATTAATAACATTTCTTAAATAAATAAAAGTAATCTAGGTTACTTCTTACAACGTTACCTACCTGCGAGTGAAAGTCCTATCAAAATTAGCCCCGTTATTTTAGAGATTATGAAGAACAAAACCACTAACCAAAACTTTTAAAAATATTTTTGTCAAGTAAGTATTGAATTTACTTTCATACGCATTTAGTGAAAAGTTAAACTAAAGTTATTTACGTCTTTACATATAAAATTAATAACATTTCTTAAATAAATAAAAGGACAAAAGCACTCGCCCCGTTATTTTAGAGATTATGTCTCTCTGACAACTCCGTGACAACTCCGTGCGGGAATTGGCGTGAAGATTTATAGATATGACGGTCTATAAAATCATTTGGGTCCCCAAATATTTTAACTGAGACGAATTCTTAACAGCGAACAGTTCCCAGGACTTATGTCCCGGGTTTAGATTTAATAATATGAATAATTAAAACAGGAAATTAATAGTCAAGCTTAAATGCGCTATTTTATTAATTAGTAAGTTAAACGTAATAAAATTAATATCAATTCATTCAGGTATGGAGTCACAACAGTAACGGTATCGACATTGGACCGACTACCTCGCACATACATCATTCGAGACGGTTTTTGGACACTGTGTAATGGTATGGTTCAATTGCCTGTCGATCAACCAGCAACAAATCTCTTTAATGAGAATATATCGGGCCCTAGATGCATCGGACAGGAAGTAAGTCATCCTTATTAATATTCTAAACGTAAGATTGTTTATTAGTCAGATACTCATGCGTCGATTGTAAACATAATAAACCCGGTAGGTACCATGTATATACCCTATATATTTACAATAAAATAAAATAAAATCCTACATCCTACAATATAAAAAAAACATCATAAAGTTCCATAATGCGTTATATACACACACAATACATTTAATTTTTTGAAGACTTATTGTCATCCGTGATTTCATCTCTATAAACTTAATTCATTCATGCCCTCCAGGTTATTTTGATCTAAAAGAACCTACTTCCGTCCTTGTGATACAGAACAAATGGACGACAGACATTTAAGATTCATAATATTATTATGGATGTTTTGTAACATAGTTGTCTAAAAGAGAATTCGAATATAAAGGAATATTCTTATATAAGCACTGTGCCGAATAAATAAATGTACTCGTATTTATTTGCCTTCTATAGTTTGTTACATAATCAATTATTTTGCCATGCAATA